TCCCAAAACTGAATCAAGAAGAAATAGAGAACCTGAATACACCAACCACAAGTAAAGAGATTGAAACAGTAATCAAAAACCTCCTACAAAACAGAAGTCCAGGACCAGATGGCTTCTCTGCATAATTCTGCCAAACATTCAAAGAAGACTTAATACCTATCCATCTATACTTTTCCAAAAAACTGAAGAAGACAGAACGCTTCTTTACTCATTCTGTGAGGCCAACATCACCCTGATACCAAAACCAGACAAGGACAACACGAAGAAGGAAAATTACAGGCCCATATCGCTGATGAACGTAGATGCAAAAATCCTCAACAAAATGCTGGCAAACCAAATACAGCAACACATTAAAAGGATTATACACCATGATCAAGTGGGATTTATTCCAGGGATGGAGGGATGGTTCAACACCTGCAAATCAATCATTGTGATACACCACATTAACAAAATGAGGAATAAAAATCACATGGTCATCTCAATAGATGCAGAGAAAGCATTTGACAAGATCCAACATCCATTTAAGATAAAGACTCTCAATAAAACAGATACAGAAAGAAAGTACCTCAACATAAGAAAGGCCACATATGACAAACCCACAACCAACATCATACTCAATGGGGAAAAACTGAAAGCCATCCCTCTGAGAACAGCAACAAAACAAGGGTGCCCACTCTCGCCACTCTTTTTCAACATTGTACTGGAGGTTTTGGCCAGAGCAATTAGGCAAGAAAAAGAAATAAAAGGTATCCAAATTGGTAAGGAAGAACTGAAACACTCACTGTGTGCAGATGATATGATTCTATATATAGAAAACCCTAAAGAATCCATCAGAAAGCTATTAGAAAGAATCAACAACTACAGCAAAGTTGCAGGTACAAAATCAACTTACAATCAGTTGCATTTCTATATTCTAATAACAAACTAACAGAAAGAGAACTCAAGAATACAATCCCATTTACAATCGCAACAAAAAAGAATAAAATATCTAGGAATAAATTTAACCAAGGAAGTGAAAGACTTATACAATGAAGACTATAAGACATTATTGAAAGAAATTGATGATGACATAAAGAAATGGAAAGATATTCCATGCACATGGATTGGAAGAATAAACACAGTTAAAATGTCCATATTACCTACAGCAATCTACAGATTCAGTGCAATCCCAATCAGACTCCCAATGACATTCTTCATGGAATTAGAACAAAGAATCCCAAAATTCATATGGGGCAACAAAAGACCTCAAAGAGCAAAAGCAATCCTGAGAAAAAAGAACGAAGTTGGAGGCATCACAATCCTTGACTTCAAAATATACTACAAAGCTATAGTAAGCAAAACAGCATGGTACTGGCACAAAAACAGACACACAGATCAATGCAACAGAATTGAAAGCCTAGAAATAAAACCTTACATCTAAGGACAGCTAATCTTTGACAAAGGAGCTAAGAACATACAACAGAGAAAGGAAAGTCTCTTCCATAAATGGTGTTGGGAAAACTAGACAGCCACATGCAAAAGAATGAAAGTACACCATTAATCTTACACCATACATGAAACTTAACTCAAAGTGGATCAAAGACGAATGTAAGACCTGAAACCATAAAAATCCTAGAAAAAAATATAAGCAGTACATTCTGTGACACCACTCTTAGCAGCTTCTTTTCAAATACTGTGTCTCCTCAGGCAAGGGAAACAAAAGAAAAAATGAACAAATGGGACTACATCAGACTAAAGAGCTTCTACAAGGCAAAGGAAACCAGGAACAAAAAGACAACCCACCAACTGGGAGAAAATATTTGCAAATCATATATCCAACAAGGGGTTAATCTCCAAAATATATAAAGAACTCATGCAACTCAACAAGAAAAAAACAAACAACCCCATCAAAAAATGGGCGGAGGATAATAAAAGACATTTTTCCAAAGAAGATATACAGATGGCCAACAGGCACATGAAAAGATGTTCAACATCACTAATTATTAGGAAAATGCAATCAAAACTACAATGAGATTTCATCCTACACCTGTTAGAATGGCTATAATTACCAAGGCAAAAAATAACCAATGTTGGAGAGGATGTGGAGAAAAGGGAACCCTCATACACTGCTGGTGGGAATGCAAACCAGTGCAGCCACTATGGAAAACAGTATGGAGATTTCTCAAAAATTAAAAATAGAAATACCACACAATCCAGCTAACCCACTACTGGGTATTTATCCAAAGAACTTGAAATCAACAATTCAGAGAGATTTACGCTCCCCTATGTCCATAGCAGCGTTATTCACGATAGCCGTGATGTAGAAGCAACGCAAGTGCCCATTGACTGATGAATGCATAAAGAAGATGTGGTATATATATACAACAGAACACTCCTTGGCAATAAAAAAGACAAAATCATCCCATTTGCAATAACACGGATGGACCTTGAGGGTATGACGTTAAGCAAAAAAGCCAGACAGTGCAAGACAAACACCATATGATTTCACTCATAGGTGGAAGATAAACAAATAAATGGATAAAGAGAACAGATTAGTGGTTACCAGAGGGGAAGGGGGTTGGGAGGTGGGCATAAGGGGTAAAGGGGCACATATATATGATGACTGATAATAATAATAACGTACACCAGAAATTTCACAGTTATAAACTATCATGACCTCAATAAAATAAAATAAATAAATAAATAAAATAAACATACTCTTACTATACAATCTAACAGTCACACTCCTTGTTATTTATCCAAAAGAGTTGAAAATTTATGTCCACACAAAAACCTGCATATAGATGTTTATCGCATAACTGCCAAAACCTGGAAGCATCGAAGATGTTCTTCAGTAGGTGAATGTATAAATAAACTGGTCCATCCAGACAACGGAATATTACTCAGTCCTTAAAAAGAAATGAGCTATCAAGTCATGAAAAGACATGGAGGAATTTTCAATGCATACTACTAAGTGAAAGAAGGCAATGTGAAAAGGCTACATACTGTATAATTCCAACTGCTTGACATTCTCGGGAAGGCAAAAATGGAGACAATGAAAAGATCAGTGGTTGCCGGGGGCTGGGAGTGGGGGTGGGGAGATAAATAGACAGAGTACAGAGGACTATTACGGCAGTGAAAATACTCTGTATGATATTATAATGACGGATATATGTTATTATACATTTGTCCAAACCCATAGAATGTACAACAGCAAGAGTGAACCCTAAGGTAAACTATGGACTTGGGTGACTATGATGTGTTAATGTAGGTTCGTCCTTGGTAACAAATGTACCATTTTGGTGAGGGATGTTGATAATGGGGTGGCTACGCATGTGTGCAGGCAGTGGGTATATGGGAAATCTCTGTACCTTCCTCTCGATTTTGTTGTAAACCTAGAACTGCGCTAAAAAAAAAATAGTCTTAAAAAAAGAAAAAGTTAGACAAGGTCCTTGACCCAGTAGAACTTCTATTCTACTGGGAAAGACAGTAAACAAACAATTGAATGAGTATTATGTGTTCCAAAGACATTAAAACAGGACAATGTGACAGAGAGAGGGTGCTGAGAATCCAGTAGGCATCTACCTAGATAGGAAGATTAGGGGAGGTCTCTATCATGGGGAGACATTTCAACTGAAACCTAAGTAAAGAGAAGAGGCCAGCCATGGGAAGATCTGAAGGAAGAGCAGTTCTGGCAGAGGAAACGGCAGAGACAAAGGCCCTGAGGCAGGAGGGAGCCCAGCACGGGAGGGGAACAGAAAGAAGGTTGGTGTGGCTGGACTTGAGTGGACTTGGGGCCACGGTGAGGTTGGAGGAGGGCAGGGGTCAGATCTTGCTGGGCTTTTAGGTCAGAGTGAGGGCTGGCTCTTAATCCAAGTGTCCTGCAGGGCTCTGAGGAACAGAGTGTTGAGGCCTGATCTTGAGTTTATCTGAGGTCCCTCGCAATCTCGACTCACTTGGGGGCCCTCTATGCTGCCACATGCTTCTTGAAGATGCCCCCACTTCCTTCCTCACTGTAGCATTTGCCCAATCTGAATTGCATTCTGAGAGCTTCCCCTGTTACTCAGGAGCCCAGGCGGTGGTTTACCCCTAGTTCAGTTACCCTGAACCAGTCAACCACTCCTCCACTCCCCCCACCCACCCCTGACCTGCCTTCCTCCCCGCTCCACTGGGCCTCAGTCTTTGCATCCATGAAGTGGGCGAGTGGAACCAAATAATGCAAGTGCCTTTCCAGTTCTATCATCCTAGCTTTGAACTGTGATTGGAAGAGGATGCAGCAAAAGTGGGATCGAGGTATAAATGAAAGTGAAAGATGGAAACTATTTCTCCAGGCTCAGGGAAAACAGTCCGAGGTTGGGACGGGCTTAGGAGGCGGGGGAGAAAGGGAGATTTTTAGAAAGCTGGGCGGGCAGGGACCCTGTGACCTAGGCTTTCATTTCTCCTAAACACCCCACAGCATCATGTGATGCGGCCCGGCCACAGAAGCCGTGAAAGGGGAAGCGAGGGAAGCCCTGAGTTTCTCAAGAAGCAGAGAGCTGGACAGAGGCTGAGCCGGGAGGGAGAGCCAGAGGGGACCGGGAGGGGAGGCAGGGACGCAGTCGGTGGAGGAGACGCAGGGCCGGTGGGGGCAGGGGGAGACCTTCTCCCCAGGTGTCACAAGGGGAGGGGACAACAGTTAAGAAAGGGTGACCAACCGGGGAGAACGACCGGAAAGTGGGGGAGGGGCAGAGAAGTGGAGAGAGGAAGGGTCGGCAGTAAGGACAGAGGAGGAAGACAAAGGGTCAGAGTGGCGGAAAAAGGAAGATTTGGGCGGGGGGAGAGGGGAGAGGAGAGAGTTGAGAATTAGGGACTGGGGGGTAGAATCTGGTAGCAGCAGAGGGACCCGAGGGGGAGAGAAAGACAGGGAGAGGGGACTGGGGAGAGAGGGGTCAAGGGGGAGCCAAAAGGGGTGAGCAAGGAGGGCGGCCAGTGTGTGGGGGAGGAGAAAAGTGGGGCCGCGGGGGAAGTGGGGGTAGAGCCGAGCAGCAGAGGCCCAGGATGCCCGGGCCGCGCGCCCCGGGGGAGCCCCGGGGGTCCGGGGAGCTCCGGCCGCTGCTGGCGCGCAGGCCGCGGGGGCCCCGACGGTGGCGGCGGGCGGCGGCCGCCGCGGTGCTGCTGGTGGAGATGCTGGAGCGCGCCGCCTTCTTCGGCGTCTCGGGCAACCTCGTGCTCTATCTCAACAGCACCAACTTCCAGTGGGCCGGCGAGCAGGCGTCGCGCGCCGCGCTCGTCTTCCTGGGCGCCTCCTACCTGCTGGCGCCCGTGGGCGGCTGGCTGGCCGACGTGTACCTGGGCCGCCGCCGCGCCATCGTGCTCAGCCTGCTGCTCTACCTGGTCGCCTCCAGCCTGCTGCCCATCACGGCCTTCCCCGATGGCCGCAGCTCCTTCTGCGGCGAGATGCCCGTGTCGCCGCTGTCGCCCGCCTGCCCCTCACCCGGCTGCCCGCGCGCCTCGCCCACCGCCTACTGCGCGCCCACCCTCTACGTCGGGCTGCTGCTGCTCGCCCTGGCCGCCAGCTCCGTCCGGAGCAACCTCACCTCTTTTGGGGCCGACCAGGTGAGTGGCAGGAGGGCCCGGCCCATCCGGAGGCCGAGGAAGGGCAGTGGGAAAGCAATGGACTTGAGGCTGAGACCCCGGAGTCAGGAGGCTCCTAGCGTGACCTCGGACAAACCACTTCCCCTCTCCGGCCCCAGTTTCCTTATTTGAAAGAGGACAGGGTGCTAACTCCAACAACGATAACGATGGCAACAATAATAATAACCATAGTTGGCCAGGCCACCATATTTTGACTGGTATCATCCTCTTAACTATCCAGGAGGTAGGTAGTATTATTATGTCCATTTTACAGATGAGGACACTGAGGTCTCACAGCATTAATCAACCTGTCCAAGGTCCCATAGAGAGCAAGTCAAGGAGCCTGTGAAGGATAGCTGGACTTCAGGCCCCACCATGAGCCCTAGCTTGACGTATTATAGGGATTTGGGGGCTAGGAGTGGGCAAGCCTCTTCCTACCAGGAGTGCCAAACAGAGGTTCAGTCAGGCCAATTTGTTCAGATCCCAACTCTGGCACTCACTAGCCAGGGGCACTTGGGCAACTATCTTAACCTTTGAGCCTTTCTCTGTATGCTCTTGGACCGAACACATGGGAGAAACTCAATAAATATTTGCTAAGTGAATGAGTAAATGCCTAACAACACAGCTATATTTTGATAGCTCTGCTCAGTGAGATATTAGACAATAATTTTAAATAATTTGTGATACGATGAAAACAACCACATACAGTGTTAATGAGCAAAAGCGATGCAGAACTGTGTACAGAGTATGATGACAGCCATGTGAAAGGACTAGGTGTCAACTAAAGGGGGACACTGGAAAAAAATTGTAACAGCAGTGTGATCAGGCCACTGGACTAACTGTACTTTTTTCCTTGTTGTCTCTGTTGTTCAGATGTTCTTTAATTACATGTATTAGGATCATAAAGGGGACATAAAGGAATCATTGCATCCAACTGGCATCCACTATCCATCATCCAATATAGTTTCCAGTCTCCCTGCCAAGGAATTAGTCATCTGGCCAGTTTGGATTCCTTTGAAGGCAGGGAACTCAGTGTCCCCAGGGCAACCCTGTCCATTTCTCAGCCACTGTTGGCCTTCTTTCAGCCCAGAAGACCCGCAATATCTGTTGATAGAAATCTCTCATATTCCTTTAGTTCTGCTCTTGTGTTGACATCCCACTATACCCCCAGGTGCCCTTAATCTGTGCCTCTCATTGACCTTCAGAGGGCCTTGCCATCTGGTGCCTCCCATCTCTTCTTCCTGCTGGTGACAGAACTGGCCTCCCGGAGGTTAGGCCACTAGGCAGATCCTCCAGTGGCATCGATGGTGACAATAGCTCCCGAGCATTCTCCCATTTACTCCCAAAGCACGGACTTTGGGCGGGGCAAGGTTGGGCTGGAAGGCTGCCTTAGGGGTCTGGGCCTGACCCTGAGGACAGTTTGGAAACACTGAAATGATTTGAGGCAGGGATGGACATCCTTGGGTTCGAGTTCTTTAAAAATAGCTCCGGGGCCAGCCCCGCGGCATAGCGCTTAAGTGCGCGCGCTCTGCTGCTGGCGGCCCGGGTTCGGATCCCTGGCGCACACCAACGCACCGCTCGTCAAGCCATGCTGTGGCAGCGTCCCGTATAAAGTGGAGGAAGATGAGCACGGATGTTAGCCCAGGGCCAATCTTCCTCAGCAAAAAGAGGAGGACTGGCATCGATGTTAGCTCAGGGCTGATCTTCCTCACACACAAAAAATAAATAAATAAAAAATAAAAATAAAGAAAAATAAATATGGCTCTGGGTACAGTGTAGACAGTGGATGGGGGGTAACAAGAGCGGGTGCGTCAGAGCAGTGAGGGGGCTGCTGCAGAGTTCAGGGGGCGCAGTCAGATGGGGGATGTGGGGGTGGAAGGGGTTGGCACCATCTGGTAGACAGCTATGCCCAGGAGCTGCGTGTTGAACACACTTGCTGATTTCAGAAAGGGCCATCCATCACTCTCGACAACGTGTCTGCTCATTTGGGGAGAACTCATTTATATCCTGAACAGGCTGCTTGATCTTCCCCTTAGAGTTGCAATTGTCATATTCATTTACATCCAGTTAATAAATGGAAGTGGCCGTTCATAATGGGACTTATTCAGTTCTCTGCTTGAAAGTCTACAGCAAGGATTCTCAGTGAGTGGGCATGCCCCTCCCTCCCCGTCGCCAGGAGGACCCCTCAGCATCTCCGAGGGAATGCGGTTTTAAAGGCATCTCTATGGACTAGTGCTTTACATTTGGAAAAGGAACAAACTATTTACCTTTTTCCCAAAGCAACTACAGAAATTGAAGCTTGACAAAATCTTCTTAGCTAGTGGAAATATGTATCTCTGGGTGGAAGAAGAGCCGTGGATTCTGAGATTTGGGGGGTTATTGAAGGGGTGATGGTGTACAAAATCATTTATCTAGAGAAGGGACCTCGAGGCCACACTGCTTTTTTAAAATGCAGATGCGGGCCGGCCCCGTGGCTTAGCGGTTAAGTGTGCGTGCTCCGCTGCTGGCGACCTGGGTTCGGATCCCGGGCGCGAACTGACATACCACTTCTCCGGCCATGCTGAGGCCGCGTCCCACATACAGCAACTAGAAGGATGTGCAACAATGACATACAACTATCTACTGGGGCTTTGGGGGAAAAAATAAAATAAATAAAATTTAAAATGCAGATGCCCGGGCCCTTCTCGAGACCTGCTGAGTCAGAATCTGGGACCAGGGTCAGGGGGAGGTGGGGGCAGCCAGGACAGCTGACCCAAGCCAGCAGACCAGAAGGGGGCCTGGGGCCTGACTGTTGCGATTGATTCAAATCCTGGGTAAAGATTTTCAGCCCTTCTGCCCTTGCTGGGGGGCCTGAATTTTTTTTTTTTTTTTTACCAGGCCAGTACCCGCTCTTGGGGCTGTGTCTGGGACCATCTCTGCTTTCTCTGATAATGCCAACCTTGTTTGACTGGCATATATCAGAGGGAGGGAAGGGGTGAGGGGATGGGCCACAATGGAAAACTCCGTTTGCATCTTCAAATTGCAGAGGAAATTCTCAATTCGACTTCTAACTGTTCTTTCAGTAATATGCACACATCGTATTTAATAATGTGGAACAGACCTGAGATCTTTATTGGCTTTTTTCTGATTATAAAGGTGACGTATCCTGTAGGTTACTCGGTCAAAGACAAAGGGATAAATCAACTAGAAATGAACCAAGTGGCATCAGAGACCTCTGTTGTGTGTACTCCTTGGTGACAATAAAAAAGCAATATGTGTCATGGGCGTGAGAAAACAGCTGTGCCAAAATGTCCTGATCATTAACAAGTGACTCCCAAGAGAAGGGTGTATTCATTTATTCAACAAATATTTATTGAGCATCCATTTAATGATCAGGGACCAGGAAAGTGCTGGAATGCCCACTTGCTGACACAAGAAATGTCTCTGTGGGAAAGGGGGGGCAGGCACAGAGAGTACGGCATGGCTGCGTGCCCCTGGTCCTCCCTGGCCCTTACTCTCACCCCTGCTGGCAGGTGATGGATCTCGGCCGCCATGCCAACCGTCGCTTCTTCAACTGGTTTTATTGGAGCATCAACGTGGGTGCTGTGCTGTCGCTGTTGGTCGTGGCCTTTATCCAACAGAACATCAGCTTCCTACTGGGCTACAGCATCCCCGTGGGCTGTGTGGGCCTGGCCTTCTTCATCTTCCTCTTCGCCACTCCCATCTTCATCTCCAAGCCCCCCATGGGCAGCCAAGTGTCCTCTATGCTTAAAATTGCTCTCCAAAAGTGCTGTCCCCAGCTGTGGTGCCGACACTTCGCCAGGTAAGGAGGGCACTCTGGGTGAAGGGGGCCACCGAGCCTGGAGAAGCGCCGTGCTTCTCCTGGGGAGGCATGGTCCAGTGTGAAGATATTCTGGTTCAGCCCCAGTGGGAGCCATTTATGATGACCTGCTCTCCAGTGGGCCAGAGCTGCCAACTGTGACTGAAGATGCGATGGAGGTCAAGGTGGTGGTGGTATTGGTGATGGGCTAACTGTAGGAAGTATGAGGATGTTAATGGTCTTGACAGTGACAGTGGTGATAAAGATGGGGATGATGGTGTTATTAGCTACAATGAAGATCAACACTAGTAATGATGATAACAATGGCAGTCGAGCTGGTGAATATGGAGATGATGGTACCACTGAAAGCTGTTGGGATATAATATAATTCTACACTACCCTGATATTAAGCATAAGAAAGCCTAAGAAATCAGCCAAACTGACTCCCTTTCCCATTAGCTGGCATCCAATAGAGGAATGTTCTGAATGGCCTTGCATATGCACAGTGGCTTCCTTTTGCCCCTCTCCTGCCTAGTTAATTGGCTACATATGCTAAGCATACCTGTCTCCAGACCTTGAAGCTAGTTATAGCTCCTGTCAGTAGGATCTAGATGGAAAAAGTGCAGAACATGCTGTCCCCCAGCTTGGTGCACTGCTGGGAGGTTTTGTTTTAATGATTCATTGCTCCCTAACAAACCTTTCCAGAACTTAGTGGATTAAGCAACCACCTTTTTTTTTACCTCTCACAATTCCGTGGGTAACTGGGCTCAGCTTGGCACTCCTGCTTCTTGTGATGTCATTGGGGGCTGCAGTCATCTGGGTATTTAAAGCGGCTAGAACATCCAAGGTGGCTCACTTACACAGCTGGCAATCAATGTTGGCTGTCAGTGAGGGCATCTCAGTTCCTCTTCCTGTGGCTTTGCCGTGTGGCTGGAGCTTCTCACAGCAAGGTGTCTGGGTTGCTGGAGGAGGGAGCATTCCAAGAGCGAATGTTCCCAAGGGAAGGAAGCGGAAGCTGTCAGTCCTCGTAAGGCCTTCAGGAGGTTTGAAGGCCCAGAGCATCACTTCTGCCTCTTCTGTTGGTCAGCACAGTCACAAGGCTGGTCCACATTTCAGGGCTGGGGTGGTAAACTCCTGTTGGTGGAGGAGTAGCGTCACGTACTGGGAGGGAGAAGCTGATGGTGGCCATTTTTGGAAACCACTACCCTGTATTGTCCCTTTTGGAATCTCAAAGGATGAGGCAACGCTCTTGGGCAGGAAGGGATTAGAAACCTCTCAGAACAACGGGCAAAGGATAAAGGTCACAGAAGTGGTCGATCTATCCTGCTTCCTAATAATGTTCCCTCCAGCCCCACCTCTCCACTGCATACCTCCTTGTCATGTGGGGAGAGAGCCATCATGTTGACTGTGGAGGAGGATGGACTTGGAGACAGCACGAGGGGGAATTTTGGTGTATCAAATCTGTGACAGCCTCTCTCTCCAAGTCAGCCTTGGAGTGTGGCTTTCCTGGTTCCCATGGCAAATTGACACTAAAAAATCCCCCAAGACTCTGCTCGCCACAATCTCTGGTCTTACTTCCCCCAGGACCCAAGGGGGCATGGCTCTAGGGGGGAATGGGTCCTGATCAGCCACCTTTGCTACAAAGGAGATGTTAGTGATAATATTGACAGTGGCAGTGTTAGCACTGAAAAAAACGATGGTGACAGCAATGAAAACTTCATGGAGAGGATGGCTTTGGGGACAGTGATCACCTTACTAACGGTGATGATGGGAAGGATGCTGGCATTGGTGATGATGGTGACGATGGCGAAGGTGATGCTAATGGTGGAGTGCAGGAGATGAGGTGGTGATTTCAGAGATGACGGCTGTGATAACTGGTGATCGAGGAGGATGACTGAATTAGGGATGATGGTGGAGGTGAAAATGATGGCCGTGGTGGTGATGAGGATGGCTGCCCTTTTGTCTGCTGCCCCCTGGCCCCACAGATACTCTCAAGGCGCCCAGCTGCCGCCTGACCAGAGGTCTGCCCAGCCTGGCCCTTCCCCACAAGAGGACATGGCCAACTTCCAGGTGCTGGTGAAGATCCTGCCCGTCATGGCGACCCTGGTGCCCTACTGGATGGTGTACTTCCAGGTAAGCACCCTGCCCTTCCACTCTGGGAGGACTGGCTCCCCAGTCCCCTCTCTGGTCTGAACTCTCACTGTAGAAGCCCAGGGTGTGCGGAAAGGGGAAAAGAGTTCACAAAGTGAACTGCTGCTGTGGAGACGCTGGTGTGGGGCCCGGCACAAAGCCATCCCAAGAATGAAACTCCCTGGGCCGGCCCCGTGGCTTGGAGGTTAAGTGCGCGCACTCCGATGCTGGTGGCCCGGGTTCGGATCCCGGGCGCGCACCGAGGCACCGCTTCTCCGTCCATCCTGAGGCCGAGTCCCACATACAGCAACTAGAAGGATGTGCAGCTGTGACATACAACTATCTACTGGGGCTTTGGGGGGAAAAAATAAATAAATAAAATCTTTAAAAAAAAAAAAAAAAAAAAGAATGAAACTCCCTTGGGTGGTATAGCACGAGGAACTCTGGAGACGGGTCTTAGGCACAGTGACTTGAATAGGTCACCCCATCACTCTGGGCCTCAGTTTCCTCTTGTGTAAAATGAGCCGCTCAGGCTAGAGGCTCCAACAGCCCTGCAGCAGTCAGAGTCTCCCACTGGGCAGCTGAGGCCCAGAGAAGGTGTGTCGGTTGCCCAAGGCCACACAGCAAGTTAGGGGCAAGCTCAGTCATTGAGTATTTACGACAGTGGTTCCCTACCCCAGCTGTGCCTCAGAATCACCTGCCTAGAGAGCTTTTAAAAATCACAGATTCCAGGGGCCAGCCCGGTGGCGTAGTGGTTAAGTTCGTGCACTCCGCTTCAGCAGCCCAGGGTTCGCAGGTTCGAATCCTGGGTGCGGACCGACGCACCGCTCATCAAGTCATGCTGTGGTGGCATCCCACATACAAAATAGAGGAAGATGGGCACAGATGTTAGCTCAGGGCCAATCTTTCTCACAAAAAAAAAAAAAAATACAGATTCCGAAGTCCCACCCCAGACTGCTGACAGAGAACAGCTGGGGGAATTCTCTGGTGTAATAAACTTCTCAGATGATACTCATGCTCAGGCAGGTTTCAGAACTGCTGCGTCCCACCACACCTTAAGGGGAAGGTTATCGGGCTGCGCGTGTGAGTGCCTGTGTGCATGTGCATGCACGTGCCTGGGCGCACGTGGGTGTGTGTGTGTCTAGGGTAGGCAGCAGTCTCACCCCGGCCCCTAATCCCCAGACAACAAGGTCATTGCCTCCCATCCGCCTGGCATAGGAACCTTGTTACAAGCTGCAGATGAGGGTCATGTAGGGCCAGGCTGCTACGTGGGGGTGGCACAGAGGTGGAAGATGTCCATGATGGGACAGGGACATGGGGCGGGGTGTGTGTCCATGGCTGATTCCCAGTTATACCAGTTGTCAGAATATTGACATCCTTCCATCTCAGCTGCTAAACAGCCGCTGCCCTGAGCAACCCAAGTGCCCTCCCCTGGGCAGACCCTTCTGTGGGACTCTCCTGGGTCCCTCTCCATTATCCAGCAACTGAAGGGGTAATGCCTGGTAGGGTGGGGCCCCGGAGCCTGCTCCTGCTGCTGTGTCCACAGCCGTGCTGGTGGGTCAGTGCTTATGCAGTGCTGGCTGTGTCAACCTGTGGGATTCAGCTTGGCCTCAGTATCAAATGAGCGCTCCCCATGGGGACAGCCATGTCATTATCTTTCCCATGTCAACAAACATTTATCCATGCCTACTCTGTGTCAGGCCCTGGAGACACAAATGTGAGTCAGACCAGCTGTGCCTGCGCTCTGGAATAAGGCTGCATGCACAGCTTATGGGCCTGGGAGCAGAGTCAGGGAAGCCCCCCGGCCAAGCCTAGCTGCCAAGGGGGAAGGAGGGTAGGAAGGTCACTTTCCCTCTGAGGCTGGGAGAGGGGACAGCTAGCTGCCCAGCTGCCCTGTGCTACGCTGAGGAATGCCTGCTTTGGAGCTGGGAGCCTCCTGGGGCTGGAGGTGAGGCGGCCAGCTCTGTTCCAGCCTCCCCCCCATCTCTCTTGGCAGATGCAGTCCACATACGTCCTGCAAGGCCTTCACCTCCACATCCCGAACATTTTCCCAGGCTACGCTGCCAACAGGTCCGTGGCGCTGGGAGCCCAGGCCAGCAGCTACAGGGTGAGAGACAGCGCATGTCTTCGGCTCCCACCTCAGGCCGGGCTGGGGCTTCCTGTGAGAAGAGGAGGAAATGAAGCTGCCTCCACATTCCCCGCCCCCAGCGGCAGGGCGTCCTCAGAGTACAGGATAAGCACCTGGAGGGTGGGCGAATTGTGCCACAGCCCAGACATCCTGCTGCAATGCTCAACGACTTAAAAGAATTCAGGCCAGCTTCACTCCTACCCGCTGCTGGTCTGGAGCAGGCCTCACTGCCCAATTTGCACCAGGCCCCCAGATCAGGCACACTCAGGTCCCTCTGTTCCCTCCCTCTCTGGGACCCCTGCATGCCCACATCTCTGCCTTTCACCAGGACTTTCCAAACCAGAAACTTGGCATTTCGAGACTCATAAAATCAAAGATTTTCAGAGCCAGCAGATAAATGAAGTATTTGCTACTATGCCTCCCTTCCTTGCCCATGGCAGACATCACTAATCAATCACGACATTCTTTCACACTAATCCCACAAATGTTCCAGGCAGCCACTACTGATTGGTAGAAGTTAGAGGAACCTATTTGCCATCCCTGATCTATTCCCAGCCCCTGGTTACACAGCCGAGGAGCGTGCGTTCCGGAGAGGGGAAGGGGCTGATGCTGGGTCACCTGGGGACAGTCTGGAGTCCAGGTCTCCCGACACCAGCCCAGAGGTCCTTCTGCTCTGCTAGCCTGCCCCTCTCTGCTCCGTCTTGCCCAGATCCCGGAAGCCTGGCTTCTGCTGGCCAACGTCATCATGGTGCTGATCCTGGTGCCCGTGAAGGACCACCTGCTTGACCCTCTACTGCTGCGGTGCAAGCTGCTTCCCTCAGCTCTGCAGAAGATGGCACTGGGGATGTTCTTTGGTTTCACGTCCGTCATTGTGGCAGGTGTGTGGGCCTGGGTGGAGGGGCGTGGGGAGGGAGGCTGGCCTTTGTCTAGGGGGAGGGGAGGCTGGCTCTACCATGGGCTGATGCTGAAGCTGTGGGCCTGGGCCAAGTACACCCTCCACCCATGGGTGCCGGTCTTGGCTTCCCAGAAGGAGACCCTCCTCCTCGAGTCTAGCTTCCCCTCGTTTTGACAGATGAGAAACCTCAGGCCGAGAGAGTAAAAATGATTTTCCCCAGTGGGCTAAAAGCTCCCTGAAGGCAGGGATTTTTTTTCTTTTTTATTCACTGCTATGAATCATGCATGTGGGCACTCAAAAAATGTGTTGAAATAATTTTCCCAAGACACATAGCCACTTAGGGGCAAATGGGGACTTTTTAAAATACGTGTTACTTATTCTCTTTCTTCTTCCATTTCAAAAGGATTTGAAGCCACTTATAGAAAAAGGATCTGATAAAGAAGGCTTTTGTGCTATTGCACAAACCTCAGCCCTTTTACTTACTCACTCAATGATCCTGAAGTTACTTAGAGTCTCTGAGTGTCATCTTTAAAATGAGGACGATAATTCATTCAGACCCGGTGCAGGGCCCGGGCTCTGCTCTCATGGAATGAAGTCCATCAGGAGTGTTGTGAGGATTAAAGGAGATGAAGTCTGTAAGGCGCCCAGCACCGTAAGAGCCAGAAAAATTAAAGCTCAATAAATAGCATTGTGTTGCCAGGATGAAAACCAAATTAGATGCTTTTTTGTCTATGTGGTTTTGTCCTATTTCATCCTCACAATAATCCTGGGATTTTTATTCATACTTCTTGCATAAGGGAACTGGGTCTCAGAGAGGTTAAGTGATTTGCCCAAGGTCACACAGCTAGCCAGTGGCAGGGCCAGGATTGGAACCCAAGAAGCCTAACTCCACATCCAGGGTTCATTCCTCTAGAGCACAGCTGTCTCCTAAACAATGAAGGGGAAGGAGATAAAATCAACTTTTAGAAACCTTACTGTAGGGCCGGCCCCGTGGCTTAGCGGTTAAGTGCGCGCGCTCCGCTACTGGCGGCCTGGGTTTGGATCCCGGGCGCACACCAACGCACCGCTTCTCCGGTCATGCTGAGGCCGTGTCCCACATTCAGCAACTAGAAGGATGTGCAGCTATGACATACAACTATCTACTGGGGCTTTGGGGAAAAAATAAATAAATAAAATTATTAGAAACCTTACTGTAATACTTGATGCTGCAATAGAGTCATGTGATGTCATGGAAACTGGGCCAGCTTTGAAACCAGACCCACTGGGGCTCAAATCCAGCCCCAACTACTTGTCAGCTGTGTGACTCTGGGCTGGTTGCTTAACCTCAATTGATCTTTCTTCATTTGCAAGAATGCATATGAAATGCCTGGCACATAACAGGCTCTCAACTAATAAGAGTTGTTACTGTTATTGAGTGCAAAACCTAGTTCTGAGCTTCCTAGCAGCCAAGGCAAAAAGGGAAGAGTTGGAATTCAAATCTTGACCACCTCACCCCCACTGGTATTCTTTTCCTTACCTGCTGCCCAGTCAATCATTGACTACTTAGTGAATACCCACCACATGCCAAGCTCTGCCACGGGCTAAGCTGCCTAGAGCGGGCCTGGATGTAGTCTCCCTCCCTTCCCCACCCCAGGAGTCCTGGAGATGGAGCGTTTAGACTACATCAGGAACAACCAGACAGTGTCCCAGCTGATCGGGGAGAACGTGTACTACGCAGCACCCCTCTCTATCTGGTGGCAGATCCCTCAGTACCTGCTCATCGGGATCAGTGAGATTTTTGCCAGCATCCCAGGTACCTGCATCCCTGGACACCTCCCCTGCTCTCGTGCCAGAGATGGGCTCTGCCTGGTGATGCCTCGAAGCCAGGGTGTCACGGGCACAGCCTCCAGGGCTCATCCTCATGGAGGAAGCCAGGGTTTTCTGAGTGGGGCTGCATTCACCCAATGAGGATATATTAGCATCTGGTTTGTGCCAGGCATTAGGATCGGCACTGGGGATTTGGAAGTGAACAAGACACTTCCCATACCAACTTTCCACGTACTCCCCCTGTGCCGGGATCCCCACGCCCTGTATCTTTGCTGTTGCTGCTCCCTCTGCTTCAGAGTGAAAGTGAACTCCTATGTCTCCTTCAGTTCTAGCCTAAATGCCATCTCCTCCCTGAGGTTCTCTCCAAGGCCCCTGGACAGAGGGGGGCCCTCCCTCTCCTGCCTTTGTTTGTCTCTATCGCGGCACACAGGTTGCTGTGTTGTAATGATGCACTCATACAGTCATATGTTTGCCTCCCCGCTGGGCCATGAGCCAGAGCTGCAGGCCTGGGGCGGCTCGTCAATCAGCCAAGCAGCAGAGGCTTACTTAGCTGGGGGCGCAGGGCTAGGCTGGGTGGGACTCACTCAGGTGGGGGCTAAATGTTCCCACAAACAATAAACCCAGGGCAGTGCTGTAGAAGGGACTGTAGGGTGTTGGGGAAGCCCAAGGCGGGGAGAGAGCAGGTGAGCCAGTTTGGAGAGGCAGAATTCAGTGGGTGGCAGGAAGGACCTCACAGACAGAGGGAACAGCATAAGCAAAGCCCCAGGCCTTATGGGAAGTGTGGGGGGGAGGCGAGAGGCCAGGGCCTTGTGGGCCCAGCCTGGATGTTGAGGTTTCTCCTGAGGGCAAGGGCCCCTCCGAGGGGTTTTTGGCAGGGAAAGGACCCCATCAGAGATGCTTTAGACAGACCCATCTGGCTGTCTGAGGAGGACGACAGGAGACAGGGGAGTTTAAGAGGCATTTGCGAGGGCCGGGCAGGAAATGACAGGCCTGGGGTTTGGCCGAGGGCAGAGGGAACAGAGAGGAGGCAGACAGATTTCTGAGGTTGAATCAGAATGATTTGGTGATGACATTGAAAGTGGGCAGAGAGGGTAGGGGAGAGAGAGAGAGTGAAGATGGCTCAGAGGTGGAGACCCAGGAGGAAGGGGAGGAGGGGAGACAGCAATGTGGGAGCATCCAGGTGGAGGTGCTCATCAGGAGGTGGATGAGCAGGGCAGAGGTGAGAGGTCATTGGTGCCCAGTGTTGTCATGGCAACGGAGTGGGCGGCCATCCAGGGGAAGTGGGATGGAGGCTTGGTGGAGCAGGGTGGGGGCTGTGGCCCAACAGGCTGGCACCTGGGCCCATTCTCTGCTCCTCCACCAGCCCCTTGGGTTGTCCCCACTCCCTCTCTGCAGGCCTGGAGTTTGCGTACTCAGAGGCCCCACGGTCCATGCAGGGCGCCATCATGGGCATCTTCTTCTGCCTCTCGGGCGTGGGCTCACTGTTGGGCTCCAGCCTGGTGGCATTCCTGTCACTGCCTGGGGGCTGGATGTACTGTCCCAAGGACTTCGGTGAGTGTGGGAGCCTCCCTGGGGGTGGGACACAAGTGGAGGGAGGCTTGGAAAGGAGGCGGCAACTGCTAAGGGCTTTGGCCCCAGGCAGAATGAAGTAGCAGGCGGGACTCAGAATGGGGTTCTAGCCCAAATTTGGCTAAACACCCACAGCATGGCCTCCCCTCCTTGGGCCTCAGTTTCCTAACTGTCAAAAAGGAAGCATGAGGGGCCGGCCCTGAGGCATAGCGGTTAAGTTCTTGCGCTCCGCTTTGCTGGCGTGGGGTTCACAGGTTTGGATACCGGGTGCGGACTGTCGCACCGCTTGTCAAGCCATCCTGTGATGGCATCCCATATAAAGTAGAGGAAGATGGGCACAGATGTTAGCCCAGGGCCAATCTTCCTCAGCAAAAAAAAAAAAAAAAAAAGGAAGCGTGGAACTCAACAGACTGCCAAGGCTCCTTCCAGCTTCTGGAACTCTGCCATTCTAGCTGAAGGGCCACCTTTCCCTGTGGTATTTGTGTTTCAAGCCCTCAAAAGAACAGCCAGCTCACAGGGAATGGTAGACACCACAGGAGACACCCAGGGCAGCCAGCTGCTAGACGGCTCTCTGCCCAGTGTCCAGGTCCCACCCACTGCCCACAGTGCTTCAGCTGCCTGCCCCAGGGGAGCCCCACCCTGACCCAAAGGCCAACCCCTCCTTTCCCCAGGGAATATCAACAATTGCCAGATGGACCACTACTTCTTCCTGCTGGCCGGCATTCAGGCCGCCACGGCCCTCCTGTTTATCTGGATTGCTCGTCGCTATGAGAGGGCGGCTCAGGCCTCAGTGTCCCAAAGCAGCTCCAGCAGGGACAGGGGCTGAACACGCCCCCACCCCACCTCCTCACCTCTCTGCCCCCCGGCACACAGACAGCAGCAATCCAGGCTGGAGTTTCCTTCTCAGTTTATTTTGTACCCAACATTAGGATGAAACGGTTCCCATAAATAAGGGGCATGAGCCCTTCCTCGCGACCATAGTCCGTGACAAGAGGCAGGGCAGAGGGGGCCTGGGTGGGAGTCCTTGCGAGGGACCAGGCAGGGGACTTGGATCAACAAGCACCAGAGGATGAGCAGGAGGCTGCCAGGGCTCGTGGCCAACGACGCTGGACCAGGCCGGCGGGGAGGGGTCAGGAGCTGCCCCGGATCCTCTCCATGTAGCTGCTCAGCTCCTCGGGGTCTTTCAGCCCCATGTCCTCACACACCCAGCGGATGTCCTCCTCGCCCGCCACCAGGATGGACTGCACAGCAGGGGCCCTGACGGGCTCTTCGGGCAGCTGGGCTGGGGGGGCTGGCGCAAACGTCACAAACTCGACGCGCTTCCGCCGCCCCCCGGCTTCCTTCCGGGCCAGGGTGCTCGGGGAGCTGGTGGTGGCCCCAGCGGGTGCCTGGGTCAGGGACGGGGCCTCCCCGCTGCCCCCGCTCTCGCAGGGGCAGCTCCCCTCCCCCTTGGGCAGGCCAGGGGACTGCTGGTCCAGCTGGCGGCTCAGTTCCTCCTGGTCAGTGCCTAGCCAGACCCAGTTGTGGGGCTGGGGGGAGGCAGGGTCAGTGGCACCCTCGGGAGGCTCCTTGCGCTGGTAGCGTAGCACGAAGACCACACCATTGACCAGGAAGATGAGGATGGCCACACAGAAGATGCCCAGCAGGGCGTACATGCCCAGCTCTAGGTCGGTGACCCGCTGAGGGGCAGGGATCATCTCCTCCTCTTCCTCCTCCTCCTCCTCCTCCCTGGCCTCTGTCTCCTTCCTGGCCTCCTCCTCTGCCCGCTCAAACTTGGCCCTCACACTCCCACTGTCCCCCGCACTGCCCGCCACCTGGCGCTCACCACCCATGCTGGCCTCCCTGGCTGGTGAGCTCCGGGCAGGGCTAGATGGGAGGGCAGGGGTTGGGGTGGGGGCAGGGGGCAGCCCTAGCCAGGCGGTGCCAGAAGCCAGAGGCACACGGTGGCGGCCCCGGCGGCAGGGCTCAGGCGGGTGCAGAGCCACATGCAGTGGCAGCCGCTCCGTGCCCGCCCCACTCACCACCACCCTGAGCTGGGCGCCCTGCTCCTCGGCTGGCAGGACAGCGCCAGGCTCCTCGGTGGAGATGGATAGTCCCAGGTCACGGTGGTCGTAAAGTTCAGCGGGCGCCAGGGTGTGGTCAGAAAAGGACAGCCATAGGGAGAGGGCAGCCTCCTGTGGGGCACACGGACACAGGAAGAGACACGCGAGGGCACGTACGCATGCACACAGAGACCACTCCCACAGAGACAGGCCACACGGAGGAGGAGAGACCAGAGAGAAAACAGACACAGGCAGATGGACAAAAACACAGGGAGAGAGGGGACGTGTGTCAATTACCTGTCTGCCCCTCAGCCCCAGGGTCTGAGTCATTGGGAGTGTCCTCAGAGCCATCTAATCAACCTCCCACTGCCACACTCAGGCCAGCCACTGCTTGATCACCTCCAGCTGCAGAGAGCTCACTACCTTACAGGGCAGTCAGTCCTCATTCTGAGAACTCTAAGGTGTAGGGTCGAGGTACCTCCCATCCCCCTGTCATCAGCCCCCATCTGGAGATGTTGACCGCGTCCCCCTGACCCCCAGCTGTCACCTGCTTTGGGGCGGGAAGGGCTGACTGTGCCCAGCACGTGGCTGTGACCTTCCCGGGGTGGGCAGTGCCCCGGCTCAGGGCCAGTGAGATGCCCATCACTGGCTGCACCTGCAGCTCCAGCACTGAGACCTTGTCATCCGTCACGGCCAGTGCCTGCTCCCCCAGGATGGAGTCAGACAGCGGGGAACGCACCTGAGGGTGAGAGGGAGCTGGAGGTGGGGGGGACCGTGGACACAGCCTCTCCTGAGACCCCAGCACCCCACAAAGAGATCTGCTTTCTGCTCCCAGCATCCACATAGGCTGCTCTCCCCCACCCTTTGCACCCCAACCATCCGCCCTATACATACCTGGACCACAATCCCTCCTCTCTCAAGATCTGGTCCCCACATACCCAAACTTTATACCCCCATTACCCTGGCCACCCTATTCTCACCGAATCCCCAATCCTATGGGGCTCATATCTCCCCAGGTACACCCTGGGCCCTTCCGACACTCTTCACACCTGCCCAAGAACATTCTGGGGGCCACCTACACCTTTCTCAGTGGGTCTGCTTACCTCGATGGAGGTGACTCCGGGCTCCCGGCCCACCAGGACGCGGCCGCCCTCCAGCGAGGCTACGCGTGGGTCCAGCACGCGGGCGTGCGGCGCCACGAGGTGGGACACGTCCAGCAGCCAGTCGGGGCCGAGCAGGTGGGTGAGGCGGCGGCCGCCGTCCAGCGGGTGGGCCACGAAGGGGACGAGGAAGCGCACGCCAGCGCGCTGGTACTGCAGGCGGCAGCCACGGGCGCGCCGCTCCGCCTCCTCCGCCACCGCCACAGCCTCGGGCTCCGGCGCCCTGTGGGGAGGGACGGTCCGAGGGCGGGGCGTCAGCGCAGGCCCCGCCCCCAGCCACCGGGGACGACCCCCCGGGGCTCCCAACCCGCGCACTACTTCCAACTCCGCCCACAGCCGCACCTCTTGGGGTCAGGCCCCTTCACCTGCCGGCGCTGCGCCCCAGCCCCGTTCTGATTGGTGCCTGTGCCTATCCATCAAGCCGCTCTCGCCCTCCTCTTGCTCCTAATTGGAACTCTGTGGCTACAGAGGAGGCCAGGAGACCCTCTGATGCGGGCGACCTAGGGATGCTTATTCCCTGGAGGGCCTGGGAGCTCAGATTGCCCAGGCCCGAGGCCACCTCACCCCTTGGGCTCTGGTGGGACCCCTCAACATTTGCTGAGCTAGGTGGCATCTTAGCCTTTGGGGACCCAGCAGTGAACAGAATAAAAAACCCCTGACTTAAAGGGCTTACATTGTAGGGGAGGAGCAGGGAAGGAGGAGAGGGAGGGTGGAGGTGGGCAATTTCAAATAAAGTGGACAGAGGCCGGCGGGGGGTGGGGGCCGGAGATGGGTAGAAGGAACCGCAAGCAACTGGGTACTTTTCCAGATCCCAGCTCGGGCCCATGGCTGTGTCCCCTGTACCCTCTCTCAGTCCCAGAGTGACTTTGCCAGGGCTTGCCCGCTTCCCCAGGCCTCCACTCACCCTTCAGCTGGGCCGGGTACCCTCCAGCCTCGGACCTGCTCGAGGGTGGTGTCGGTCAGCTCGATGCGCAGGGGCAGCAGAGGGGCCCACACCGTCAGCCACAGCGCGGCCCGTAGCCGGCGCCACCGGAAGTCCACCCGCACCCCCTGGGCGCCCCGGCTCTCCTTGCCAGCCACAAACACGGCGTCACAGGCCTCGGACACCTGTGGGAGGGCAGAGGGCAGGGGGTGGGCTAAGCCACAGAAGACAGGTGTGGATGGGAGAGGACAGCCCTGATCCCATGCCATAAGAAGGGGCACAGCTGAAATTTGGTTCTGTATCTTACTGTAATGCATGTCTTTATATTAAGAAGCTCTCACCATGCATCCCAGATCCATTCCCCCTGGAGGAACCAGCCATTCCCTGAGTTCACCTGGGGCTCAGTTGGAGAAACTGGCTATCTGCATACAGCAAAATCTTTCTCCTGACAGAGGAGCGTTTGAACCCACAAATTTGGCTCCTCCTTTGTGCTGGGCTCTGACTTCCGTGCTGGAGGCACCTGGCAACTGGCAGCTCGGCAGAAGTGGAGGGGCAAGGCAAACCTACCCACCCAAGGGCCCTCAGGTAGGAACCACTTACACAGGGGCAATATGCCACCCCAAGTGGTGAATGACACCTCCTCCACTCAGGTGGCCAGGATTTGTGCAAATGCGGGCTCCAGGCTTCCCCTCTTTGAACTTCAAAATGGAAAGGTGTCCTGCCCTTTTTTTCACCTCCCAGGTCATTATGAGGCTCCAATAACAATAATTATCATTATTTTTATCATTATATAATTATTGTATTGTATTGTTATTATAACGGCAGTAGCTGCTGTTGTTTTAGCAAATACTGTCTTAGGGTGCTTTTAATTCTTACAACCGCCCTAAAATAGATTCCCATTTTAAAGCTTAAGAAACTGAGGCTCAGAGAGGTTAAGAGATTGTCCACAATCACACAGCTAGTTAATAACAAAGATGGGATTCAGACTAAAACCTTCTGATCTCCAAGTACATGCTCTTAACTCTCCCACGTCAGTTCATTTGCCAGTGCAGTAATGACCATGGAAGTGCCTCAGTCGGGGGCTACTAGGGTTACAAGGCTGCCACTTGACTCTGGAGAGAGGTGGCGGGAAAGAAGTTGAAGCTGTGGTTCCTTCATGAGGTTTCTGGTGTCAAGAAGAAGGTGTTCTCTTGGAGACCTAAATGGGGAAGGGGGAAAGCTGGGCATCACTGCACACACTAATGCACACTCACCTGCAGGACCTGTGTGTTGGCTGACTCACAGCCGATGTGCTCTGTCACCTCCACCAGAGCCCCCCCACTGTCCACGGTGACAAGGCGCACAGGGACACGCCGTGGCACTCCAGTCAGTGGCGCCGTATTCACCAGCTCCTCGGTCTAGGGGGGGCAGCAGGAGGAGCTGAGCCCCAAGCTCTTCACCTCACTTGGCCCCCTACGCGGCCGGGCAGCGGGGGGACCCCTTACCTTGGCCAGTGGAACGAGAGCTCTTACATCCCGCTCCGACACCAGAATCTCCCACACCATTTTGTCCTTCTCTGCTTCGGGGGCCTGGCCTGGGTACTCCAGCTGCCAGGTAACAGGGCGAGTGACCGCCACGCCCCCGCTAGTGCCATTCTCCACCAAAAAGTCCACCCACAGGAACTCGGACAGCTCAAGGGGGCTGCTGGCCAGAAGAGAGAGAAACTGAGTGTTTGCTAGTGGCCAGACACTGTTGTAAGCGCCTCCTGTCCTCATGAGATAGGTCCTATGGTTATCCCCACTTTACAGATAAGGAAACAGAGGTTTTATAACTCGTCCAAGGTCACACAGTGAAAAGTGGCAGTGCTGGGATTGAACCCAAGCATCCCGGCTCTAGAGCCAAGCTCTCGTCCACTCTTGGCCTTGACAAGATCCGTGTAGCCACTTCAATACCACCCACTCCCCAAGATGGTTGCTGGCTCTCCTGCCTTCCTGAGACCCTCTACTCGGACTTCAGCTTTCCACAGCCATCAAGGTGGCATACAGCACCTGATGTCAATTTCTACCAAGGAGGAAGATGTACTTCCAAGCCCCGGGACTGGTACTCGACCCCCTGATTAATAACACTCACAGCTTCCTTTGATCAAGCACCTGCTATGTGCCAGGAACTGGCCTGGGTGCTTGCTATGTGCCATCTTATTTTATTTCCACAAACCCTAAGGGATGCATTGTCATCTCCATTTTACAAGTGAGGAAACTGTGGCTCTGGTGGGGAGTGTGGGGGGATGGAGGGAGGTTAACTGGCTTGCCCAAGGTTATTCATCCAAAAAGTGTCCGAAGCAGGATTCAAACAGGCGCTACAAAGCCCATGGCCTTGACCAGGCTTAGAGCGTGAATAAGAAGAGTTCACAAATGTTAAGAACTATAGCTGGGTTTTTTGGGGAATGTTAATGGCCCAGAAAAAGGTGGGGTAGTGGCTGTGAGGGTTGTCTTTGGGTGACCAGGAGAGGTTGGCATCCCCTGGAATAAGACTCACAGACACTCACCGTACCTGGCACGTGGCTGGGGATGGGTCAGTAGTAGCTAAATGAGTGAATGAATGAACAGTGTTATCTGCTTTGTGCTGCTTCCTTGAAGGAGTCTGTTCTCGGGCCTGCTTGCATGGGAATATGGAGGCAGCCTGGCAGCCCCCAACCCTGGGGTCCCATCAATCTGCTCACTAGCACTCTAGGACCAGCCCTCCCTCCTCTGCCCACCAGGGGAGGGAGCTGCCTACCTGGAGTGCGGCCCTGTGGGCCCGGCATGGTGGCAGGTGATGAGGGTGGTGTGGTGCTTGGAGCCCTTGAAGCGGTCCAGCTTGGCAGTCCAGAGGGTGGGCTGGGCTAGGTGGGCAGCCGTCACATGCAGCCCCTTCTTCACTTTGATCCTGGGGGAGAGGACACAGGTCCAGTTTGTCAAGGTGGGTACTGAACTGTGGACTGGATGGGACAAGGAAGACAAGAGGTTAAAGACGCCTCCTGTCTAGCCTCCCCTACTCCGGTCTGAATCTCCTCCTCACCATCCTCCAACCCAGAAAGACCCCATCTCAATGCAGGTCGTGCCATACAGCTCTCCCCACTCAAAGATCACTTATGACACCCCACTGCCCACAAGGTCAAGTCTTAGCCTGGCGGTGGAGGCCCTCCAGGGTCTGGTCCAGTTTCATCTTCGGCTGTGACGTCTCTCCATCTCTCTTGGCTTCAGCTACACCCAAAATTCTTCCCCACATACACAAAGCCCATTCATGCCTCTACGCCTTTGCTCAGGCTGTGCCTTCAGCCTGGTCTGCCCTTCCTTTCCTCATCTGCCCATTCTTCAAGCCTCCAGGAACTCAAACACTGTTTCCTTTAGAAAGCTTTTCCTGTGGCAGGATGAATTTCCCCCTCTTCCACCCCCTAACCCGAGCCCCCGCAGTACTTTATACCTTCATCAGAGCATATAATCCAGTTCATGCCCATCCAGCTCCCTTCCCTACCCTGGGGGCCCCTTAGTGCCAGATGGGGACCAACCCTTGCTCCTCTCGTAGCTCCAGGGTGGAGACACAGGGCTTGGCATATTTTAAATGTCCAGGAAAAATCTAATGAGTGTGCAAGTGAGCATAGGAGGGCGGGAGAGACAGGGAGACAGGACAGGACACACACAAACCCAAATATGAAAGAGGCAAGTCACACTCTGCAAATCCTTATCCGTGGGATTGGGGTGGGGGCTGCTCTGGGGGGACTTCCTGCAGAAAAGGCCACAAAGAGGAGGGCCTTCCTGTGAGGAGCAGCAGGCCCTGTCCAAAGGCTAGGGACCCGTGGCGAGGGTGGCAAGTGGGAGAACATGCAGATGAATGTGACTGGGACAGATATCTGTCCTGGGGCATTAGAGCATTAACCACCCCCAGGTACTGCACTTTCCAGTTTCTAAGCCCTTTCCTATTTCCCCTCCCTGGAGCCTTGCAGCTGCCCTATGAAGCGGGCATAGTTAGCCCCACAAAGGAGTCTCAGGGAGGTGCCAGGAGGGGGGGCTTCCTATTTCTGACTCCAAGTTCATCGCCGGTCCTGCCTGCTGCCAGGGCAGTCAGAGCGCTTGGCCTGGATGGGGCTTGGTGGACCCATGTTTTGCAGAGGTCAAGGATTCCAGTAAGGACCCCAAGAGGAGTAGGTACTCGCCCAGTCTTTCTGTAGAGGTTCCCACCTCCGACCACCCCCAGGGGCCTGGTGCTCACCGCAGGGTCAGGACGCTGGCTGTGAAGTTGTGCCCAAGCAGGAGGGTGGCACTGAAGAGCTGTCCGGGCCGCACGGGCACGTCAGGCACCCTCAGAGTCACTGCTTCATCCAGGGGCACCTCCTGGTATCGTGGGGGGTCCGCCGGGCGCAGCTCCACGCTGCCCACTGGGAGGGCCTGCTCCCCGGGGTCCTCCACCCCGCCAAGCCCACAGCCCCCAGGGCCCTCGGCTGCGGGCTCCAGTGTGTAGGCCAGCTCGGCCCGTGTTGGGGAGCCTTGGGGGAACCACTGTGAGGGAAACTCCAGCTCCACCACACAGGCGCCCAGGGACGGCTGCAAAGACACAATGGCAGTGGCTAGCATCCATGGCAGGAAACCCAGAGCTGGAGGGGTCCAGGAAAGGCGGGACCAGCAAGGAGCAGAGTGACAAAGCCAACTAGAACAGGGCTGGAGCTAGGTCTCAGAACATGTCCACAGACCACTCTTCCACCTTTGGGGACAGTCTCATTCCAAAGTGAGCCAATCCCCACGCCTCCCTACCCGTGCCTCAGGACCGCTCAGACTACAACTCAGCTTTCTCAGAATCCCAAAGCCTGTGAAATACCTCTCGCCAGCGGATGCCTGTGCTAGGCTCTAACACAGTGGAAATTGCGATTATGAAAGTAATACGAACAATAATGCAAACACTCGCTGAGGGATTGCTCTGTACAGGGCATTGTGCTAACAGCTATTCTTGCATTCATCTCATTGATTCTTTATTCTAACTCCATATGAGGTAGGAATTGTTATTACCCCATTTTACAGATGAGGAAACTGAGTCTCAGAGATTAAGTAGCTTACCCAAAGTCATATACAATGGACTGAACTCTTTATGGGGCCCTAAATGACCCTTCATAGGGCCCTGTGAAAGCTGGCAGAGCAGGAATGGAGTCAGGTGGTCTGTGAACCTCAAACTTCCCAGGAGTGGTGAGCCCTCTCTTCCCTACCCCAGGACCACACTCTGGCTGGCACAGCAGCAAGGCCAGCCTAGGTGGGGCTGGCCCACTCACCTGGAAGCGGCAGGCTCGGTGAGTAGTGCCCGCAGGGTGTCTGGCATGGAGCCGGGCACAAGGCAGGCTGCCAGGTCCCGGCGGCCAATCCTGCCCTTTGAGGTGGAAGAGGACGCGGGCATGGGGCTCTGCTGGAGTGACGGCTGCTTCCACGGACACGGCCCGCACGTCCCATGGGACTGGCCGTTGGTGGGGCTCAGTGACCAGAGGAGGGACCACCTGGAGGGAGAATGGGGATGCTCAACAAAGTAGGGGGTGGATGGAAGATGGGACGCCAGGCTTCCCATCCCAGGCAGGCAGGAGAGAGCCTTTATGGGCCTCAGTTTCTCCCTCTGGAAGATGGGAGCACAGCTGGGACTGCGGAAGGCCCCTGAGCCACATACAGCAGACCTCTGAGTCCTTTAGCCTGGGAGTCCCTGGTGCCCCTCCTTACCTGCTGAGTGGCAAAGGGTGGGTAGGAGGCCCGGAGAAGTGGCTGGGCCCTGGGCCAGGGCTGCAGGAGCAGAAAGGTCTCAGATCTGGAGCCCAGAGAGGAGTTGGCAGGTGGGTAGCGGCCCACCTGCTGCACACGGAAGTGCTCAGGGGCATCCAGGAGCTCCAGGGCAGCCGGCAGGTAGACGGGGTCCAGGGGGTCCTGGTCACAGTCCACTGAAGAGGGAGAAGGGGTAGAGGCAGTGACAGCTCCAGAGCCAGCAGGGGCTGAGCTGAGTGCCATCCTGGGGCAGTGGTGGTGGGCAGTGGAGGGAGAGAGGGGTTATACATGTCCCCTCCCCCCAGGATGTGGGGGGAATCTCCCCATCTCACAGACGAGAAACTGGAGCACAGAGAGCCTCACACAGGGAGCATGTAACAGGGCCAGGATTTGAATCTGAGGCCAGGACTAGATGCCATCTTCCGAGCCATTCCTTCTACCTCCCACAGATCCAGGCCTTCCTCCCTCCAGCAGAACCGCAGAACCTTCTCCATGTCTCCTCCTTCCCCATTCCTGCCTCCTATCTACTTGCCCCTGACACCAAGGCATTTGTGGGGTACAGCTCTCCCCAGACAGGGCCTATGTGGTAAAAGATGGTGAGAACAAGGTGAGCTGCAGGTAGAGACCCTTTCTCTGCCAGTGGGTCCTTGGCCAAACTTGGCTGGGCATCCACCCTCCCTCCCCCTACATCATCACCATGGCAACCTCGCTCTGGTTTCCCAAACTTGCTCCCTTCTTCCCTGTCCCAATTGGGTATTGGAGTGCAAGAGTGGGATGGGGGGTGGGTTGGGGATGGGAACCATGAGCCTGGGGAAACAGTCAAATATTCAACAATTAGAAGGACAAAGGAACACTAAGACCATGGTTTCTACCAAGTGACTACTAATTAGCTCTAATAATAATAACAATTTTTAACACTAACTATATGCAGGCTACTATTTTAAATACTTTATATGTATTAACTCTTTCAGTTTTTGTAATAACTCTGAGAACTAGGCTGTATCACTATTAATCCCATTTTATGGATGTAGAAGGTGAGGCTGAGAGGTTAAGGTAGTGGCCTGTGGTCCCACGGCTAGAGCGTGGTGGAGCTGGTAGTCAGAGCCCAGGCATCAACCACTACTCTACCCTCCACCTCTCTCTCCACTCTGCGCTGCTGGCAACGGTAATCCTGTAGCCTTCAGTCCCTGGACTGTGGGTCTCCCCTCCTTCCCGGCCAAGATGGAATGTTGCCTCCTTCTCAAGGAAGCCCTCGTTGATTGCTTGCCCTCCCACCAGTCCCCTCGGTCTTTTGCACCCTGGTTGCCTCTTCTGAATTAGTTATCTTCCTATCTATCAACAGGGGGACTTGTCTTACTCATTCCAGAATCCCCCAAGCTGGGCAGCTCTCCCTGGAGAGGATGTCCGGGGAGCCTGGAGACCTGCATTTACGTCCTAACTCTGCGTCCAAGAAGCTTGGGTCAGTCATTTAACATCTCAGTTTCCTCACGAGTAGAACAGGCATTTAGTGAGGCTGTGGACAGGGGAGGGCTTTGTAAACAGTGGAGCGCTGTCTGGGGGAGGGGTTACTGCTGCTGGCTAATGGATGTGACAAGGCTTTCCTCATCTCTGTGTAAGGGGTTATTAGGGCTCCTGCCAGGTCCCCTGGGGAGGGGAGCAGGTGGCTGAAAGCAGCCCTAGAGCCAGCTCCCTCTCAGCTCCACTGCTGGGAGGGGGATTTGATGGTTTCACCCTCCTTGAAGACCGTCTCCACCAAGGAGCGTGTATTGGAGATGCTCCATCCATCCCGCCCCCCCAAGCAACAGGTGAGTGACTATGGCTCACTGGGGGCAGCCCCTGGCCTGCCATCCTCCTATTCCATTGCCTCCATAATTACAAGATGCTCTGTGGCCTGACTCTCACGGACTCCCATCACCCAGAGCTCAGCTCTAGCGGTGGGGGGTGAGGCCGGGAGAGAATGCCTCACTCTCCTCCACTCTTCCGTGGCATCGTCCACGTAGCAGCCACAGGCCATGCCAAGGGCGGTCTGACCCCCAACCCGGGGCACAGGGGAGTCGCTGCTCCTTCCTGATCCCCATAAGGACTCAGGAAGGCACGGATGGGGCGATCCCTGGAGACTCCCAGGTCAGAGACCTCGTTGGAGCAGGAGGAGGGTGGCTGTGTACCTCCCAGTTCCCAGGCAAAGGGCCTGCTTCCCGTAGGGAGTGGGTTGATGGTGGAGGGAAGAGAATACGGGGTGCAGCTCCATGGACCGCAGATTAGGGAGCTGGTGCGCCCGGGGCAGGGCAGCCGGGTTAGACGCCCCGGCTGGAAGGGAAGCTCAAGGAAGGTGCGGGACCGGGCATGGGTGGGAGGAAGGCGGTGAGAGCCCGCGGACCCGGCTGGTCCTGGGTCAGGAAGGAGTTGCCGGGTTATGCAAGTGAGTGAAGCAACAGAGGCGAGCGGCTTGGGGGACGATCCCGGGGGTGAGACCTCTCCAGCCCTCGGGGCACGCTGCGGGGCGACCCGCTCGGGGTTTAGTCCGAGAACCCGCAGGTTCCCGGCTCCCGGGCATCCCTCCTGGCCGCCCAGTCACCCCTCGCCCCGCCCCTGCCCACCCCTCCCGCTGACCTCTCACGATGTCCAGGGCGAGGGCCACCAGGAGGCAGAGCCAGGGGCCGCGGGGCCCCCGGGGAGCCGCTGCCGCGCGCCCCGCCATCCGGGCGCACATCCTTCCCACGGAAGGCGGGAACTAGGCGAGCGGCTCAGGCCGCCGCGGTCCGCCCGGCATCTCCCGCGCCCTCTCCGCGCCCGGCCGCCTGGGTCCGCGCCGCCGCCCGCCCCGCGCCCGCAGTTCGCAGACAATGGAGCGGGAGCCGGAGCCGGAGCAGGGGTGGGAGCGAGCGGGCGCCGCACATGGACTGCCCCTCCGCCCCGCCGGGTCCTAGTGCCCTGCGGATCCCGAGCCCCACAGCACCCCTAGGCTCAAGGTCGGGAAGCAGGCCACTTCCCTGAGGACTGAACAACAGGCAACCGACCCGCCTCTGCCAAGAGAGACATCACAGGTTCTGTTCGCTCCCTCTCGGAGGCTCCTGACCCAGGAGGAAAAAGCCACTTCCTCTGCCTCACTCCCACCCCACAAGCAGCTCACCTATGAAGGCATCTGACATCCGCATCAGAACCAGAACTCAAGGACATGGGGAACTGAGCTGCAGGGGTGTAAAGGGGATGAAAGAGGGCCAAAGGGCCAGGTGACAGCCACCTGGGCCTGCCTGACAGAGCCCTGGGCCACTCCTGTGGAGGAAGGGCTCCAGGTGCAGGCAGCTGGAGTTTCCTGTCCAGCCCCATCCCAGGGAGAGGCTTGTGGGCCTAGGAAGGGTGGGGGCTGGTCTCTGCTCCTGAGAGCAGGCCTGTCTCCCAGGTCCTGGCCTCCAGGCCCAGCGTCCCTGCCAGGCAGTGTGGGACAGGTCAGAGCAAGGCAACTGGTTGCACATTAGCATCTCCTGGGCAGCTTAAAAACAAAAAGCCATGCCCCAGGCCCCTCCACAAAACCAATCCAATCTATGGGCCTGGTTGAGAACCACAGTGCAGGAAACTCCTGGGGGGCGGGGGGCAGGCAGGTCTCCAGGCTATGGGCCAGCCTTTGACACTCCTGCACTCCAATGGTGAAAGGGGTACCTTCCTCCCCCACATACACACTATTCCAACAGCTCCGGGCCAGTCAGTTCCTGAAAGTTTTGTAATGAGGGCATGCCTTCCTCATTCCTCACTCCTGGAGGCCTTCTTTGTGCTCCCTCCCTTCCCCCCTTTCTCCTAGCTTCACATTGCCTGATGTAGGGAAAAGTCTAGAAAGCCAGGCGGCTCCACAGAAGTGGGTTTAGCTGTAGAGCAAGAAATCAAAGCAATCCGGACTTTGAGTAAATACATTTTATACGGAACAAGATAATAAAATAGCGTGCATTTTATTTAAAACCAACCAAGCGCTGATAAAAATATATATCACCGTAGCTGTGATTCCATGTCAAACCTGAACAGTAAGCACTGGGCGTTTATTCTTCATATCATGTGCTGGGCCTGGCAGAGGAGGACATTCACCTCCAGCAGAGCCTCAAAGGAAGAATAAGAGTCCTGATGGAGAGGGGTCAGCCGGCAGGCTCCCCTGCTCCCCGCAGAGCAAGTGGAGGGAAAGAGCTGTGTGCGCATCTCTGGTGGGTCTGCTCTGTGCTTCCTAGGCCACTGGGGTGGGTCCTGATCAGCAACTCCTTGGTGGCACTGAGGGAGGGAGATGGTGGAGAACGGCCTGGAGCTGTGCAGACAAGGAGATGAGTCCTCCTTCCTCCTTCAGGGTCTCTGAAACCCCCACAGGGGATCTGATGGCCACTGCAGGGTCCTACTTGCCGGCACAAGCCTAGGAAGCGGTCATCTTTTGCTTTGCTGAAGGGAAATCAAGCTTCTGAGAGGGACCACTCTCTTCTTGACACAAAGCAGCCACAGTGCACCTTCCTACATTCAGTACAGGAGCGGGCAAGCGGAGGGCCCCGCTGGCTCGGATTAAGGCACTTGTAAGGGACTCAGTGTACATCCTCGGCCCCAGCCCCACGTGAGAACTTCCCCCCTTCCCATCCCCTCAGCTCCCAAGCCTCTTCCCCGTGGCTGGGCAATGAAGGGGACAGGAGCACGCCTTGAGGGACTGGGGGTTGGTGGGAGAACAGGGCTGGAGAGAGACAAACAGGAAGGGAACTGAGGACTTCAAAGAGGAGGAGCTGGAAGACAGAAGAGCAAGACCATCCGAGGAAGGCAAGGCAGTGGCGGAGTTGCGGGAGATGGCAGTGATGTTCGTTCGCTGAGAGCAGATGCAGAAGCTGGAGGGGAGGCCCCTCCGACTCTCACTGGCCGGGACAGGCTGGGAGCAGAGGAAGGGTTAAGAGAACCAACCCCAGACAGAGGACCAGCAGGGGGACCGGTCTTCCTCTGTCTCAGGTAGGGGGTCTGACGCAGAGATAAAGGTTCTCAAGGGTCAGAGGGCAAGAAAAGGGCAGGAGGGCTGGAAGGAGGGCTGTGCGACCCAGAAGCGGCACAGCTCTTTGGTACAACCAAGGTGGCTGGCGTTGTCACTTCGCCTTCTCACTCCTCCTCCACGCTCCGGGGCCCCTTGGCCGCTCGCCTCTGCCGCCAGCGCAGCTCCTCTACCTGGCGCTCCAGCCCACGCACCTTGGCCTCAAGGTGGGCGGAGGCCCGGGTGCCAAGGAGCCGGCTCAGCAGGGCGTAGAGGGTCAGCAGGGCCAGGAGGAGCAAGGCCCGGGTGGAAGGGTCGGGCACAGACCGCACCAGGGCCACAAAGCCGGCCAGGAAGAGGACAAGCTTCAGGCCCCACAGGATCCGCCCCAGCAAGGCCAAGATCAAGCCGAGGAGCAGGGACAGGAGCCAATAGACCACCAGGGCCCCAGCTCCCCACAGCAGGAAGGTCTGGACCTGGCTGGGGCTGAGCTTCAGGCCCTGGGTGAGCTGATCTCCTGGAAGGAGGAGAATCGCAGGATCAGTCAATCTGGAGTAGTGAGGGGACCGGGGGGCAGGAACCAAAAAAGGGGGAGGAACTAACCCCCTTGCAAAGGAAGACCCCTTCCCACAGGTCACAGAGACGTGAGCAGGAATCTCAGTTCTGCTTCCTGCCAGCTGTGGGTAGATTACTTCCCTTGGCTGAGCCTCTTTCATCTACTAAATGGGGGTAAAGCTCTGGGCTGTGGTAACAGCTAAATGAGATACTACGGGTGCCTTGCTTAGTCTGACATGAAGCGAAGGCCTGGGAGGTGGTGGTAATTAGCCTGCTCCCCAGCGTGCCTCTGGGGAGACCCAGGAGGGGTCGAGCAGCTGCGGAAAAGTCTAGACCCTGAAAACATAAACTCCCACAAACAGGAAGTGACCGGCGAAGCTCCAGCCGACCCAACCAGTTCTCTGCCACTCACCGTCTAGCCCCAAGGCACTCAGCAGCTGTGCAGCGATCCCAGACAGGGCGAAGAAGGCCACGGAGATGGCTGACGAGATGGCCCACATCACCTGAGACAAGGTCTGTGGAAGGAGCAGGGCTGAGATGAGTTCATAATTAACGACGCTCTTCTCCTCCAAGCCTCACCACCACTGCCCAGGCAAGGCTCGGCTGGAAGGTGTCTCACCTGCTTCTCAGCCAGAGGTTTGCCCACCCGGGCTTGGCTAAGGGGTCCCTTCCACAGCCACCTTCCAGGGGACAGGGATGGATGGCAGGCCATTTCTCCTTCCTCAACTGGAACCCAGGACATCTGGGCCCTCATTCAACTGATTTGCTAGAATACTTTGGTGGTAGTAGTAGGTGTACGTGTGTGGGGGGGAATCATCAAATCCTGTAGTAGTCACCCTATAAAATTGGGGTCCCCCTAGGCTCCAAGGGAATCATGAGGTGTGTGAAGTAACACCTGTAAAGATCTATAAAGAATCTGTCTAGGATGTTTTAATGAAAAAGGAGTTAATCAGCTCTACTCTATTATGGATTTTATAAAGGATCGGCTCAGCCATTTAGTACAACCTATCAAAAGTATGCGACACCATGCTTAGGATGCCATCAGGTAGAAGAGACAGGCCTGCCTGAAGCCCCTGAGTCAGCCCCACCCCCACCTCGACAGGTGGAGGAATGCACTCAGGTCTTGATTGCTAAAATAAGACTCAAGGTCAGATTTAGACCAAAGTCAGGCTCTGTAGTCACCCAGTGGCATGGGTTTATAAAGATGGCTCATTTCCCAGCCTTTCTGGCAAAGAAAGGTCAGGACCATGGGAAAGATGTGGGTGGAGCTAAAGGCCCTAGGGTAGGATGCAAACAACGAGAGTGCAAAAGGCAGGTACTGTCTGGCTTCCCTCTGTGGAATGTGGGGCTCTCTGCACCAGGGGTTATGACACACAGAGGACATGGGGCCAGGACGGGGTGGCCGTGAACAACGTCTCCTCTTTTATCTTTCCTCAGTGTGTGTCGTCACAGCAGGACCACCCTCCTTACCTCGGAAACCAGGTGCACCGTCTCTGGCCCGATCCAGGCCTCCAGTGTTCCCCGCACAGATCGACCTATCTCGCTCAAGAGATCAACCGGGACCTCCCTCTTCTGCTGGCCTGGTGACACAAAGTCTGGATGGGACTGGCATGACGCTGAGTGGAGGAGGATGAGGGCCACTAGGACCATCAGGATGACTTTGAACAGATGCTTGCCCCGTGGCGAACTGCTGCCTGTGCCTGCCATGGCTGGGTCTGCTAGGAGAGAAGCACAGAGTGAGCAGAGAGCCAGAAGTGGCATAGAAACCCACTGTCCCAGCTAGGACTTGCTCCAACACCTTCGTCCTCCCCTACCCTGTTAACTGAGAAAGGCAGAACTGGGACTTGTGACTAACGCTGGGCACAACCATCTGATTCACGGGTTTCTCTTCCACATTCTTTACCACTTGCATATTAATTAGCCAGCTAGTATTATTCAACGCCTTAGGGTAGATGAGAAGATCTCTCTAAGGCTTATTCCAGTTCTAAAAATCTGAAAGCCCGTCTCTGTGTCTTAGGTGCTATGGGCACAAAAAAATGATAAGACTCTAATCTAAGGCTTTGTCACCAAGGAGGTTATAACCTACTTAAGATAAGGCTGATATAAAAAACAATTTAGGGGCCGGCCCCATGGCTTAGCGGTTAGGTGCGCGCGCTCTCCTGCTGGCGGCCCAGGGTGTGGATCCTGGGCGCGCACCGATGCACCACTTGTCCGGCCATGCTGAGGCGGCGTCCCACATACAGCAACTAGCAGGATGTGCAACTACGACATACAACTATTTACCGGGGCTTTGGGGAGAAAAAGGGGAAAAAAAGGAGGAGGATTGGCAATAGATGTTAGCTCAGGGCCAGTCTTCCTCGGCAAAAAGAGGAGGATTGGCATGGACGTTAGCTCAGGGCTGATCTTCCTCTTAAAAAAAAAAAAAAACTAAAAAGTAGCACACAAGTAGGATTACCACTGTATAACTATGTAAAGAAAAGTGCTCAGTTATCTGCTCCAGCAAAACTATAACTGCACAGATGCCATTTGCTCTGCAGGACCATCATGAGGGGTGCTATTATCCTCCTCGCCCCTACTGTACACATGAGAAGAAACTTAGACTTAGGAGTTGTTTGCCAAGGTCACAAGGTTAAGGAGAACAGCCAGAATTTGAAGCCAAACTTCTGCTTCCCCATCGCATACTCGTTGGGAGTGAAAGTAATGCAGCGGAGCTGAACTGTGGCTGCTCATTAGAATCATCTGGGAGCTTCACAACATACTGACGCTTCTGTCCCAAGCCCAGAGGCTCAGATGTCACTATCTGGGTGTGGCCCAGGCTTAGACCTATAAAAGCTCCCTGGTGATGCCACTGTGCAAAGTCGAGACCCACTGACACAGAGTGAGCTCAACTCTCCAGCCCCCAGTGTAGGCAAAGGGTTAACACACAACCTTTAAGGAAAGATATTGTTAATAAAAAGCTAACCACGTGCCACCTATCTCATTTAATTCTCACAACAACCCAGCAGGTGGGTATTGCTATTATCCCCCATTCTACTGATGGAGAAACCAAGACAGGATAAGCAGTAAGTGAGGAATCCAAGATTTGAATCGAGGTGCCTCTGGCGCCAGACCCCCTCACACACACCACACTGCTGTATCATCTCCAACTTAAGCCTCTGAAATGATTTAGACAGTCATACAATGGACTATTCATGAGGTAAATAGACTTGGGATGTCCCAATCATCTCTGTGAATTACTGATGACAATTCACTTAACCACTCTGTGCTCTGACCTCATCTGTAACAGGATGCTATAGGCAAGTTAAGACCCAACAGGTACGGACTCATTGAAGCAGATGAGGATCAGCCAAGAAAAATGTGTTCAATTCCGACTTCTATTTGCCACCATGCTTGAGAAATGGCAAACAGCACCAGCAAATCTCCTATTCTCTTCCAGGCTCAGAAAGGAACCTGTAGCTCCAGGGAGTTTCCATGATTCAGACCCAAGGATCAGAGGCTAAGCCATCCCAGAGGCAGGAGCAGCCAAGTATTTGAAGTTTTGCAACTTTAGGGAGTTGGATAGAGATCTGGAACCACCAGGATGGAGGAGACGGAAGAGAAGATGTTCCCAGTCTTGCTTAGTGGGAAGAACGAAGGTCCAAGAAAGGAATCTAAAAATATCACATTCAGGCATTTTCTGGATTTCTTTTTGTTTTTGAGGAAGATTGGCCCTGAACTGTTGCCAATGTTCCTTTTTTCCTCCCCAAAGCCCCAGTGGGTAGTTGTATGTCATAGTTGTACATCCTTCTAGTTGCTCTATGTGGGACGCCACCTCAGCATGGCTTGATGAGGGGTGTGTAGGTCCGCACCCAGGATCCGAACCTGCAAACCCAGGCTGCCAAAGCGGAGCATGTGAATTTAACCACTATGCCACTGGGCCGGCCCCACTTTCTGGATTTCTAAGTCCCTCCAGAGACCTGTAGGATCAAGCAGGGCTGCAAAATACACAATTCCCGTGGAAGCAGGGCTGCAAAATACACAATTCCCGTGGAAGGAGCTCAGGCTGAGAAGCCTTCTACTCTTTTTTGGCACAAATCAAGAACCAGATGGTTCCTGCCTGCCAGTGGTCGGCGATGAGGACAGCACAGGTCAGTTCCTGAGCTATCTGGGTCATAACCACACTGGGGACTAAAGAGCAGGGTTGCTATCTTGGGCTGGATTCTATATCCAAGGACCTCCACCAAGAGGAATCAGATGTCTTCTCCTCCATTCTAAAAGGTCAGGGTGATGTGAGCTGCTTCCCCCATGGCAGCCTCCTGCATTCTGTGCCAGCCTCAACTTTTAGGCGGCCATCTGCCCTGGTCGAGAGGAGCTGGGGGACTGTGAAATAACTCTCTACAGTAAGGCTGGCATTGCCCTGCTAGCTGACCTTCTGAAAGGCACCGGAAACCAAATCTAACAGGATTCTGGAATGTGCCCTGTGCAGATAAGAGTGCAGGTTACTGGCTGGTCCGTTTTTCTGAAGTTGTTTTCTTTAACAGGATTCCTTCTCATTTCTTCCAGGTTAATCTCAGGCAGCAAGAACCTGACCCACTGCCATTACACCTCCTCACTTCGTCCCAATCAAATACTTTTCATAAAGAGATGCCATGTAGTCAAGAGCTAAGCAGTCTCCTGCTCTGAGAGGAAGTATGTCTTAAAGGTCTTCACCTCCCGCAGTGCCCAGCCTCGGACAAATAGTATGCACACAACAACAACAACAAATTGTGTGTATACACACACACACACATATTTTTTGTGTTGCTTTATAATTTACCAAGTGCTTGTTATGTCACCATCTCATTTAACTCTTACAACAATCTTATAAGGTACTGCTACTCTCCATATTTTACTCAGAAAACTATGGCTTAGAGAGATCAAGTGACTTGTTCAAGTTCACCAACAGAACTGGCACTTGACTCCAGAACCCAGGATCTAAATCTTATCCTTTGGCTTGTTCCACACCCCCACGCTGCTGATCATAAGACATGGTCCCTGCCCTCAAGGCGCTTCGGGTTCTGCCCCAAATCAACCAGCTCAAAGGGAGAGGACATTCAGACTGTCATGAGGAGACCACACACCAGGAGATGACCTACCTGCTGGTCATGGTTTTGCACCAAGAGGTATGAGGGCAGCAAAAAGAGGGACGAGACCTGCCACTTCTGTTCAGGCAGCTGCAGTAGGGCCAGGCAGGGCCAGGAGAAACCGGCTGAGCTGGGGAGCCTGCTTCACTTACTCTGGTGGTGATGGGCACTATATGTTTAGCTGTGGTTTGCTAAGAGGGCAGGGTGGGGCAGTCCACACACCCTCTGCCAAGGCTTGTTCCTCTGATTAGTTTCCTTTCACACTCTGAATCACTACGTGGCAGGAGGGGCAACTGATTTGGTGCCCTCTGCTGGCCCTGATTTTCCCATCATTGCTCAGAGCTGCCCCTATGGAGCAGTGGTTCTCAGCTCTGGTCACCCATCAGAACAGCCAGGGGAGCCTGTTAAAGCAAGAATGTCTGCATCCGGGGCCAACTTACTCAGACTCTCCCAGAGAGGGGCTTTCAGGCTTCTGTTTTTAGAGCTCTTCAGGGATTTCTGATGCATAACCAGACAGCTGCCACAAATGATCAGCAGCACAGGGAAAAGTCTACTTTAGGCAAAGGTCTAAAAGTGCAGCAGTATGGGGCCGGCCCCATGGCGCAGCGGTTAAATGTGCGCGCTCCGCTGCTGGCAGCCCAGGGTCAGATCCCAGGCGTGCACCGACGCACCGCTTGTCAGGCCATGCTGTGGTGGCGTCCCATATAAAGTAGAGGAAGATGGGCACAGTTGTTAGCCCAGGGCCAGTCTTCCTCAGCAAAAAGAGGAGGATTGGCATGGATGTTAGCTCAGGGCTTATCTTCCTCACAAAAAAAAAGTCAAAAAATAAAATAAAATAAAAGTGCAGCAGTGTACCAAGGACCCTCCACTTCCGTCCCAGGCTCAATTCCGCCACAAACTAGAAGCCACTACCTTATGCCTATCACTTAACCTGAGTTTCAGTCTCCTCAAATGTAAAAGGAGGTTAAGAGTCCTTGCAAGAATAGAAGTATAATGATGTACACCTGAAATTTTTACAATGTTATAAACCAGTTACTGCAATAAACAAAAAATAAAAAAAAAAAGAAATTAATATTACAATTTACTGAATTTAAACCTTAATATTTCACAACCGAACTAAGCTAATTTAATGAGATGCTAACAACTCTAAAATACCAAGCTGGAATAGGAATAAAGTTTGTTACCAAAAAAAAAAAAAAAACAAAAAGTCGTTGCAAGAAGTTAACACGTTTCTGCAAGAACTCTGTAAACTGTAAACATCTATAGAAACGTTGCAGTACACAAATTGCCAATATACCTAACTCATTACAATGTAGCATTAGTTAGTTTATATGCCTGCCTCCTCCATGAGACTGAGCACCTGCTGGTCCGGCTGACACTAACTTTTCTTGGAATCCCCAGCGCCTAGCATAGAACCATGACTAGTAAATGCTTGTTAAATGAGTATTACAGGTCCGCCAAGAGGCCGTGAGGGTAGCAATGGGGAGCCATGGAGAGATAGGGAGAGGGGGCTTATTTTACAGTGGATCTAAATATGCAGCGGCCACCGGAACAGAACAGCTGCGTTAAAGGGAAGCTCCTAGATGAGGCGATGCTGCCACTGAGGAGAATAAAGTCAGCGTCCTGGCAGGTGGGGGCGGCCCCCGCTAAACCCCTGACAGCTGCTGCCCAGCAACTGTTTGGGGGCAGGGCGACGGGCAAAGGGGCAGCTTCCCAGCCGCGCCGGGCTCTCCCCAGGGCCCAGCCTCCCTGAGACAGGGTGTCAGTGGCATGTGCTATTTCGAACAGCGTGTCCCCTGCCAAGCCCTGCTGGGTGGCGTCGCTGGAAAGGGACACGGCGTAGCCCATAGGTTCGGGGTACCCCAAAGGGCTCAGAGCAAGGCCACGGGAGACTGGGCCGCGGGGCAGGAGGCAGGGACTAGGGGCTCAGCGCTAATCTCGCCCCCCAGTCTGGCAACCGCTCCCCGCTCGGCCGAACCTCGGAGCAGCGCTCGGAACCTTCCTCTCCGCGGAAACGCATGCCTCCCCTGTTACCTAGTAACGACGCCCCCTGTTGCATAGCAACGAGGATCCGGGTCCCCAGTTTGTTTCCCCGCCGCCCGACGTAGGACCCCTCCCCAGTCATGCTTTCAGGGCCTCGCGGCGTCTCCCTGCTCCGGCCTGCAGGGGCTGCCGCCTCCCCGTCCCTCGTGCCGCCGCCGAGCGCCGCTCTCGGCTCGCACTCACCCGGCTCCAGCTACTGCTGCCCTTCACGTGCAACTTCGCTAAAACGCGCCACCAAACCCGCGCCTCAATACTGGGGCGTTGGTTTATCGTCTGCGCACGCGCAAGGCTGGAGGAGCCCGAGGACCCGCCGGCCTCCTCCACGGTTCAGACCACGGCAGTGGGCGCATGCGCCGTACTCTCTCGATTACGTTTTTTTTCCCCCAAGCATTCCTCCCGAGAGAAGAGTGAGATCGGAATTTCGAGCTGGGAACGGAAGTCTCTGGCAGGAAAGGAGAAGAAGTGACTACTGTATAGCTGGGCTGTAAAGTGAGTAAACTGGATCTTTGAATTTGGGATCGAAGCCTATCCGCCTCTTCAGGCCCTCGGCATTTCGGGCAATGTAGTTCTCGAGCTACATATGCCTCCAGGGGCATTGTGGGAAATGTAGTTCTAACGAAGAGGCGCCAGAGGGGACCTGGTGTTTTGAGAAACTTTTCGCGCTAAAAAGGCACAAAGGAAAAAGGTGTTAGAGAAGAAGTTAGAGGCACACAACGCTGGGAAAATGCATCTGCTCCTTCTGAGAGCAATTCCACACCAGCACTCTGCAGATAGCTCCCAAACGTTCACTCAATTTTAAAGAAAAGGAACCAACTCCCAGACCCCATTTCTATAAAAAGGCAGCAAGCAGTACCAGGGGGAACGACCAGGGACTTGGCAAAAGGTGATCCCTTGCCTGCTTTGTGATTCTAGGCATCCCGCTTCATCTCTCTGGGTCTCAGTTATTTCAACTTTACTATAAAGTATTATAAAGTTCTAAAAATACCATTTCGCTCCACTGTAGGTGTGGAGATTCATGAAATAACGAGAGTGAACATTTTAAAAAAACATCCAAGATGCTTTGGGAATGCTTTGATCACATTGACTGCCATAGGGAGGCTGCCCCTTTGATGTTAAAACAGTTCCTGAAACCCAACACTCTAAAGCGGAACTCTTTTGTCCCCCGCTTCCTGAATCAGCCTTCTAATTCTGCCTTCTTCCCAGACTGCACACTCTAGTAGCATCCAGTCTGTCACCTCTTCCAGTTGTTGCTTTCCTTCAGATGTTTCTCAGACACATCCATCCTCCTCTGGACCCTCATCACTTCCTGCATCAGCGAAGGGTCTCTGTTCCAGAACAGGCTCTGGTAGCATTCTGAGCCTCACTTTCCAGTCTTTCTAACAGTTGCAACTTTACATTTGCTTGTGAGATTTGTGATTTGTAGAACTACCAATCTCAAATCACAGACTTCCCTGTGCAAGAAACATAATTTTCTTTTTTTCCTATAAGGAGTTCATTTCTGTTCAACTCTGTTTTCCATCTAAGTGTTGTAGAAACAATCTCAGATAGTTCAGGGTTCTTCCTCAGATAGTTCAGGGTTCTTCCTACCCTTGATTTTCAGCTTGTACACACTTTTTGGAAAATTAATTAGGGCCAAGGTTGTGGGGGTGGGAATTCATTGAATCCACAGTGTCAGTTGTTTGAGCTATATCGTCCTGCCTGATCCTCCGTCACTTGTCCACACAGGTTGCCATTTAATCTTCCTGGGAAATAGAGCTTCTTCTGGGTTATTGGCCAATGTGTCCCCTTGCTTCCCAAGCAGCAGCAGCCTTGGCGGGGGGAGCAGGGCATAGAGTTCCTGTCTTGGGGACCCACCAACAGCTATCCCCTATGTCTCCCTTCCCAGCCTAGGGAATCTTTATCTCCTCTAGGGGGAGACTGGGAGAAATCTGAGATTGAGGTTTTTTGTGTGTGTGTGTGTGAGGAAGATCAGCCCTGAGCTAACATCCATGCTAATCCTCCTCTTTTTGCTGAGGAAGACTGGCTGTGAGCTAACATCTATTGCCAATCCTCCTCCTTTTTTTTTCCCCAAAGCCCCAGTAGATAGTTGTATGTCATAGTTGCACATCCTTCTAGTTGCTGTATGTGGGACGCAGCCTCAGCATCGGGTGTGTGCCTGGGATCCGAACCCGGTGCCGCCAGTAGCAGAGCGTGCGCACTTAACCACTAAGCCGCGGGGCTGGCCCTGGCTTGAGATTGAGTTCTTACCTGTAATATTTACTCCAAAATCAGTTGCCCTGAATCCTTTCTATTCCATGAGGGGCTGGCTTTGAAACTCAGAAGGCTTGAAAGGACTCCCTTTTTCCTCCATTCTTCTGTCACAGCCATAAGCTCCCCAGTATAGGGACACTCCTCTGGTTTTGCTCACAGTGGAATCCCCAATGCCTAGTACAGTGCCTTACTGGCACACAATGGGTACTCAATAAAGATTTGTCCAATAAATGAACCACTGCATCTCTCTCCTTCCAGTCTGTCCTCCAACCCATCCAGTGAGTGTCTTCCAGAGGAATCTTCTGGATGTGTGGTTATCACTGCATAGCTCAACTGCTCTTCTGCTGCCAGCCCAATCAAGTCTAACCACCTCTGGTTCAAGGCTCCACCTAAATGGATCCATTTTATTTCCTACCATATCCAAGTACGGAAGATGCCTGGCCTGTCAGGCAGCCTGTCATCCAACCAACAATAGTTATGAAGTTCCTCCTATGTGTCAGGCACCATGTTAGACTCTCAGAAACAACAGTGGCTAGAACAACTATGGTTCTGCCATCATGGAGTTTACAGTTGAATGGAGAACCCAGACATCGAACAGATACTTGTAAATAATTAAATGATTATAGTTATCCAGAGTGGCCCAGAGGAAAATTACAGCGTGCTGTGGGGACCAAACTTCAGTCAGGGGTCAAGAAAAACGCTCCAGAGGAAGTGCCATTTAAGGCGAGACTGGTGTTTACATTGGAGGGGATGGGAGGGGAGGAGAAGAAAGGAGGGAGTTGGGGAAAGTGTTCCAGACAAAAATACTGGAACCAGCCAGAGTGGGTAAGTCTGAGGACTTGAAAGGCCAGTATGGCAGGAGAGAAGTTGAGGTGAGACTGTGAGGGTCAGAATGGGCCAGATGGTGCAGGACGTGGGGGTGAGTTTCCTCTGCCAGAACCACTCCCCCTCATTCAGGTCTCAGCAAAAGTGTCACCTCCTCGGAGATGCCCTCCCTGAATATCCTGCCTAAAATAGTCCATCCCTCTGATCCACAGCACCTCCTATCCACCTTACTCTGATTTGTTTTATTCTTAGCACTTACTCTCTGGAATTTTCTTCTTATGTGCTGATTGTCTATGCTCCCCCACCCCCCAAACACAATGTAAGCACCAAGAGAGCAGAAACCTTGTCTTTCTTGTTCATCATTTGTATCTCCAGTTATCAGAACACGGCCTGGCACTTAGGAGGCACCCAACCAGTATTTGCTGAATGAATGAAAAGCCTGGGGAGTATCAGGAATAGAGTTTTCATTGAAAGTAGATCACTGGCTCTTCTGAGGAAAGTGGATTAGAAGGGGGCCAGGCTGGAATCAAGAAGACCAATTAGGATGCTATTTTATTGGTGCAGGGGAGAGATGATAGTAGTTTGGACAATCTTGCTTGGCTTTAGGGATAATGATAACAAACATGAATATTTATATTGTACTTACTATGTGTCAGGCTTAGTTCAAAGCATTTTTTTAAACATTAACTCCTCACAACAACCCTGTGAGTTAATTCAACCCTTGTTATCACTCCGTCCATTTTACAGATGAGGAAATTAAGGCAGAGAAGTTCACACAGCTTACTAGCTGAGTGGAGCTGGGGTTAGAACACAATCCGACTTTAGAGTCCACGCCTTTAGCCACTATGCTGTCTGCCTTTCATACCTGCAACTTTTCTTCTTCTCTCCAAGCTTTTGCTTATGCTGTACCTGCTCTTGAGCTGCCCTCTATTCTCCTTCTCTTCTATCTGAATATTGCCCATCTGTCAAAGTCCAGCTCGTTCACACCTCTCCAGCGAAGAAGACTTCACTGACCACACCTGTCTCTCCTGCTGCTTTGTCTGGATCCCACACCACATGTTCTGTACATGATTCCTGAAAGTATCTTATCTTTGTCGATGTAAATAATCCGTAATCAATCTATAAATCAAAATTGGGGTGGGTTTATTACGAGCCAACTTTTGAGGACCATAGCCTGGGACCTTCCTTCCCCAAGGAAGGAAGGGCACCAGAGAAGTGGGGTGTACAGAGCAGTTATATACTGTCAAAGAGCACATATCACATATGATTGCAATGTCCCTTTTACAATAGCCACAAGATCGCCCTGCCAGATTGCCCTGCCAGAATAGCTATTGATGGACACAGAGCGTGGCAGGTCTGCTGTCTCGATGGGCGTGGCTGGTTGCAGGTCTGTTCTCAAGTTGGGTGGTCACAGGATGAGTGCAGCAATCAAATCCTAGCCTAAGGAGAAATGCTTATCCTTAAGGAAATGCCAATGTGGGGGATGTTGCATCTTTATCTTAAGGACATTTACTCTTCTCTTTGGGACATGGTAAAGCAGATACACAATGCATGTTTAAAGGTGACAGGCCCTTTTGGAAAAACAAACTCAGGCCTAATTAGTTTTACACCAAATGGCTTCCTCATATGCTCCAATATATCCTATTGCTTGCCATTTATTTATCACTTATAGATATCCACAAAGAATCCCACACCATCTGAGCTGGAAGGGACCTAGAAGCCATGTAGGAAAGGGGCAGAGAAGCTGATGACTTGCCCAAGATCACAGAGCAAATTGGTAGCAAAGGCAGGACCAGAACAGTTTCTTGACCCGTGTTAGTTTCTCTACCTGTCTGCATCTGTACTTTCTTCACCGTGTCACCCAGCAGTGTCCCTGGGTAGTCCGAGAAACACCTGTCTCAGAATCACATGGGGCATGCACTGAAAATGCAGACTTTCCAAGGCAGGCCCAGGAATACGCATTTTAACAAGTTCGTTAGGAAATTCTCACGCACACCAAAGACTGCAAGACTAGGGTCCCATGGCCCGGCAGAGGGCCAGTCTCAGAAAAGCGTCGCTGCATTGCTTTGGCTTTAAATTCCAACTGCATCATGGGAAATGTAGTTTCGGCTCGCCTCTCCCCTCGCCGCGGGACCGCTTTACGGAAGGAGCCGAGTCAGTTCGGAAATAGACGAGTGCTCTCTGGCGGGCCCTTTCCTGCACGGTTGCATTCTGGGAAAGGGCAGTTTCCGTTAGGTGCTGGAGGCTGAGGCGCGCGACCGGCCGCAGTCCCACGTGAAGCGCGACGCGAGCATCGCTCGGCGGGTCGCTCCCCGCTCGCCGCGGAGCGTTCCGGAAGCCGCCGGGAACCGGAAGTGGCCCGCGGCGGCTCAGAAGCTAATCCCGGAGCCCGGTGCGAGGCGCCTCGGAGCGCGGCGACGGCGCTATGTCCCTGATCTGCTCGAGTGAGTATCGGCGGCGGCCGATCGCGGGTCGCAGGAGGCCGGAGAGCCGAGCGGGAGGATCTGGGGTCGGGGCGGAGGTGAAAGCAGGGCTCCCGGGAGGCCGGGCGGCGGCCTGTCAGCACGGGGGTCCTTCTCCTCCCCCTCAGCTGGGGGTGCGTTTGCGCAGCGCTTCACAGTTTACGTAACGCCTCAAGTTTATGGTCGCAGGCATCCCTGGGGCCAGCCACCTCGTTTACGCAGTGGGGACTGGGGCCTGGACGGGGGGAGCTGGTGCAGGAATCGGGGAACCCGAGGGCTGGTGCAGGAGCCGCCTCAGATTGGCTTTGTGACCTGGCTTAAGCCTCTGGGCCTCAGTTACCCCATTTGCAAAATGAGGGCTTTGCACTGGATGTTGTCTGAGGTCCCGCCCTGGAGTCAGAGCTTCTGCAGATTGCGAAGGTCACGCAGTGAGATGGAGGCAGTGACAGGGCTGGAAGCCAGGTCTCCGGCTCCCAACCTCATCTTGCACGACTAATAAAAACAGCGTGCATTTATGAAGCCTTTATTGGTTTACAACGCACTTCCAAGTCGGTGATCTCATTTTATCCTCCCAAGAATTCTCCAAAGCAGGAATAAAGGTCCGGGCCGGGTTTACGGATGAGGGTGTAAGGCTCCAGGAGAGTGTGGCTTATCTAAAGCTGCACAGCTAGTAATTGGCAGAGCTGGGTGATGGAGCTGGGTTCTCTGACCCTGAATCCGTGCTTTTTTCATGCCTTGTACTGTCTTTCCTTTTGGTATTTTATTGTGGCATAGAGATGTTTTCCGTTCTCATTGTTTTCATCCCGTGACTGGTCTCTCATCCTTTTCTCTATTTGCGTCCTAATTGTCAAGCCCTTGACTCTTCTCAGAACCTCTCCATAAATCAAAAAAAAGGGAGGGAATAAGGAAGGAAGGAAAATGATGTCTAGAAAGAGGAACCTTCGCATTGAAAAAATTACAGGTTGCACAGTATTTTCCCATTCATTGTTTCTTTTGTATTTTGAAGAACCTCTCTTTTGTGTTCCCCACCACCATCCTTCCTCTCATTCGCTCATGTTAGATGTTAACCCAGTGCCTGCTGGGCATCTGCATTGTCCTGAAAGTCAGAGACCGGCTGTAATCCCTATGCTAAGGGGTGCACAGTCTACTGAGGCAGGCGTGTAAATGATACCTCTGTTGGGGGTTGTGGTGAGGATGAATTAAATCTCTGGAAAGTGTTTCCAGTCGTGCTTGGTACGTAGTGAACACCATGTAAATGTTTTTTATTCTTATAGCACTTGTCATATTGCTTTGTAATTTCTTTGTCTAATAATCCATCTAGGCTCTAGACTGAGATTTGAGTGGCTTCATGTGTATCTCCATGTCCTGGAGTATAAGGGGTGACTAAGCATCTTTGTTCAAAAACAAGATGGGCAGGGTTATTGACTGCTCTTTAGGTGTCTCGTACGTAGTTGTTGTGCAATAATTACTTGTTGACTATCTGAGTGTCAGGAGACTGATGGAGAAGCCAGTTATGTAGCTGGAAAGCATTCTGGAGACAGGACAAAACTGGCTTGGTGTCATGTCTTGATTCCTGTGAGTTGAGTGTGGGGATGCATGGTCTTGTGGGGGGCCAGTAGTGAGTGAGGCATCTCTTTGGCCCAAGGTCCCTTTCACCACCCCTGCTCGCTGCCTGCCTTTTCTCTGCAGTCTCCAATGAAGTGCCAGAGCACCCGTGCGTGTCCCCTGTCTCTCACCATGTCTACGAGCGGCGGCTCATTGAGAAGTATATTGCAGAGAATGGCACAGACCCCATTAACAACCAGCCTCTGTCCGAGGAGCAGCTCATCGACATCAAAGGTGCCCAGTGGCTGGCCTCGGTCCAGGGCCATCTTAGCTCAGAGCCTGAGAGGGTGGGAGGTGGTACCAGTGCACTGGAGGAGGAGATGGTTGTGTGTTAATGCAGGCTAAAGAGAAAAGAGTGGTGGAGAGGAAGAGTCCCCGGGTTATGGATCTTCATACCTGCTTTCCCTCTCTTGGCAGTTGCTCACCCCATCCGGCCCAAACCTCCCTCAGCTACCAGCATCCCAGCCATTCTGAAAGCCTTGCAGGATGAGTGGGTGAGTCCCTGGATGAGAATTGATGTCTTCCCCACTCGAAGAGAATGGATCACTGGACTAGGACCAGGGGGTGGGAGGGATGGAGCATTAGTTTCTTTTTTGAGGGGTAGGATGATAGCAGAGGAGGAGCCCGGTTGTTGAAATCACACAGATCTGGGTTTCACGCATAGCTCCATTGCTCCCTTACCGTGTGACCTTGGTCATGTGCCTCATATCCGAGTCTTGATTTTCCTGACTGTGTGACATGGATTAGTGCCCACCTCTTAGGGTGTTGGGAGAATCAGAATAAGATTAGAGTATAAACTTTGTGACATCAGGGACTTGTTTTATTCATCAATATGTCCTCAGCACGAGAGCAGCGCCTGGTACATAGTAGGTGCTCTAAAATATGAATAAATGAATGCATACATCTTGAGGGACTGTCTGGGACAGTGTCTGACACAATGAGGACATTCAATAAATAGCAGCAGAGGCATTATTATTTCCTTTTGGTGAGGTGACAGCATGCCATCTGAGGTTTGCTGGTAAATTAAAGACGATGGGGATGGAAAAGAGTTGGCTCCCACTCCTGTCTGTGTGCCTGGTGTTTGGTGTGAGCTAGGAGCTCGGGAGTGGCTGCCAGCACTGGCATTCAGGGTCACTCAGATGCTGCCTGCATCACTGATACTGGTCTAGGCTGTGGCATAGGAGGCAGTGTCCTCTTATCAAGGGCAGGCTCTTCTGCTGGATGCTCCCTGCCCCTCCCCAGCCCCTCACACTGGTGTCTCCCTCTCGTAGGATGCGGTCATGCTGCACAGCTTCACTCTGCGCCAGCAGCTGCAGACAACCCGCCAGGAGCTGTCCCATGCTCTGTACCAGCACGATGCCGCCTGCCGTGTCATTGCCCGTCTCACCAAGGAAGTCACTGCGGCCCGAGAAGGTGCAGCCTCTCCCCCGTCACTCCCACTCTGGGCTGGTCCACCTTTGTCATATCCCCTTTCTAACATTATCTTCTCTCTCAGCTCTGGCTACCCTGAAGCCGCAGGCGGGTCTCATCGTGCCCCAGGCTGTGCCAAGCTCCCAGCCAAGTGTCGTGGTGAGTGTGTCCCCCTTCCCTACCAGCAGCCCTCCTTGTGCAAGTGTCTTCGACAGTCTATGCCTCTCTTACCCTCATCTCTCTTCTCTTCAGGGTGCAGGCGAGCCAATGGATTTGGGCGAGCTTGTGGGAATGACCCCCGAGATTATCCAGAAGGTATGTCCTGCTCTCACTTGATGGGAATGCTGAGGGCCCTCACTTTTCACCATCTCCCTTGAGTCCAGTGTGAATAAGAATCCTATCTGGGGGCCGGCCCGGTGGCATAGTGGTTAAGTGCGCATGCTCTGCTTTAGCGGCCCAGGGTTCACCGGTTCCGATCCTGGGCGTGGGCCTACACACTGCTCATCAAGCCATACTGTGGCTGCGTTCCACATACAAAATAGAGGAAGGTTGGCACAGATGTTAGCTTGGAGCTCATCTTCCTCAAGCAGAAAAGAGGAAGATTGGCAGCAGGTGTTAGCTCAGGGCCAATCTTCCTCACCAAAAAGAAAAGAATTGTATCCATATGAGGATAAAGCAGAGCAGTGCCAGCACAGACTCAAACTAGACTGGCTGGCTTTGTATCTTGCTGCCACCACTTAGGAGCTTTATGACCTTGGGCTGCCTTAACCAACCCTTCTGTGCCTTGTGTCCCTTGCTTCTAAAATGAGAATAACGGTATCTACTTTATAGACTTGTAGGAATTGAAAAGATTTTAATTACTGATAAGTGCAACTTGTGTAGCTTTTATTGTTATTGGGGTTCTTTGCAGATATTAAAACACTTCATTACGTGTCTTCATGTTTCTTTCTCTGAGGGAGATGTGACAGGAGTTAGCATTTTCATTTTACAGATGAAGAGTCTGACACTGAGATTCAGAGGCTCAGCTCACAAGAGGCAGAGCTGGCCCCTGATTCCGGGTCCAGTGCTCTGTTGTACGCACAGATCCTCCTTTGTAGGAATTGATAGTTTGTGTCTTTTCCCAGCAGTTCAGATTGTCGACATGCATCTCAGCTCTCGTCTTAGTGGAGCAGACCTGGTCTGGGGGCTCTGCAGACCTCGTTCTGTCCTCGCTCTGCCATGTGTCACCTCTGTGGCCTTGGACAAGTGACTTCACTTCTCTGAGGCTCAGTTGCCTCCTCTGTGAAATAAGGTCATCATCACCCACCTCAGAAGGTTGGGGTGAAAGTAGAAACAGAGAATGCACGTAAGCCTTTAGCAGAGAACTTGGCAGATAATGAATTCTTGACTCTCAAAGCATAGCTGTGACCAGTGTCCAGTGTGCCATTGTCATGGCCAAACGATTTGTCTCGCCTTGAGCCTGTTCCCCTCTTCTTTCCCAGCTTCAAGACAAGGCTACTGTGCTAACCACGGAGCGTAAGAAGGTGAGTCCTCTCCCAGAGCCGGGAGAGAGTTGGCTGGTGGGAGGCGGTTGACCCTAGGAGAAAGGGAGACAGGTGAATCCTACACTCATTGCCATTTTTCCTGCGGGGCTTTTTCTTTTTCTCAGAGAGGGAAGACGGTGCCTGAGGAGCTGGTGAAGCCAGAAGAGCTCAGCAAATACCGGCAGGTGGCCTCCCACGTGGTGAGTGGCTGGTCCCCACTGACTTGGAGGCAAGGGCGGCCCGTGCTGTTTCTGGGGTAGGCAGGCCAGCATGGAGAGCAGTGGGTGGAGAGCTATCCAGGACCCCTGGCCCTGTTTCTAGCCTTGGTGGCAGCTAAGTGGTCAGGACTTCTCTTCCAGCCCAGCCCTGGCTTTCCCAGTCATGCAGTGAGGGAGTTATTGCGTCCAGGCACAAAGCCAAGCACAATGGATAAGGAACAGAAGTCACTCTTGTTCCCCTTCCCTGGGGATGGGAATGGGGGAGTTGCATGGCTTTGTGGCCTGCCTTGATTATTGGCCGTGATTGGGTTTGGTGTGGCGCTCTCTGCACAGGGGTTGCACAGTGCCAGCATTCCTGGGATCCTTGCCCTGGACCTCTGCCCCTCCGACACCAACAAGATCCTCACTGGTGAGAGCCGGCCTGGCCCAGCGGGCCGAGTAAGACGGGGAGGGCGGCGGGGAGGGTGCATGCTCCTGTCCTCAGCGTGGGCTGGGGACAAGAGTACCTTCTTCAGCAAAGGGACCTGGTGGGCCTGACTCATTTTTGGATCTCATTTGGGTTCTCTCCAGGTGGGGCGGATAAAAATGTCGTCGTCTTCGACAAGAGTTCTGAGCAAATCCTGGCCACCCTCAAAGGCCATACCAAGAAGGTCACCAGTGTGGTGTTTCACCCTTCCCAGGTAAGGGGCTCTCCTAGACACCCTCAGACCCTCATTCCTGAGCCCTGTTTCAGAGGTGTAGGGTCCCAGAACCAGTCCCCTAGTCCCCTGCTGCCTCCTTGGTGAAGTGAAGTGGGCCTGAGAAAGAGCTGATTCTCCAGAGTTGGCATTTAGGGGCCTCTGTTTAGAGTCATGGGGTTGCACTTTACTTAGGACCTCCTGGCATAGTGGTTAAGTCCGCGCATTCCGGGCCCAGGTTTGCAGGTTCAAATCCCAGGCGTGGGCCTGAGGACCACTCATTAAGCCATGCTGTGGTAGTGTCCCATATACAAAATAGAGGAAGATGGGCACAGATCTTAGCTCAGGGCCAATCTTCCTGACCAAAAAAAAAAGAAAGAAAAAAACAGGGAGACGGGAAATGTATAGCTCAGAAAAGCATATTCATTGACATATTTCATATTAGGAAAAGGAAAAAACCCTACAGTGTTTAATACAAGTAAACAAAGCTCAACAAAATCTTGACTCACGTATCTGAGAAAGACAGATGTATCCTTATTCCCATGGTCCTCCAGGGCAGGGGATCAGAACTTGATGGTGACTATTGAAAACCGTGTGGTTTAAAAGAGATGGAGAATTGCTGGTTAAGAGGGTAGTGGCGGCTCGTTGGACCAGATTAATGACATCGTGGGATTTGAGTTTGTAAGTCTAGAACAGTTTGGGTCTGGGACTGGAGGATGGTGGCTGGATCCCTGCTTCCCAGTCAGCCGGCCTTTTCCCTGTACCTTCAGGAAATTAGAAATGGAAGAATAACATGGTAAATTCTTCGTAAATTAAATTTATTCACATTGAAAGCACTCCTCTCCTGCTTACTGGGAGTTAATATGTTATTTCTCTTATGAAATTGCATTGATGAAAGATGGTAGTTGGTTTTACCTTAAAGTTTTTAATGTCATAACTAACCCAAATAATTGGTTGGTGACACTATGTAAGTTCTCTCGCTGCCCCCTATTTTTCTGGTAAATAACTTGCCTCGAAATCCTTAAGTGTGGGATGCACTGGAAAATCCCCTTGCAGCCCCTTCCGGACCTGGTACAGTTCAGACCTGTGCCATCCCGGACGGTAGCGATTAGCTACACGTGGCTATTTAAATAAAATAAAATAAAAAAATCAGTTTCTCAATTGCGCTAGCCACATTTCTCTGGTCCTGGAAACAAGGCGTGGGAAATTGTGCTTTGCTTCAGTTATCCTTTTTACCACTGAGTGGTGAGGCCTCCTCCCCTAGGCCAAATGCTGTTTGATTTACCATTTTAATGGCATGTACCTTTGGTCCTCTTAGGCATCACTGGGTGAATGGATGGTTCCAGGCAGAGCAAGGCTGAAAGGAGAAGCAATTGTTGGGGTGTGGCCATCCCCAGTCCCCTTTTCTAAGATTGTCATGGTCCGTCTCTTCTGTCCCTGATATTCTGCCTCTTTGCTTTCCTTGTAGGAGCTGGTGTTTTCCGCCTCCCCAGATGCCACTATCAGGATTTGGTCGGTCCCGAACGCCTCTTGTGTACAGGTTGTTCGGGCCCATGAGAGTGCTGTGACAGGCCTCAGCCTCCATGCCACTGGTGACTATCTCCTGAGCTCCTCTGATGACCAGGTGTGGTCCCAGCCAGGGCCCTGAAGAGGCCTGCTGGTCCCCGAGCTTGAACATCCTGGGAGGAGGGAACATCTTACCTACCCCAGCTAGGTCCCCGGAACCCCAAGGGGAACATCTCCTCTCTGCTGAGAGGAGCTGGCTCTGCCAGGGTTTGCTGAACCAGGGTCTCTGCCTCCCTGAAGGGCTGCCAGAACCTGGGACCTGCTTTCTTACTGGCTCCGTTGTCTGTTTTTCTAGTACTGGGCCTTCTCTGACATCCAGACAGGGCGTGTGCTCACCAAGGTGACAGATGAGACCTCTGGCTGCTGTAAGTTGCCTCAGAGGTGCTGGGCTCTTTCTCTTCATCTACTGTTTATCATTTACTTTTATGTTTTATTGAGTTATTTGCTCATTTGTTCTTCTAAAAGTACATTTACTGCCAGTACCTGCTGAGTGCTGGCCATTGTGCGGGGCCTGGTGAGGAATGTGAAGAACAGGGCACCCACCTTCTGTAGTGCTTAGTCTCTCCCAGTGGGCTCTGACACAGGTCTCTCTCCCCTTCTCCACAGCTCTCACCTGTGCACAGTTCCACCCTGATGGACTCATTTTTGGAACAGGAACCATGGACTCTCAGATCAAGATCTGGGACTTGAAGGTAGGACATGGTGGCCTCTGTCTGAGGCCCAGGGTTGGAGCTCTTGTGACGACACAGTGTAATGAAGTGCTTGTGGCCCTGACCGTGGGGGTGTCCTAAGGGTAGAGAGACAGTGCTGCTGTGTGTGTGACATGCTGGGTGTGGTCTGGGGGCCCTGGGCCTAGCCATCCATCCCTGCGCTTCCTGCCAGCGGTCCTTCCCTGAAGGATGGAGGAGGATGTCTTGGAGGTAGGAGTTTGGTGAGCTCCGTCTTCTCCCACTTGTGTTCATGGGTGACATTTTACTACCCACTCCCAACTGTAGGAGCGCACCAACGTGGCCAACTTCCCTGGCCACTCGGGCCCCATCACCAGCATTGCCTTCTCTGAGAATGGCTACTACCTGGCTACAGCGGCCGACGACTCCTCCGTCAAGCTCTGGGATCTGCGCAAGCTTAAGAACTTTAAGACACTGCAGCTGGATAACAACTTTGAGGTGTGGCCCCTCCCGCCCCCCAGCTCTCTCGGTTGCCTCTCCTCTTCATTTGTTGGTTATTCACTGAGTTAATCTAAACTGCTTCTGCTTATCCTCAGTTCCCCCATGGTTTCTCTTCCCCTCGTGTGACTCTCTCCTGGTTCTGGCAGGTGAAGTCACTGATTTTTGACCAGAGTGGTACCTACCTGGCCCTTGGCGGCACGGACGTCCAGATCTACATCTGCAAACAGTGGACGGAGATCCTGCACTTCACAGGTACAGGCTGGCCCTGGGATCCTGAGATCTCTGGGCGCCCTGGCCCAGAGGGAAGAGGGGAAATATCACCGGGTTAGGAATTTCTAGGGGTGGGCATGAATTTGCCTATAAGGCAGCTTTTAATCACAACCTGAGGCAGTAGAGTTTAGTGGCTAAGAAAACGAACTCAGGAGTCAGACTGCTTGGCTTTAAATGCTGGCTCTGTCACTTCAAGCTGTGTGACATTGGGCCGATTCCTTAACCTCTCTGGGGAATGATAACAGTATATACCCAGTGGGGTTGATGTGAAGTTTAGATGAGTATATATACATATAAATATTTATATATATAAATAAATACGTATGTATTTTGTATGTTTATACATAATATATATTTATATGTATATACATAAAATAGCTGTATATATATAACACATATATAATATTATGCATATATCTAAATCTATACATAAATAGTTAGAACAGTGTCTGGCGCATAGTAAGGATTGGCTGTTGTTGTTCAGTGTGTTGTGTCTTAGTCAGCTGTGGGCTTGGAGCAGTGAGTAAGACAGATCCAGTCTGTACTAATGGGATTTCCAGTCAGGTTTAGGAAGCCAGTGTAGAAGGTGACTTCCCAATAGCTACTTAATTGCAGTGGTACGTGCTAGAGAGGAAGAGTATAAAATGCTGAGACAGTGGATAACAGGGTGGTGAACCTCTTCATCGTCGTGTGGCCCTGGGTATGAGCCTTTCCCTTTCAGAGCTGCAGCTTCTCCCTCTTTAAAATGGACATATTGGCGCAGCTTTGCACATTGTGCCAGCTGGTGACGTGGAGGTGGCACGCATGGTGACAGCGTGCCTGCTGCACACTCAGGAGCTACATGAGTGGCAGCTGCTACTGTCTTTGTTGGTGAAATTCTTGTCCTCATTAGCAGGTTGTGGGAAGGACACAAGATACCTCTGCCCCCATATTCTCCTGAGCCCGGTCAGTGTGTGTGATACAGAGGTGTCCAGGCCTAACTGTGTGGCCCATGGGTTTTAACCCGTCACTGGGCCCTGGCGTTCTCATTTGGAGCAGAGTTGGGTCGAGTGGCAGGCTGGAACATAAGGGGGAGCTGGTTGACTCCAGGTGTGATCCTTCACCTAGAAGGAATTTGCACTGATGCTCATGAAGAGTCCAGTGAAGAGTGTTACCCAGCCTCCTCTGCCCAGCCCTGCCCTGTATCAGGGTCCCAGGTTCCCTAGAGTCAGAACCATGAGCTAGAACAAGCCAGTGGACTGTTCAGTTACAAGCAAGGAGTTAGAACTAAATCTATACCAGCAAGCTGAGCACTGAGGTTTTAAACTGAACTGAAAATTCAGCTAAATTTTTTAGCAGATTGTGACATGTGGAAGAACAGGACTCTGTGCTTTGTCTCTCAGTGCCCCCTGTGTAGCTCACGTTCACTTCTAGGACTTGAGCTGAGCAGAGTTTTAGTTGTGCTGAAAGTTTAGATGAGGGGGTTCTGACAGTCCACTGTTCACTCAGCCCACTAACAAAAACTTGAGTGTCTGCGTGTGCCAGGCACTGAGTGAGGCCCTGGAGATGAAGGTGCAGGGCAGACTGGAGCCCTCCCCTCGGGAGTTTATGGTCAACTGGGGAAACAGACAGATAAGCAGTAACGTGCTGTGTGATCAACACTGACCGGGGAAGGACTGGACGGATGGGAGCATATCATCGGGGGTCGATGCTCAGATCCAGAGGAGGAAAAGCCTTCTCACCAGGGCCTCTTGTCTCTCTTCCCAGAGCACAGCGGCCTGACCACGGGGGTGGCCTTTGGGCACCACGCCAAGTTCATCGCGTCAACAGGCATGGACAGGAGCCTGAAGTTCTACAGCCTGTAGGCCCTGCCCCTTCTGTCAGGAGCTGGGCCTCATCTCAGTAGTGGGGTAGAGTTAGGGCTGGGGTGGGGGGAGGAAGGGGAGAGACTACTGGGGGGGGTCTGTGGGGCGGGACATTCACATCATTTCACTCTGGTCTGGGTGGTGGCCTGAGAGCCGTGGAGGTGTGGACCACCCTCACCCATGCAGCCTCCAGGCCCGACGGGAGTGGACATGGGAGGCAGAACTGCCACCCTCTGAAGGCTCAGGGTCGGAGCCCAGGGCTCTCCCCTCGTCTCGGTCACTGAGTTGGTGGTGGTGGCCATTCCACCCCCAGCTTGTTTCAGTTCTTGGGAGATGGGGAGAGGCTGAGCCCAGGGAACTGTGAAGGGGTGGGCATGAGGGCTCACGCAGGTTTTTGTAAGCAGTGATCTAGTTTCATTAAAAAAAGAAAATAATAAACATAGCCACCTCCCCGTGTGTGTCTGTAGCAGGAACCCCCGAGCTGGGTGGGTCACCGGGAGGAGCACAAAGCGGGACACTGGCTCCCAGGGAGCCCAGAGCCCATCATTCTTGTCCCCTCACAGCTCTCTTAGCTTTTTTTTTTTTTTTTTGATTGCACAACAGAAATAAAGGAAAACAAAAAAATCTACAAGCCATTTGCCAGAATGAATCTTCCATGTCCCTGCAGGCCTTGATGTTGTGTTTTATAGGGTCTCCTGTCACTGGTGCTGCCACCTGCCACGTGGGCTTGGCTTCCACACGAGCCCGGGAGGGAGGGAGAAGTGCAGGGGACAGTAGCCTTTTCATGCTGGTGAGGACCTGTGAGCATATCTATAAGGATTCTTGGTTGTAGGTGATGGAAAACGTGTCCCAAACTGGCTTAAATCAGAAAAGAGAATTTTGTAGCACTGCCATTGGAAAATTTGATGTAGGGCCGGCCCCGTGGCATAGCGGTTAAGTGCGCGCGCTCCACTACTGGCGGCCCGGGTTCGGATCCCGGGCGCGCACCGACGTGCCGCTTCTCCGGCCATGCTGAGGCCGCATCCCACATACAGCAACTAGAAGGATGTGCAACTATGACATACAACTATCTACTGGGGTTTTAGGGGGGAAAAAACAAAAAAAAGAAAATTTGATGTAGAGGTGGTTCCAGGGGAGCCAGCCAATAAACAGTAAATGAAAAAGATCAGATTACGAAAGTGCATTGTGGGGAATTTAAGTAGGGTGGGGTGGCTACTTTAGATTGGGGTTCAGGAGAGGCTTTTCTGAGGTGGTGAGAATTAAGCTGAAGTCTGGATGACAGGAGCTAAAAGGGAAGAGGAGCATTGCAGGCAGAGGGAAGGTTCTAAGGCTGGAACAATCAAGGTGTGAGAGGGATAGGAAGGAGGCCGGTGTGGCTGGAGTGTGGAGGCCGAGGGTGGGTGACTGCTGGGTGGGGCCCAGGGGGATAATTAGCACCCATGACAACACCAGTCCCCATAGTGTTGAGGCCGGAGGCAGGATGGAGTGGGTTAAGAGAATGTGAGGTGAGAAAGTAGGGGTCTGTGAGTGTAGACAAGGAATTGTGCCAGGGAGGGGCACTAAGAACCAGGGTGTTACCTGGAGGGGGGCTGCGGGTCAAAGCACAGTGGTCCACACTGATGCAGCAGAAGACCTGCACGTGTGTGCTGCTGGGTCGGTGTTCGCGGTGAGGTGAGTTTGGGGATGCTGTATCTCCCTTGGCAGGTCAGGATGCTTATTAGCTGGTAAAACCTTTGAAAACTTTTGCAGGAAAGAAACCCATTTCACTTTTTAACCCGGTTTCCTCAAATATTTGATGAGGGGACTCTGTGTATCTGTAACCCCTATTAATTGTCCATGAACTCGCCTTTTGGAAAACATACCAAGTGTTAGCTGTAAACAGCGCGTCAGTGAACACCTGGGAGCGTGCAGCCTCTTGTTGGTTTAGGTTAGTTCTTATGGGAACTTTCCAAGAGTGGGGCAATGAGGCAGTGTTTGGAACACACAGAAGTTTCCAGCATTTGCCAGTCAGAGTACCAAATTGAAGGTCTGGCTCCGGGTATGAGAAGGGGCGGGGCGGCTACGTTGTTGTGCCTGGCTTTGGAGCGCTGACCAGGGCAGCCACCTGGGGGCACTGTCGTTACACTGCTGTCCCCTAACACTGGCTCCAGGACAGCTCTCAGCACCGCAGGGCAACCTGCCAGACAGGCGCTGTGCTCCCGTTCTACAGCCAGGACGCGAGCTCCAGAGGGCCTTGGCTGGAGGCCACCCAGTAAGTAGTGGAGCTGGGAGTGTAAGCCGTCTGGCTGCAGAGACCAGGCTGACCTCCCGTGATCAGCTAAGACGGGAAGCAGCTGCTGATGACCCGCTCCACACGTGTCTAGGAGTGTAGTGTGGTGCTTGAGGGTGGGCTCTGGGAGCCAGAAGCCCGGGTTTGAATCCCAGCTCTGCACCTCTCTGACTTGTGTCTTTGGGTCAGTTTCTGCTTCTGAGAAACTGAGTGAGTGGCGCCTGCTTCATGGGACTGATGAGGGTTCAGTGAGCTAATGCGTACGGGGAAGCACTCCACAGTTGGCTGCTGTCTTCCCTGCTTCTGTCTGCACTGGCATCCATGGCGCTGCCAGGGGGCCTGGTGGCCCTTGACGCTCAAGACCCATGTTATAGAGGTTGGTCTGCCTCTGCCTTCTTCATTCACAATCCTAATGTACATTAGGGTTCTGATGACACAAGGTGTTGGGAACACAACCCAGGCAGGGAGGTGGGCGTGTGGACTAGACTAGAGTTCTGATGGAGGTGGCAGCACAGGGGATGGCGTGTGCGGCTGTTTGAAAGTCAAGTGGGTCTGGGGAAAGGTGACATAGGCATGTCTTGGAGAAGTAAACACTCACTAGATGGACACGGAGCAGAGGAACAGAGCAGGAGTGGCTGGAGCAAGGAGAGGACCCGGCAGCCCCAAGCAAGACGGAAGGAGAGCAGAGTCGAGGAAAAGCCAGGAGGGGAAGTGGGCAGTGTGGAGGGTGGGGGGGCGAGATGGCTGGTGAAGTGCCCCACAGATTAGTCGGGCAGGTTAGGAGGCAGCTGGTCTCAGCCAGCAGTGTGAAGTCTAAGGTCTCACCTGAAGATTTTCAAAATTTGGAACAGATCTTTTTATTTTTATTTCATGGCTGATGAGTGGAGTAGTTCCGTGCCTGGGATCTGAACCTGTGAACCTGGGCCACCCAAACAGTGTGCGGAACTTGAACCACTTGGCCATGGGGCCCGCCCCTAGAACAGGTCTTTAACATTTTAAAAGTTTGTTTAGGGGTCTGGCCCTGTGGCGCAAGCAGTTAAGTGCACGTGTTCCGCTGTGGCGGCCCAGGGTTCGCTGATTTGGATCCCGGGCGCGCACCGGCGCACTGCATGTCAAGCCATGCTGTGGCAGCATCCCATATAAAGTGGAGGAAGATGAGTATGGCTGTTAGCCCAGGGCCAGTCTTCCTCAGCAAAAAGAGGAGGATTGGCAGATGCTAGCTCAGGGCCGATCTTCCTCACAAAAAAATAAATAAATAAAAGTTTTTTATTGGGCCAGCCCCAGTGGCCTAGTGGTTAAGTGCAGCGTGTTCCGCTTTGGCGGCCCGGGTTCACAGGTTTGGATCCCGGGCACAGACCTACACTACTCATCAGCCATGCTGTGGCAGCATCCCATATAAAGTGGAGGAAGATGAGTATGGCTGTTAGCCCAGGGCCAGTCTTCCTCAGCAAAAAAAAAAAAAAAAAAAAAAAGTTTTTTATTGTGAAACATTCATTCAAAAGTGTCTAAAACATACCCTTTCAGTTTAATAAACACCCTCATATTACCCAGCCTGAGAAAGACAGTGTTGGAGGTCCTCTGTGTGCTCTTCCGTGAACACCTCCCTCACCCCTGCAGAGGAAACCACTACCCTAGAATTGGGGTTGATCATTCCTTCGCTCTTCTTTATAGCTTTATCACTATACTGGGTTTTTTTTTTAAATTATCTTTGAACTTTATGTAAATGAAATCATTCATCTTGCTTTCACTTCATTTGCTCAATGTTCTTGAAGTTTATGTGTATCGACACACGTAGCTGTGGTTCACTCACTGTTGTGCAGACAAAGGCAAATGGTCCAGCAGAACTCCCACGAGGCTGTTGGAAGAGCAGGCATTGGAGATGGGAGCAGTGAAGACGGGCGGGTCCTGCGTGGCCCCTTCACCCCAGGGCAGTGCGCTCCGGGAGAGGGGTCCCCAGCACTGGGCTGTGGGGCTTTAGAGCTGCAGGATTAGGGAGCACAGCCCCTCCTTCGTTCTCATCAGGGGAAGGGACCCAATAACAACATGATGTGGCAGAACCCAGGTTCCAGCCCTCATCTGCCAGCTCAGTGTGTGTGTTTGGGGGGGCTGCACCCGCTCTTCCTCTGATTCGATCATGGATCTAGGGTCCAAACTGTGCTGTTGCAGCTAACCGGCAGGAGGATCCACCGCGTTGCATTCATGGTTGGAGAAGCACCAGCCCCTCTGACATAATTAGGGGGCTGAGCCCCAAGCTTTGTAATTGATCAGTGCCTTAGGCACTTGGCAATGGCCGCAGTCCCTGCAGCCTTGTAAGAGGCCAACTCCTTTTCTGGGAGGCCAGCCTGCGAGGGATAAACCTTGACAGGCCGAGCCTTACCTGTCCTTCATTGTAGAATTCCATTATAGGTCCATTTATATGTCCTCTTGTTGATAACGGACTTGAGTGGTTGCTAATTTTTTGTTATTAAAAACAATGTTCCAGTGAACATTCGGGTGTAAGAGTTTTTCCTGAGATATTAAGCTAGGAGAGGATTTACTCACTAGATAATATTATAGGTAATGGCTGCTTTTCAACATGGTTGTAGCAGTTTACCCTCTGGTTAACAGTGATGAGTGCTCCTGTCTCCATACCCTCACCGCCCCTTAGTCATTTCTGATCATTTAAAGTTTTGCCCATCTGGTGGATATCTAATAGTGTCTCAAAGTTTAATTTTCACCTGCATGATGACTAGTGAGGTAGGGCGTCTTTTCACCCACTTCCAGGCCATTTCAGTTTATCTTTTACAAAATGCCTTTTGTGCCCTTTGCCTGTTTTCCTAATTGGGTTGTCTTTTATTGATTATAGCAGTTTTAAAATAGATATTTTTGGGTAGTGTGGTCCGTGTGGTCGCAGCTATCTTCACAGATTGCGCCTCGTTTTTTCACCCTATGGTGTCCTGTGGTTTTGGCTTGTGAAATGCTCGTTTTATTTGTGACTTGTTCAAGGAGAATTCTTTGCGACTTCGGCTGAAGTCACATTTCTTCAGACAGGGTTTGCACTTGCTTTTGCCTGAAGCCCGGAGATCACTTTGTCACCCTGGGATCATTTTAAATTAAATCCAGCCCTTGAGGTTTTTCCAGATTGAACCTTCCCGAGTCCCCACCCCTGCCCCAGTCGAAACTGCACTTTTCATTCTCAGGGGAGATTTTTCCCATGCATCCATTCAGCACCAAGATCAAGATCCTGATGTCCACTCGACATCCCTTGCAGCCCCCTTCTGGGCAGTGGATTTATGTCTCCTTCCCTCCGCCCCGAGGACGAAGCCCTCTGGAGTCCCTGCTTCCATAGGAGGCCGCATCCAGATTCCTCCCCTTTGGCAGCTCCGGGACTGATCTCAGTCCCCTGTACTCATCAAAGTGGGATGTCAAGGTCTCCAGGGTTCTGTGGAAGGTCCCAGAATAGAAGCTGGTTTTACTTCCCGGAGATTTTGCTTTTACTTTGTCTTTGGCCTACGTGACTGCTTTTTTTTCTTTTTCCATGTTAGCAGTCATTTCAACATCTTTTTAAAATGTGCCTATATATGAAATAATCTGGCATTTCAGTCGTTTACTTCAGTAGGTTGATCTGGGTCTCTAGTCTTCCTACTGCTGGAACAGAAGTGGCCCTTTCCTATGAACCGCCTGGTTCGTAGGAAACGTCTGGGCATGCAGCCACCTTCAAGGAGTTAAGTTTACTTAAGCTGAAGTAAAGGCTGGGAGGTATTCTCCTCCTCTATTTCAGGCAAAGCACCAGGATCTCAGGGTAAGGATGAGGGAGCGTGGGGGCAGATGGAGAGGTAGGGGGTCCCATGGGGTCTTACACCTCGTGGCAGCCGCAGCCCCTGCCCCCTTCCTCAAAGGGCAGGAAGAGAGGAAACCTGACAGGCCCCGGAGCAGCTCTGCTTCCTGCCACAGGTCAGCAACAGTGGTTTATCATCATCCCCATCAGGTCTGACTCGGCTGTTCTCAGGGCTTAGGAAGTGGTTTTAGGGAAGAAGTTTTAGGGTAGGTAAAATTTAGACTAGATTTTGATATCTAGGAAAGTCAAAGCTTCGATTGCTTCCTCCAGGGAGAGCACAAGGGACCTAGGGCTGCAATGACCTTCACTGCTCATGTGTTCTGTGCATTCGTTTCTGTAACCAGAATCCTTTTTTTTTTTTTTATAAAGATTTTATTTATTCATTTTTTCCCCCCAAAGCCCCAGTAGATAGCTGTATGTCATAGGTTCACATCCTTCTAGTTTCTAGTGCTGCACGTGGGACTCGGCCTCGCGTTGGACGGAGAAGCGGTGCCCTGGGGCGCGCCCAGGATCCGAACCCGGGCCGCCAGCATCAGAGCGCACGCACTTAACCGCTAAGCCACGGGGCCGGCCCTGTAACCAGAATCCTTTGACCTAGAAGTATCGACAAAATCTACATGCCATTTAGATATCAATTGCCAAAGTTACCTATCCGAACTCTTGTACCTGCATACACCCTACCAGTAGGAGAGAAACACTTGCCTTGTCACAGGAGTATCACAAAAAAGTAAATGGATACTTTTATGATTCTATAGGGGAGGGGAAGGTCTTTGCTATATTCCAAAATAAAAATATGAGGGAAAAAATACTCATTGTTACATAATCCTATTGAACAGCAAGATGGAAGATCCCACAAAGAAAAACGAACAGCCAACTCAGTGGGAAATTGATAAGTGAGGATGTTGACCCCTTGACTTGTGAAAGCTCTTTACAGACAAGGAAAGAAACAAATTTCAGAGAGTAGATAAAAGACACAAAGAGGCAATTGATAAGACACGTGGCTGGAAAGATGCAGGGCTTCTAATCAAGGGGTCCATTTTAAATCAGCAATGCTGATTGCCCTAGAATGCTCAGATAAGGAAAGATTCAGAATGATATTGATCTGCGGTGGCAAGGCTGTGGGGACAGGCTCCCATACTTCCCTAGAGCCCGACAGTCAGAAGGTGCGTAGGGCTTGACCCAGCAGTTCTACCTAAGAATTTCTTCCAAGGAAACAGTATACAAAGCATTACATGCTTACGTAATTGTGTTCACCACTTGTTATTCTTAATGGACTTGGTTTCCATCAAAAGGAGATCAACTTTATTACACTTCAACCACACTATGGAGGAGAATGCATCTATTAAAAATGATGGGAGAGGCCAGCCCCGTGGCTTAGCTGTTAAGTGCGTGCGCTCCGCTACTGGCGGCCCGGGTTTGGATCCCGGGCGCGCACCGACGCACCGCTTCTCCAGCCATGCTGAAGCTGCATCCCACATGCAGCAGCTAGTTGTATGTCATAGTTGCACATCCTGCTATCTACTGGGGCTTTGGGGGAAAAAAAAGGAGGAGGATTGGCAATAGATGTTAGCTGAGAGCCGGTCTCCCTCAGCAAAAAAGAGGAGGATTAGCATGGATGTTGGCTCAGGGCTGATCCTCCTCACAAAAAAATAAATAAATAAAGCTTAAAAAAAAATGACAGGAAATGACACGAGATGTCTACCTTTGTATTAAAAAAAGTCAGTTACATAATGTGATTCCAATTTGGTTATCTAGAGACTCATGCTTTGTTGAAACACCTCATCGCTGCCATTCATAGAACCACCCTTCCATGCTATTTTTGAAATGCTTTTAATGAGTTTGTATGATGAAGGCAGTGGTAAGAAGGAAGAGGTGACGCTGGATGGAACCAGAACCCTGACCCCTAAGAGCAAGTCAGCCTGGCTCCTCCCAACAGCCAAGCTAAGAATGGTCACCGATTTCACATGACCCTGAAGAGTAGATCCGAGAGCCCCCTGTGCAAGCTGGGAAGTTGGACAGGACTGGTCATCCTAGCCACAGCTGGGAAGACAGGCTCCAGTAGGGGAAGCAATTTTATTAACTTCCATAGTAAGCGTCTGGATCTTCCTGCCAAGTGTTCTGTTCTGCTGCATCCAGCTGGAAGATCCTGAAGGCAACAGTTTCCCCTAGCCCCTCCTCATCTTGGGCTGTAAACTTGTCCTCATAACAACAATAAAAAAGTTAGGTAAGCATTAGGTTAGGGGCAAGGGGAAGAAAAATTCCAGTGGTTAATACCATTCAGTAAACGTTGGCTAACTGTTAAGCACTAGTCTAAGGATTCTGATCTCTTAACTCATTTTATCTAACACCCCTATGGGGACGGGTATTATTCCCATTTTACAGATGCAGAAACTGAGGCTCAGAAAAGTTTAGTAACAATATCCCACGGCTATCAGAGATGTAACTCACACAGCCTGGCTCTGGAGTCCCCGTAGCTGACCAGTGTCCTGAAGACGGAAAAGATGGAGGAGGCGGAGCTACTCCGTCCCATCGTAGGGTCAAGGCCACTGTAGTTCCCTTTGCGCCAGCTCTCTCAGTTCATGCCCTGCCAAAGGCTCAGAAAGGTGTCTGAAGCCAAGTTCTGACTTCCCACCAGATTCTTCTCTATCCACCAGAGGCTGAACCTTACCCACCCCCAGCCCGCAGCCGCTACTCCTTCCCAGCCTAGAAGACCCACATGTCAGTCTGGAAAGGTCTTTGCTGCCAAGTCAGAGACGGAGGCCCCTGTCACACACGGGCAAACGAAGGTCAGCAGCACAGCCAGCGCCAGGACTGACCCATCTGGTGGCCGTGCCCGCTGCGGCAGGCAGCATCAGGGCCAGCAGGCTGCTGTTCAGCCTGTGCCCACTATTCCCGCGTGGACTAGTCCTAGGGGGCCGAGGGAGGGGAGGAGAGGGGAGGCTGGTGATCGGAAACGTAGCCCGGCATCCTTTAGTGGGAGACTGGGGGGCCCAGAGCGGGACTATGAAGAGCTCCTTCAAGTTGGGTTCACAGCTTTTGGCCCCTGGAACTTGGGGTTCCCCTTACCCACGACGGCAGCCGAGCAGCCTGCTTTGAGCATGCCCAGTAGAACTCCTGTGTCCGTGGGAAGGTGACCAGCCTTCACAGGCCATTAGCCCTGCCAGGTTCCCAATGCCCAGCTAGTGCCTCTCTGTGACTCTGCTCTGATTTTATTGTCCTCGGCCTTTGCCTGGCCTGCTTTCTCGGCCTGGAACCCCACCTTTCCTTGCTGAGAGGCAGAGTCTCCTGAATTCAGTCTGGGAGACACTGGACTCCACCCAGTGTCTGTTAACAGAGGCCACAATTCTGAAAGAGCAGAGCTGACGCTGAGGAACAAGTTTCTAAGACAAGAAATATTCTGTTCTAGTCATGACAAATGGCTTCTCCACACCTGCTTTCGGTAGGCTTGAAATGATGGTTTATTGAGCCCATTCACCCTCTGTTGCCTTCCTGGAGCTTCTGGGCCCAGGCCTGGCTCAGGCTCACAAAGACGCCGACCCCTAGGACCAGGGCAACAGCCACCAGCGAAAGGACCATCCAGAGGACAGGCCTCGGGTTGGCGTTCCTGGTGGAGCCTGCCGGAGAGAAGGGCTGTGAAGGACTGCAGGGCTGGGCAAGGCCCCCTCCAACTTTCCGCCACACCAGACCTTTGTAATCACACGGGCAGAGCTGAAGCCGCCCTTCTGCAGATAAGGTAGACCGTGTCTATCTTTGCTTAGTTCCCCCCTGAAGACACTTACACCATCCCCTGCCCTCACTAAGGCCAGAGCTTCCCTGTTTTGTTAGCACGTGGAGGGTGGGGGACAAGGCCTGGGGGCCCCTCCACAGACTCTGGTACCTGCCGGCCTCAGCGTAGGCTCCTGCCCATAAGAATCCTTGAAGCCCACTGGCCCTGGAGAGCTCACGATGTTCTGGGGCACTGCAGTGTCGTTGTGACTGTAGGATCGTCGCAGTCCTGCCCAGGGGAGGAGTGGCATCTAGGGCTGGTCACCAGCCCCTAGTGGCCCAGAAGCCAGGAACGCACATGCAGACATATGAAAGAACAAACAACACCCCCCGCCCGGTCCCCACCCCAGACTCACTGGCAGTCCCAGAGCTACATGTGGTGGAGCAGGTCTCCAAGCCCGAGGGGGAGCAGGCAGAGGCGCTGCAGAAGAAGTAAACCTGGGGGGAAGAGAATCAGGTCAAGGTGTGGGGCTGGCTTGGTGCCCTGGGCAGGAAGCACTGAGGCAGGGACGTGGGATAAAGGACCCAGGCCAAGTCCACACTGCTGCCGGCCAGGCAGGCAGGCTGAAATCTGGGCGTGTGGACCAAGACTGAGAAGCAACCCTTGCCGATGAGGCACAGAGCCATGTGTGTTGCTTCCCAATTCGGAGCCCGTGCCTTCCTCCTTTCTGATGGCCCTAGTCTGCAGGAGAGAACCTTACAGGCAAGGACCACTGCACTTGGTCTAGTCCCGGCCCTCGGCCTGCTCCACCAGTGCAGCCGCTGGTGGCAGAGTCCCCCTGGGAGGGCTGGCCTGCTCCTTTTGCTGCCCAGCTGATAGAGAAAGGGAATTCTGAAGGGGTGGGCCTTGACCAGGCAGCAGGAGAGCAGATGCCTGCTGCCCTCTCTTACTCTGTGATCAGCGACTGGGAACAGAGGGGAGGACAGGTTACCACTGCTCCCAGGAACACAAGGCCGGGGACAACTCCCAAAAGCAGTAGAAGCAGGAGGAGTTGACCTGACCTGGGCCACCCAGTAGGCCTGACCAACAGATGCCCCTTCATCCAGCAGGGTAGGGTCTCTCGGCTCAGGAAGAGGCACACAGCTGAGATGAGAATGAAGCCACCCTAACAGGTGCTAACCAGTGAAGCCTGTCTATATCTGACATAATAACATGCAGCTATTAAAAATACACAGAGACCTGTACGTATTAGTGTGAAAGATATTGTTCAGTAGAATAAAAGTTAGACAGTGCTATAAGGCCTATGGTGCCATTGGTATGCTATGTAGAAAACCTAAATATACCCTAAGTTTATCCACATTTACCTTCTGGAGAAGTTGCTGGGTTTTAAACATTCAAAGCAGAATCACGTTGAACACAGTCAGAAGCAAGGCCACTCTAGGACCCCATGACCAACCCTCGGATTTAGGGTTGATGGCATCCACCCTCGGCATTTCCTTCCTCCCTCTTGAGGTGTGTACGGGTCACCTCTGGGCTGATCCGAGGCAGGACCTGGGCTCACCACCCTCCATGACACTTGGTAAAACCAAGCCCGGTCTGGGGACCTTTGTCTGAGTTCGCTTGCAGGGTGCTGGAGGGATTCGGTGACTGGCTTATCTCCCTTAACAGATGGGGACCAGACATGCGGAACATGGCGTGTCTTACCGGTCCCCTGAGGGCCCTCTGGGAGCCTGAGTCCAGGAGGGCAAAGGTGGCAACAGTGAAGCGCTGGTAGTGAGACGGGAAGGGAAGCTCTGCCCTGTCCAAGGCTACCATTTGGGTCTTGTAGCTGTCACCATCGAAAGGACACCTGGGAAGGAGAGAAGTCAAGGAGGCCACTCTGAGGGGAGAGGAGGCAGGGGAAGGAGCGATGGGGCAAGCTGGAGCACCCAGCGCCACTCACCCGTCCGACAGGATGGGCCACTGCGGCTGCTGGAAGGGGTTGGCGCCTGGAGTGGCCCAGCACTGGTGCAGCACTAGGACCAGACTGGGGTCTGTCCTCTGCAGGAGCCGCACCTCCACGGGGATGGGCTCACGGAGCAGCCTCACGATGGGGTAGTCCTCCTCCCCGTAGTAGGAGCCGAAAGTCTCATCTACAGGGAGAGGGGCTCGTGAGCCTCGGTGGGCTGCACATCTGGGAAGTGGGGGCAGGAAGAGAAAGTATGGGGACACAGTACCCTTGGCAATCCGCAGCTCAAGCCGCAGGGGGCCAGACTGGTTCACAGCGGCTGGTGATGGGGGAGGGAAGATGGACGCCTGGAGAGGAAGGAAGTCGCTGACGTTGAAGACACAGTGCATGTGAAGCCTGAAGTCCAGGTGCGTGAGAATGGGGAAGAAGATACAGAATCAGCACATCCTGCTTCCTTAAGAAACCAGGTACTAGCCATGTGGATGCAACAAACAGGGTGCGGTCCAGCATGGCGGATGGACGCCACCTGAGCCATCGCTAGGGTAACGCGCACCCCTGCCTGTCCTCTGCCCCCTCATCTTCCCAGGATGGCTCGAGCCTGCCATGCCAGGCCCTCTTCTAGTGCAGGGGTGCAGCAGGATGGAGACATGGGGGGACCCCATGGGGCTGACAGCTGCCTGCCCTGTTCTGGCATTTGAGGCCCTCCCTTGGAGCCTGACAGTTGAGCCTGGAGGCAGGTCTGGGAGCTGTATCCTCTGAGAGACCCGGGTTTGAATCTTCTTAGTACTTACTGGCCATGGGACCACGAGCAAGTGGTTTAACCCAAGCCTCAGTTTTGTAAGATGGTGATGACCCCTCCCCCCGAAGGTGAGGATTGAGTGAGGTCACGAGATAGCGCCCCAGTGTCATCATTGTCCTTACAGCCGTAGCTCGTCGGCCACTGGGTCTAGTGTCCCTCACTAGCCTCAGCATCCCCCCACACTCTCAGCGGGGGCCCATGCCCGGACCCCCGGAGGTGTTCTGCAAAAGTAGCTGACCCCACCCTAGCCCAGCCACCTTCACCTCCGGCCCCTAAGCACTCTACCTCCACCTCCACTTGAGACAGAGCCCTGGGTTTGAGCCTGGGCTGGGTGCCCTGGGGGAAGGCATGCTGCTGATGGAGCCTGGGGCCTGGCACAACCTAGGTGCCAGCAGGCATAAGCCATCCCACCCTAATCCGAAGGCCTTTTGTCTGAGGAGCCCTCCTTCTTACTCCTGATGGGCTGCAGTTGCTTTCCCTTCCCCCTCCCCTTCCTTTGGCCTCCCCTTCCTCTGGCCTCCCCTTCCTCTGGGAATCCTGGCGCTGTGTTGAATTCTTGCTAGCTCCCAAAGCTTTTAAATCCAAGGGTCTAAGCCATGACAGATTTGTCCCCCATCCCCCCGGCCAGTAGGTACTTGGCATTTTAAAGCAAAAGACATTTGCACCCTGAGGCCGGCATCTGCCCCAGCCCTCATGGCAGGTAGAGGGGTGAGAAGGACACCTGGGCATCCAGGCACAGAATTTCTACAACCCATGTTCATATATGAACTCCACTGGACACAGTACACAGGCTGAGGTTGGGTGCCCAGCCCCTGGAGTTCAAAGGCAGGTGTGAGCAGCAGATTCCCTCGGGGGCACCCCCACTGACATCCTGGGAACCTGGGGTGGTTTTGCCCGAGTCAGCAGGTCCTGGGGCCCCTTTCTGCGAGGGGGTCGCCCTCGGGTCCTCCCTCCACCACACCCTCGGAGAGCTGCAGCCCCAGGGGTCTTCTGCCTCATCTTGGCTTCGCAAGCTCGGATCAGGGGGCGGCAATAGCCTCAGACTCGGCTTCTTCCTGGGGCCTGGAAGGGGCAGCTGTCAGCTTAATTCTTGGTGCTCAGTTTCTGAGCTTAGTTCTTGGAGAGATACAGGCAAGTGTTCTTGAGGTCTCTGGCCCTCTCGGGCACTGCTGTGGCTTCTCCTTGCCACGGGTGGGCAGACCCCACTTAATGCTCCCACTAGCCCTGATTAACGGGCATTCCCTCTGCCTAGTAGGGTGGGCTGGGAGGAGGTAAGGAGCGCTTCTAAGGTCACACAGCTGCTAGTCGAGTTTGGGCATGAACCCAGATGGCTCCAAAGCTTGCTCTAAGTGCACCTGTTCTCCCTTCCACCCAAGCCCACAGCCCTGCCTGTTTGAGGAAGGCTCCCCCTCACCGGAAGGTGCCATCCCGTGTGATGGAACCCTGCGGCCCCACCCGGACATCCACATCAGACACCAGCTGGTTCTCATAGATGAGTTGGCTGCCAACCACCTGTGGGAGGAGACAGCTGGGTGAGGCCCTCCCAGGGGGCAGCCCTGGGCACCGGCCCTTTGCCCCCGCTCCTACCTGGACTGTGGTGCCACAGTGGGTGAGGGGGAAGTGGAAGACCACGAAGGACCTCGTCTCCTGGGTCGGGGAGCAGCTGGCAGGGGCGTAAGCCAGGCGGACATCGGCCAGTGTGAAGCTGTGTGCCAAGGCTGTCTCTTGGGACACCACCAGGATGAAGTGGCCATTTCTGAAGCACTGGACAGTCGCTGGGACAAAGGCGGATCAAAGAGGCTGATCAGGGCCTTGGGGTTTAGTGTCCCTGCAGCACAGACCCAGGGTGGGTGGACTGGGGGACAGTAAATATTTAAGTGTGGGCCTGGGAGACGGGAGACCTGATTCTTACTTTCCGCTTGTGTGGAGCAAACCCTTTGCCAACCCAGATTCTCATGCATGGAAAAAAAAAAAAAACAGTCGAACTATGCTCTGGGATCTTATTTAATTTATCATCCAAACTGGGATGTTCTCGATCTAAAAGGTAGGGGTACATGTAAAGGTAGATCTGTTAATTGTTCCCTGGGCCAATCATTATCAGGGAAACTGGGACGTGTGACCGCCCATCTAAAGGTCTCTTTTGCAGTCCCTTCTGGGATCAGCCTCTCCTCGGAACAGGGTGGGAAGCCGAGTTGCAGCGTCGGGGGTGGGTAGGGGAGGAAGCCCTCATATGGCTACAGGACTCAGAGGACGGGGACCATGCTTGGTGTGGCAAGTTGTACCTGTGTTGCCATAGTAACAGGGAACCTCTCTGCTGTTGTCATAGCAGCAGCCAGCCTGCTGACAGGCTTCCCTGGAACTACTTCTCACTCTGCAGGGGATGAGCCCAGAGACCACTCGGCACTGCTCCTGGGTCAGATGGGTACCTAGGGTTGGTGACAAGACGGGGGAGCCAAGGGGTGACATAAGGAGCCAAGTGGGCAGCAGACTTCCAGGGAAATGGAGGGAGGTAGCCTCTCAGAGCCCAGTAGAGGGCTATCAGGCCACCCCATACCCTAGAAGGCCCCAGACACGGAGTGTACCCACAGAGAAGCCCTACATACCTATGGAAGCTGGCCTGTCAACTTCCCAGTGCTCCAAGGTGCCCCACTGGGGTGGACCCAGGGTGGGGTGGGTGGGTCCAGGTCCAAGGAATGGCGGGGCAGGAGTTGGATGGACAAAGCCATGCTCTGGGGTGTGGTGGAGGGGACGAGTATGCAGGGGAGAGAGTGAGGATGCGGTGGGGGGCGCCAGGTGGGAGTCCAGAGTCCAGGTGTGGTCAGGTTTGGGACAGATCAGAGTGACATCTCGTGCTACATCAACACGACCATCGGGCAGCACAGCTTCGATGAACACCCTCAGGTGGGAACGTCCGTCCTGCAGGGGAGAGGGCGACAGGAGAGCAGCTGGGTGAGGCCACCCAGCATCCAGGCAGAGGAGGGGTCAGCGAGAACCAGCTGGGTTTAGGCAGGGAGCTGGATTTGTGGGCGGGTCCCAGGAGGTGCCTGCGCCCACGACTTAGTCCCCCTCACCCACCAGCTCACTGAGTGGGCTTGAGCAAAGATGCGCCCTGGTCCATAAGGGGCCTCCCTAGCCCGACACGGTGTTAGGCCAAGCTGGCTCCCAGCTGTGGGGCTCTCCCCCAGAGCAGTGAGTCCCTACCTTCTCCAGCACGTGGCAGCCTTTGTAATCAGCAGAGAGGACCACAGGACCCTGGGGCTTGGCCGTGACCCAGTGATAGCAGATGGAGCAGTTGTTCACTTCAAATCGGTTCCCAAATTCATCTGGGGTGGGGGGAGGGGAAAGAGAGGTGGAGGGCAGGGGTCAGTGGTGCTGAAGGGTAAAGCCAGAGGCTGCTGGGGTCTGCTGAGAAGACTCCCTCCCACTCAGGGCCAGGAGACTGGTTCCAGCCTTAGCTTTGCGACTAGTTTGCTGTATGATCTTGGGCAAGCCCCTTTCCCTCTCTGGTCTCAGTTTTCACATCTGTAAGGAAATGACGTTAGCTACTTTTAGATCTTTCTAGCTATGGTTCCCTGCTGCCAGCACACAGCAGCAAACAGGAATGAACACATGGTGGAGAAAAGATAAGTAGGGTCTCAGCCACTGAGCTCTTGTACACCAGTTCATTTAAGCTTAATTATCACCTTCTGTGGAGGAGGCAGCTGAGGCGCAGATGGCGAGCTTTCTCGGGCGCACACAACGAGGGGCAGGATGAGGATTCAAACCTGAGGTTTTGTAGAAAGAGCTGAGCCTGTCTGCCAGGTTAACTGGCTGTTGCCGTCACCTGGGGACACCTGCTAGGTCAGCCCAGAACAGCCAGGGCCCCTCTGGGTGCGGGCACAACCCCTGCGCTCCTGTTCAGTCTACATGGTGAGGTTGGGGTCATCTTTCCCATCTTACAGATAAGGAAATGCAGGTTCAGAGAGGTCAGGTCAGTTGTTCAAGATCACACAGCTTAGAAGCTGCAGATTCAAATCCTCACTCCAAACCCACCCCCCTTTTCTCCACTAGGGCTCTGCCACTCAGGGAGTTTCTCGACCAGCAGCCTGGGCATCAGCTGGGCGTGATTACAGATGCAGAGTCTGGGCCCTACGAATCAGGACCTGCCCCTGAGCAAGACGGCCAAGAGATCCCTGTGCACGCTGAGCGGGGAGAAGCTGCCCTGGGTGGCCAGGGAAATCCAGGTGGGGAACTGGCCTTGGCCCTCCTCCTCCCCCTCCTTAATGTGGTGAGGGGGTGGGCGCAGCCACCTGCAGGCAGGATGGAGGCCCCTGCTTTTCTTGTTCCTGCCGCAGGGGCAGGATCCCAGCTCCCCACTGCAACCCTGGGAGGCGGGTCCGGGACTCAGCCGGCACTCACCCACCACCTTGAAGCGGACAGTCTGGCCTGGCAGAGGGAACACCAGCAGCTGCATGCCCCTCATCCCACAGTCGTAGCTGTGCCATAGGCCTAGGAGACCAGGCTCAAGGTGTGGCTGCTGCCCCAGCCCCAGGGTGGCCGCTAGCAGCAGCAGCAGGGCCACGCAGAGACCCCAGCCCATGGCCGAGGCTCCTGCCATAAGATACACCGGCAGATCCTACCGTAGTCCCTACCTCTCACCACTAGGTGAGGGCCCAGGCCTTATATGGGGGAGGTGGCAAGTGGAAACTTCGATGGGTGAAGGGGGCCCACCTGGGGGAGCACCTGTATGGCCACCAGGGGCTCTGGTGAAATTCCTGTCCTGATGGCCAGGGAAGGCACCCTCCCTGCCCGGGGCCCTGAGGGGCTGCTGGGAAAGCTGCCCCTCACCCTGGCTTCCTGCCTCACAGCTGGCCGGTGATGCTGGATCAGCTGAGTGATTCTGGCTGGGGAGGAGGGAGCTTTCTAGGAAAGGGGAGACTGCAGGTGGGCTGTGCGGCTGGATCCACGGCTGGGAGGCATGGGCCCACCACCCTGTCTCCCAAGTCCCTCATCACCACCTCCCTGCCCAGTCAGGCTCTCCAGGCCCCCTGCCTGCGAGGAGCTGCAAGGACAATGGCAGTCTGCAGCAGGCCAGGTTTCATCACCCCCCTCAGGATGGGCTTTAGGGGCTCAGGGAGACACTGCCCCTGCCCTAGCAGCTCGCAGCGGGATGGGGGCGATGGGTGAGTAAAGAGCTAGCTCTCCTGAGCATTAAAACGATTAATAGGACTTTGGCTATTACTAATAAAAAATAACAAGATGGACACGCACATATAACGTGGCCTCCTGGATGGGATCCTGGAACGAGAAAAGGATATTAGGTAAAAGCTAAGGAAATGGACTTTAGTTAATAACAACGAATCGACATTGACTCGTTAATTGTAATAAATGTCCCGTCCTAAGGTAAGATGGTAATTGTAGGGGTGACTGAGTGTGGGGTCTGTGGCAACTCGGTGCTATCTTCTCCTGTTTTCTGTACATCTAGAACAGTCCTTAGAAAGAAAGTCTATTAAAAACACCAAGTAGCCTGGCTCCCGGTCTGCAGCGCCTCCCACGTGCCAGGCGTAGTCCGGAGGCCTTGCCCGTGTTAGCTCACAACCGCCACCCTCTGAGGGAGGTGCTGTCACCGTCCCCGCGTCCTGGAAGCGCTCAGTCCAGGGCCTGGCGGAGTCCAGCTCAGCAGGTGTTGGTGATCGTTGGTGAGCATAATCTGCAGCGGCAGGAGAGCATGGGGCTTGGTGGTGAAGAGTCTGGTTCCAAACTCCCCCCGACCGCTTCCCAGCTGTGACCCAGACACCTCATTTTCCTGACCTTCAGTTTCCCATTTGTGAACTGGGGGAGATAATGCTTACCTCGCAGAGGGGACAGAAGACTGCAAGTGACAAACAGTGGGTGTGATAAATTATATGTGGTGATGATTTCCTGCTTGGCGACGAATAACTTTCACTGTGACTAGAACTGAGACGGGGGATGCTGGCGGGGTGGCCCTGGGGGGCGGGCAGGTTGAGGCAGGAACCCAGCAGTGGGGTGGGGGCTGTGGAAGTGTTTCTGGAGGAAAGGGTGCCTGAGCAGAAGTGTGAGGAGCCGTGCGTGCAGGGGTGGTGGTGGGGATATTGTGCTGAGGCAGAGGGAATCTAGGTGGAGAAAGGCATAGAAAGGGCTGGAAACTGTGGACTTCAAGCTGGCTGGGGTTGCCGGAGAGGGAAGAGCTGGGTGGGGACAGGGAGGAGATGCAGCTAGAGGGCGGGAGAGGCTAGTGAGGTCAATTTTTCCTGAGGGACAAGGGGGGTTTTAAACATTTTATTTTGAAATAGTTTCAGACTTATTGGAAAGAATTTCCGTACATCCTTCACCCAGGTTCCTCAAATATTAACTGTTGTTAAAAACAGGACGGACATGCACATATAACCGGCCCAAAATGGAGTTGCTTATGCTAAGCCCCACATCACCAAACCAAGACTTAATTTACAGTTTCAGCTCTCCCAGCCATGGAATCGTACACTAGTCCGTCAGGAGTCTCCTGATCAGCACTAGTTAGGTCATCGGCCTGAGAGACCCCTGCCGTCCCCTAAAGGAAAGTGACCGTGCCATAACCAACCCGCTTTTTGCCTAGTGTAGCTCCTTGTTCCAGCTCCCTTCTGCCTATAAAAGTCTTTCCTTCCCTACAGCTTCTCGGAGCTCCTTTCCATCTGCTGGACAGGATGCTGCCTATTTATGAATTGTAGAATAAAGCCAATAAGATCGTAAATATTTACTCAGTTGAATTTTGTTTGTTAACATGTTTTTGCATTTGTTTTAGCTCTGTGTCTCTCTCTCTGTACACACACACACACGTACACGCACATACTTTCTTCTCTACCATTTGAGGGCTGGCTGCAGACATGAGTGATTCCCCCTTTACCCCTGGACACTACAGCGTGTATTTACTAAAAAACAAGTAACCACAGTAAAATGATCAAAATCAGGAAATTAACATTGGTATAATACAATTGTCTACAAACCTTATGCGATTCACCAGTTCTCCTAAGGATGACTTTTATAGCCAAGGGTAAAGTTTTTTTTCCCTAGTCCAGGATCCAGGCCAAGATCAGGATTCTGTTTCTGCAGCCTCCTCCCATCTGGGACGCTCCCTCTATCAGTCTTTGTCTTTCACACCCTTGACATATTTGAGGAGTGCAGGCCAATTTGCAGAATGGCCCTTATTTGGGTTGTCTGGTGCTTCCTTCTGCTCAGACCCAGAGTTATGCATCTCTGGCAGTGTGTTTGTTTGCTAGGGCTGCCATAACAAAATACCATAGACTGGCTGCCTTAAACAACACAAATCGAATTTCTCACAGTTCTGGAGGGTGGAAGTCCAAGATCAAGGTGTCAGCAGGTCTGGTTTCTTCTCAGGCCTCTCTCCCTGGCTTGCAGATGGCCACCTTCTCACTGTGTCCTCACGTGGTCTTCCACATGCACACACATGCCTAGTGTCTCTTTGTGTATCCAAATTTCCTCTCATAAGGACACCTGTCAGATTGGATTAGGGCCCATGCTAATGGCCTCATTTTAACTTAACCCCTTTAAAGGCCCTGTTTCCAAATACAGTCACATTCTGACATACTGGGGGTTAGAGCTTCAACATATGAGTGGGGGAGGGGACACAGTTCAATCCATAACCGGCAGGAATACCCCAGAAGTGATGCTGTGTCCTTCTCGGTGAATTCTATCTGGAGGCTCATCATCCTGGTTTGTTCTCTGACTGCTGATATAACCTATAACCTGATCACTTGGGTAAGACGGGGTCGTCAGTTTCCTCCACTGTGAAGTTACCACATTTCTCTCTGCAACAGTAAGTATCTTAAGCACAGATACTTGAGACTATGTAATTATCCTGCCCCTCAGCAAACATGTACCCACTGGTGCGGTGGTTCTCCAACTCCCTCATTCCTTCTACGTTTATTTGCTTTCTGTTGTAGCAGAACGCTTTCCCTGAGGAGGGGTTTTAGGTGGAAGAGACAGCAGCAGCCAGAGATACTGCGAGACCTGGATTCTATCCTGTGTTCACTGCTCAGGAGCAAAGGGACCTTCCCCCATCTGTAAGATGGGGATGAGAATGGTTACGGTGGGGATGGAATTAGGTAACACACAGAACGGTGTTTCCTAACTGAGCACGGATCTTACCTATGAGGAGAGCGTCTCCCAAGGTTCTGGAAAAGCAGGGGAAGAGCAGGGGAGCTTCCTCATGGCCAAGGGCAGCAGGATGCCTTTGAGAACAATGGCGCCACACTGTCCTGGAGAGGGTGAGCCCTGAGCCCTCGGTTATGATTCCACATTCTTGCAAAGACTCACGGAGGCCAGAGCTCATCAGCCTGGGAAGGATCCCAGCTCCTCTGTCCCCACTGGGGACCCTGGAAAAGTCACCTGCTCGGTGGCTCGACTTCCTCATATGTATAATGGGGTTAATAACAGTAACTAACAGGTCGGGTTGCTGTAAGGATTAAATACCCCATCTAAAGCACTGAGAACAGAGTCCGCACGTGGCAATGATTTGAAAACGATAGTGATGAAAACCACCATTATTTTGAGTGATGAAGGAGAGAGGGCCAGATCAGAGCGACTTGAAATCTTGGCTTCCCACTAGGCCACTTTCTAAACGCCCATTTGTTCATCTCTTTCCTACCTTTTTAAATCTCGTTTTTATTTTTTAAAATTGGGCTTCAATTTCTTAATCTGTAAAATGGGATTAAGAATGAGCTTAACCTAACCGGGGAGCTGTGAGATTTCAGTGCTCAGAAAGTGTGAGTTCTCCACCCTGTCTCTTCTGCTAATAGAAGCAAGGGACAGAGGGAGGGCGCCGGGGTTTGAGGAAGGGGCCTTTTCAGGCTGGAGAGACAAGGGTGGTTGTGAGGATTAAATTAGCTAAGACATGTGAAGTGCTTAGCCTGGTGTCTGGCACATAGCAAGTACCCCATAAATTTTGGCAATTACTATTTGTAGTGGGCTGAGTGGTGGCCTCTCAAAAGATATGTCCACGTCATAACTCCCGGAAACTGTGATGTAATCTTATTTGGAAAAAGGGGCTTTGCAGATGTCATTGAGTTAATGAGCTCAGAATGAGATCATCCTGGATTATCTGGGTGGGTCCTAATTTCAAAGACAAGTGTCCTTGTGCGAGACACACAGGGAGAGGAGGAGAAGGCCATGTGAAGGGGGAGGCAGAGACTGGAGTGACACAGCCCTAAGCCAAGGAATGCCTGGAGTGGCCTGAAGCCAGAAGAGGCAAGAGGGCGTCCGCCCCTAGAGACTTTAGAGGGCATGCTGCCCTGCTAAGACCTAGATTTCAGACTGCTGGCCCCCAGAATTATGAGAGAATGCATTTCTGCTGTTCTAAGCCATTAAGTTTGTGGTACTCTGTTATGGCTGCCCTAGGACACTAATATGCTCTTTTTGTTTTTGCAAGGATTAACTGGCATATGCGTGGGCCCGAGCGAGTTATTAGTTAATAACAGTAGAAAGTTATCAGTCTCCAAGGTTGTGCCCTCTGCAGGCGAAAACAGAGCCAGAGAGAACGGCACCAGGCCATGGGTAACAACGGATCCAGAACGGGTCACCGTGAGGAACTGGGGGATCTTGGTGGATCCAGTCTCCGATACTGGAGATTTATTCTGTTTAGCAAACATTCATTGGGACCCCTCCCACAAGTCAGGCCCTCTGCTTGGCTTTGGTGATGAGGAGATGAAATAGAAACAGTTTCTGTCCTCAAGTTGCTCATCAGGAAGGTGGGGAGCAGTTGTGAGAAAAAGTTACCATTGAGGGGAAAGGTGGCCATATATAAAGTGAGGCAGAGATGTGGGAGGGAGGGTCTGTCTGAGAGGATCAGCCAATGTTTCCCAGATGAGGCAACCTCTGGCCAGGGTTTTGAAGGATGAATAGGAGTTCACCAAGAAGTCAAGAGAAGAAATAGTATTCTAGAGCAGGAAGCAAACAGCACGCACAAGGGCACAGCAATCGTACTTGTGTATGGGGTGGGGGAGGCGGTAATAAATGGTGACTGATCATAGGATGTGATTAGGGAGTGGCAGAAATGAAGGTGGAGGCACGGGCGCGGCTGGATCACTGAGAGGCGTCTTGGCCGTGTGAGGAGTTAGGCCTCCTTCTGTGGGTGACAGTGGCACTAGGGAGCTCAACACGGGCCTCCAACAAGGTTCTGTCACACTGTTCCTCCCCTGCGTGTGGGCAACTCCAGGGCCTCCCCAGTAAGGATTCCAGGGCAGTTCTCACCACTTCCTGCCATGCTTCTCGCTTCCTGTTTGACTTCTTTAAAGAGGCCAGAAAGGAACATGAAAACCCGCTTCCTAAGGCAGGGCCAGAGGGAGACAGCTGGGGAGAAATCCATGGCTGGGGGCCGCGTTGGCCCGTTCCCTTGACTGTTCGTTAAACACACCTGATGGCACGAGCCCAGAGACCCTGATGACGTCAGACAGGGGTCCTGCAGGATGAGTAGGGGAGGGGAAAAGGCATTCCAGGCAGCAGCAACAGCATGTGCAAAGGCACTGACGTGTGTAGGGGAAATGGGGTAGGGGTGCAGGGACAGGTGGATCCGAGAGGCTTTCAATGCCCCTTTGGCAGTCTGGACAGCTCCCACGGGCAGCAGAGAACCAGCAGAGGTCTGCCAGGCTTGGATTTGTCTCCTTCTATGTGGGGTGGGTGAGGTTGATACAGAGATGGACCCAACTTTGGCTCTTTCTGGCTGTGACATCAAGTTCCCAGCCATGGAGAAAGTTGTGCTTCAGGGACTAGGGCCTGCGTCCTGGGGGAAGTGCATCTTTCTCGATCCTGGGGGTCACAGGGCAGGGCGGGGCTGGGACTGAAGACTCACTCTTCCCTCTACCCCTGCAGCCTCTCATCCCAGTGCTCAGAGAAGCCAGGCTGAGGCGCCTCTGTGGGTACCCATCCCCGCCCCCCTTCAGGTCAGGACGCCAGCTTCCCTGGGCCCTCTCTCTCTTTCCTTAATCTGGAACCCCTCCTGGCAGGCTCTGGCTGCACTGGCAGCTGGAACAAAGCCTATCTCCCTTTCCTCTGCTCCCCCACATTCTGTCTGGCAAGGCCCAGCCCCACTGAGGTCCTCACATCAGCATCGTCACAGACAACAACAACGAGAAATAATAATAACAGCGGCTGGCTCCTGCGTCCTCACTCTGTACCAGGTTCCAAGCTGAGCCCTTTGCTTATTATCTCCTCTGACTCTCAGAGCAGGGAGGGGAGACACTCGCCGAGGCCCCTCAGCTAAAAGCCTCTGCACTCTCCCAGGACCCAGCTGCTGCTCCCTGCTCCCAGCACACCAGACCCAAGGACCCAGAATTCTCCATCCCAGTGGAACCAGCACATCGGCATCCTCTGGGGAACTTAGAGATGCAAATGCCCAGGCTGTGCCCCTGAACTGCCAGATCGGACTTGGGGATGGGGCCCAGCAATCAGCGTTTTTTAACAAGCCCTCCAGGAGGTTCTGATGCGCCCTCAAGTTGGGAATTGCTGGTCTATACCATTTTGGCCTTGGTCACCCATCTCTGGACTCTGAGCTCCGGGAGGGCCCATCTGACAGTCTTGGTGTTCTCCTGGCCACAGCACCTGTCCGCCACTGCAGAGGCCTCCACAACGTTCTCTGATTGGATTTTCTCCTTCTTCGACTCAGCCTGAGCTGGTATCTCCTGGTCAAGGGAGGCTTCTGTCCCCTGCTTCCAGCCAGTGAGCCCCTGCCCTGGGCCCCCACTGCTCCCATCTGTCTACTCAAGAGACTCTTCTTCTTGGAGAGCCTGGTGCTGGCTCTCGGTTCCTGAAACCGGGGGGCTGAGGCACATGCTCCCCGCGCAGACTCCTTCCTGCCCCCGGCATCCTCCACGTGGAGACTGTGGGGCTCACTCTCGGAGTACGTGCAGGGAGACTGTTTCCACCGTGGGAGTGCAGCCGGGGTGATAGTGGGGGGGGCCTCAAGAACACCCCTGCCTCCTTCTTTAGAAAAATGCCTTCCGGCCCTACTCATCTGGAGTCCTTTTACTGTTTGTTTTAGTAACAGTTCATAAGTTCTTCTCGGGGGAGGCTTGGGAGATGAGCCGCCACAGTGGTTACAGGACAGGAAACAAGGGTGGGGGAAGGGTCAGAGGAGTGAGGGTTTCAGGTGAGAAGCACCTTAGCAGGGCTGCCCTGAGAGGCTGTGCAGGATGTTCACTGCACAAGGGTACTGGGCAGAGAGGGCAAGGGAGGGCTGTGCCTCGTCCCAAGCCTGATGCCCTGATGCTAAGACGGGTCTATAGGAGAGCAGGGGAGATTCTTGCTTGGCCCAAAGAGCAGTGTATGCACCAACTCCTGCACTTTGAGGCAGGGACTGTGCAGACGGAGTAACTTTAAAAATTCATATTTTACTGCTGTGGAGTTACTGCCCAGGGTCATATAGCTAGGGAGTGGCAGTGCCAGATCCCAAGGCTGGCAGTCTGCCCCAGAGTCCCTGGGCTTATCCAACCAGGGTATACGGCCTGCATGGCCTTAGAGGATGCCCATGGGTCAGCAGGTCGAGTGTGTGTGTTGCGGGGGATGAAGGAAATTTCCCTGAAGTGGAATGGTAACAGCCCCCTATTTTCTAGGGAGGGCTGCAGGCGATGGTCCTTGGAAGACCAAACCCCCCTGACCCAGAGGAGAGGAGGCATTTCCTAGTGCTAATGGTTTGCATAGTCAAGGTTCTTACTGAAATGCATGCCACCTTGGGCCACAGGGAGAAATATCATCTCCCACCCCACCACGGTCATGACATTTTGTTCATTTTCCACTCAGGATTGCAGTCTCTCTGCAAGTGTATCAAGCCGGATACACTTTAGGCACTGTCTTAAGCCTGTGCCTAAACAGAAGATTCCTGTAGAGTCAGTCCCATGGGGGGTGCCCTGGCCCTCATATGGGGTACTGAGTTCTTTGATGTTTTCTTAAGTATCTGCTCAGTGCTGGGACATTGAGATTGAAGGACGGTCCCTGACGCCGAGAAGCTGGGTCAGTAAAGGAGAGTCAGCACTCGGGGAACGATCAAATGCAGACTTACACAGTTCAATCATCTCATCCCAGGGCTCGGAGCTCACTTTAAATAAAAGCTGTGTGCCCTAGCGCTACAGCCAAAACCCATTTCTCCCCCAGAGGGGAAAGACGCTGATTTTTTGTGTGTGTGTGTGTGTGAGGAAGACCAGCCCTGAGCTAACATCTGATGCTAATCCTCCTCTTTTTTTTTGCTGAGGAAGACTGGCCCTGGGCTAACATCCGTGCCCATCTTCCTCTACTTTATATGGGATGCCACCACAGCATGGCTTAACAAGCGGTGCATTGGTGTGTGCCCAGGATCTGAACCGGCGAACCCCGGACTGCCGCAGCGGAACGCACGCACTTAACTGCCTGCGCCACTTGGCTGGCCCTGACGCTGATTTTTATAAGAACCTACTGTGTGCTGGGCACTTTGTCAATGGGAGCACTTCATTGCCACAGCCTGCGAGGCAGACCCTGTTGTTCTGTTCACAGATGGCCAAACCAGGGCCCAGCAAGGGGAGCGGCTGCAGGGGCCGCTTGGGCAGTCAGGCCCCCCAGCTCTTCCCACTGCCCACCCTGCCTTCCTGGTCGTGGAGCCCTCGGGGCCCTCATGGACAGGCCCCCACAAGACCCAGGTACCTCAAAGCGGTTTCTTTGCTGAGAATTGTGGGGTCCGAAGAGGGCAGCCCAGGACAGTGGACAGATGGACAAGACGTCTTCTTCCTCCTGCACTTCTGCTACACCCCGTCACTCTCAAAAGCACTCCCATACACATTCCTATTTCCTCACCTGCATTTGTTCTGACCTCCGGCTTCTGCGATGTCTCCTTTGTAAAGAGAGAGGGGTGACGCAGAGGCTGTCAGCAGTTATGTCCCCTGCCCATTGATGGAGATTACTGTTACTTGAACACCAGTGTGACAGCTCACAGTCTACTGTTCCCGCCTCCCCCCACCCCACCCCACCTCTGAACACACACACTCTGGGGCTGACAGCTATTTCCTCTCTCAGCCTCACTCCCTGCCTCCACCCGCCCGCCCAGTGCCTCTTGTCTGGCTGCTGCCGGGAGCTGACCACCTTCAGGGCTGGAATCCTGTGCTCCCTCTGTGCCCAGGTAAGGGGGTGTTGGCCCAGGGGCTGGATAGCCTTAGTGCTCTCTCTGGACCCAGGAGAGAAGGGACAGTTTTACCAGGGGAGAGGGCTGTTCACGGCTAGGATGGCAGAGGGTAGGGTTTACCAAAGACTGGAGTGGACTCGCTGCTCAGAGAAGAGCAGGACTACACTTTCTTAGGCGTTGACTGGATGCCAGGCACGGCGTTAAATCATTCGAGCTCTTTCCAGACTCACATGCAGTCTGGGTGGGAGGATTACATGAGCAGTCTTAGGGTAACCGGCCCCAGTCCACCCAGCCAGGAAGTCGAGGAGCTGGGATTCAAACCCAGGTCTCTGACTCTAGAAGTTTGCGTTCTCTGCCTGTAGCCCCCTGCGGAAATGGGACCCTAGCGGCTGGGCTCTCTGAGAATCCTGGGAGGCTGGGGGCCGACTCCACGCAGCCAGAAGGTCCAATCTGGATGGGTCCTAGGCTGCAGCAGGACTGTGCTCTTCGAGCATCCCCATGGGACTCAGACAAGCAACTGCTGGACTGAGGGAATGTCGCAGGGCAGAGAGGGGATGGCACTTGTCTGTCTGCTGGGAGTGGAGTCCCAGCTCCACCACTGTAGCTGGGGAATGTTGGGCAAGTACTGTGCTTCTCTGAACCTCAGCTTCCTCTTCTGAAAAATGGGGTCTCATAGGGTCACTGTGAGAGGAATTGCTCTGCAAACTCTAAAGTTTAGGAAGGATGAGCATTCTCAGGGAGCACAGGTCCAACTGCTCCCCACCCACCTACTCACAGATCCCCAGCTCCAAGGGGCTCGTCTGCCAGGGAAATTCTAGTTTGATGTCCCGGGACCTTACCCCACAAAGGACCATGGTCCCTGGAGAAGGGTGTGGATTTTTCTCATCCTGGCTAACAGTGTTTGCCCTGGAAAGAGAAATACTGAAGACTGTCTTCCCCTTAACCCTTTCCTTCTCTTCTTCCGTCATCGTCTCTTGCTCAGAGCAGGGAGAGAGGAAAGAGAACAGGCTGAGCGCTAGACTGTTGCTCCTCCGCAGGTCTGTGTTGTTTGGCTGGCTTTGCGTATGTGATTTAAACGCTCGAGTCTCAGTTTCCTCACCTGTAAAATGGGATGGAGAGAAGTACTAGCACTTTCTCCTAGAGCCGTGAGGAAGACAGCACCTATGGAGAGGACCTACCACAGTACCTGGCGTGTCAGAGGAGGGGGAGCTCTGTCCCCACCTCTGCTACCCGTCCCCTATCTCCTGCCATCAGCCTTCCACCCCACCCCCATCAGCCCTCGGGGATCTCCACCAGCTTCAGGTCTCGGGTTCTTGATGAGGCTGTGGGCGTGCACATCTGGGGTGTCTGCACACCTGCCAGGGCTGGCTGCTCCAGCACTTGCCTGAGTAGTTGCTCAATAAATACCTGTTGAGTGAGTGCGCGAGTGCATGAATAAACGAATGAACAGGCTGGGTTTCCTGGGGCCGGCAGAGGAGCTGTGGCTGCCCCTGCGCAGAGGAGAGGTCTTTGGCCCCAATCTGGCAGTTCCTCCTGCCCCGCTCTCTCCCTGCTCTTATCTTATTTCCTCCCCAACTATCAGGGGAGGGGCTGGCTCCACTCTCCGCAATCAACACACCCAACCAGCCACCACCTTGGGAGCAAAGGGCCAAGTGGAGAATCTGCAGAGCCAAGGTCTGGGAGTGCTGGGGGTGGGGAAGGGCGGCAATCCTTAAAGGCACAGACTCCTCCTTTCATTCTCATCCCCCAGGCCAACTGAACCCTCCTGCCCTTTAGGTGGGGCCTCGTGCATGCCCCAGCACTCGGAGGAGGACTGGGGACAGCAGTCCTGCATGCCTGACCGTGTTCCTATTTCTCTGTGTGATCTTACGGCGTCTGCTTAACTATAATCACAATGACATTGATGTGCTCACTGTGCACCAGGCTCTGTTCTAAATGCTTCTATATAACTCATCTGACTCTCCCAACAACCCTATGAGCTAGGTCCTGTTAGCACTGACATCCATGTTAACAGAGGAGGAAACAGGCTCGGGAAGGTTAGATGGCTTGCCCAAGGTTGCACAGTGAGCAGGTGGAGCTGGGATGTTATTCCCCCACCTCACTGTCTTTGCTCAATTTCCCTGATCCCCAGGGGCCTCCTCTGTAACATTCGTGGGTCAGATTCGCATCTTCTGGAGAGGGTCCCCTGTTGCCCCTGCACTGCCCACCTCAGGGCCTCCTTCTCTCCACCACAGAGCTCGCCATGTCGGCCAATGTCTCCATGAAGCCTCTCTGCCCCATCCTGGAGCAGATGAGCCGCCTCCAAAGCCACAGCAACTCCAGCATCCGCTATATCGACTACGCATCTGTGGTGCTGCACGGGCTGGCCTCGCTGCTGGGCCTCCTGGAGAATGGACTCATCCTCTTCCTGGTGGGCTGCCGCATGCGACAGACTGTGGTCACCACCTGGGTGCTGCACCTGGCGCTCTCCGACCTGCTGGCCTCCGCCTCCCTGCCCTTCTTCACCTATTTCCTGGCCGTGGGCCACTCCTGGGAGCTGGGCACCATCTTCTGCAAACTGCACTCCTCCATCTTCTTCCTCAACATGTTCGCCAGCGGCTTCCTGCTCAGCGCCATCAGCCTGGACCGCTGCCTGCAGGTGGTGCGGCCCGTGTGGGCGCAGAACCACCGCACTGTGGCCGCGGCCCACAAGGTCTGCCTGGTGCTCTGGGCCCTGGCCGTGCTCAACACCGTGCCCTACTTCGTGTTCCGGGACACCATCCCGCGCCTGGACGGGCGCATCATGTGCTACTACAACGTGCTGATCCTAAACCCCGGGCCTGACCGCGACGCCACGTGCAACTCGCGCCAGGCGGCCCTGGCCGTCAGCAAGTTCCTGCTGGCCTTCCTGGTGCCTCTGGCCATCATCGCCTCGAGCCACGCGGCCGTGAGCATGCAGCTGCGCCACCGCGGCCGCCGGCGGCCCGGCCGCTTCGTGCGCCTGGTGGCGGCCGTGGTGGCGGCCTTCGCGCTCTGCTGGGGGCCCTACCACGTCTTCAGCCTGCTGGAGGCGCGGGCGCACGGCGACAAGGCGCTGCGGCCGCTCGTGTGGCGCGGGCTGCCCTTCGTCAGCAGCCTGGCCTTCTTCAACAGCGTGGTCAACCCGCTGCTCTACGTGCTCACCTGCCCCGACGTGCTGCGCAAGCTGCGGCGCTCGCTGCGCAGCGTGCTGGAGAGCGTGCTGGTGGACGAGAGCGAGCTCGGCGGCGCGGGCAGCAGCCGCCGCCGCCGCACGTCCTCCACCGCCAACTCCGCCTCCTCCGTGCCGCTCGCCGGCCGCGGCTTGTCTCCGGCCCGGTCCGCGCGCCTGCTTGGCTGGCTGCGGGGAGGCCGCGCTACGTCCCCGCAGAGGGGCCAGGCCCGCTCCCAGGACAAGAAGGGCCCCCTGAACCGGGCCTGAGCGGCACCTGCAGTTAGAAGCGCGGGCCCGGAATCGCCATGCTCCCCGGAAGGCCAAGGCTGGGCAGCCGCCAAACGCCAACGCGTCCCGAGGGGGCCATCATTAAAATGTAGATATCTTGGCTCCAGCCTCGGAGATCGTGGTCCAAGGTCAGGACCCGGGAATCTGCATTTTAAAGCGGCCCTGCATGATTCCGGGAATGAATTCTTTTCAGAATCAAAGTGAGTTAAAGCAGTGCTTCTCAAACTTTTTACTGTGTGTGAGTCACCTAGGAATCCTGTTAAAGTGCAGGCTGATTCAGCAGGCTGGGGCAGGGGTGCTGAGCCTGCGTTTCTAACAAGCTCCCAGGAGGCGATGTCAGTGCTGCTGGTCTGTGGACCACACTTGGAGTAATACAGGGTTAAAATCATAAGATTCTCAAACCAGGGTAGTGGACTCCCCAAGGTACACAGGATGCGTCTCTCTGGAGCTCAATTGTGCCAGATGATTGGGGGGGGGTGCTATATTTTTACATTGAACCAGTGATGTGTTTTTGGAGTCAAGTGAGACGAAAGGTTTGGGAAGCACCACCCAGTCTAATCTCTTTGCTTTAGCTACTCAGCCAATATTTATAGAGCAGACTGCTTTATCCCACAACCTTGAGGGGCAGGTTCTGTTAGCCCCAGTTTTTACTGATGAACAAACTGAGGTGCAGGGAAAATAAGTAACTTGCCCAAAGTTTCACGGCTAGTGACCAGCAGGGTCTGCATGCTACCTTCCAAGCATTACGTGCTCAACTATTTAGTAAGTGAAAGAACACCCCAACATACCTAAGGTACTTAAGATAGTAGCTGCCTCGGAGCCCCCATCTCTACCCTTCTGAGTTGGCATTGCCCAAAGTGTTTACAATGTGGAAAAAGCAAGGGGTGCCATGGTCAGATGTTTGGGAAACCTGGGCTACTCAAACTGCAGTGAGCATCTTCACTGAAGGTCTTCTCGTTCATTAGTATGTGAATGCGCACGGCAGCCTCCAAGACCACAGCACGTGACATTTCCTAGCTAATCTGCCACCTGTGCAGGCCTGGACTTCAGGGGGATGCCCTCTGGCCAACGCTGGTAATCCCAAGATCTGTGCAGCGCCCACCTCCTGACCACACAGGGGCTGGGCAGCTATCACTCCCAATTTGTAGATGTGGGGGTAACTTGTATCTGTCACAGCACTTCCACTGTACCTTGTCTGTTTCCTCTCAAAGACTGCTGTCTTGAGCTCTGCATCCCAGGCCTGGTGCAGAGTTGGTGCCAGTAAACATGTGGTGGATGAAACGATAGTGGGAGAGCCGGTGGAGAAACTCGTTTGGGATCTTGTTCCAGTGCTCCTGTGCCACCCCAGGCCGGGCTGGCTAGCTTACTGTTTACTCCCAGTGCCAGGCAGGGCCTGGCCCACGGCAAGTACTCAGCAAACTGAACAGCAGACATACAGCTGGCTGAACAGATGTCCCTCCGTAACACCTCGCCCACATTCCCTCCCACTCCTCTGCTTGACTCAGGGCACTTTTCTGACATACAATATATTTTACTACTTCACTGTATTTTCTCCATCAGAATGAAAGCTCCTTGAGGGCAGGGACTTCTGTCTGATTCCCTGGTAGCTAGATTTGTGCCTGTACAGAGCAGGCATTCAATAAATATTTTTGTTGCAGACTGGCTGGCACAAGTCAATCAGATCTTTGGGGTTTCTGCAGAGTGTGGTACAGGAAAGAGGGAGCTGGAAAGAAACTGCTCCCTGCAACCTCCTCATGTTACTCTTTCCCTGTTGAAAAGTTGGGCAAGGCTGGATTCAGTTTGCTGGGTGATGGGGTCAGTAGGGTGCGGAGGTACCCAAAGCAGCCTTTGGGAAGGTGTACAGGGAGCTGGACTCCTGACTGCTGGCTCCTGGCCTGGGCTGGACCAGGACCTTGAGATAGAACATACACATTTTGGCAAGTCACCCTTCAGTCACCAGCTCCCTGAGGAACCAGAAGAATTTACTCTTCTTGGTTTGAAGGCACTTGGAGGAGGAGGGGCAAAGGGGGCGGGTGGGGGCACGGCTGAACCTCTTCCCTCCCCCAGTCTCCGCCAGGTCCCAGGCTCCCTCTGGGCCCGTCCCACAAAGCCCTGCCCAAGAGCCTCAAAAGCTCAGAGCCCATCTCAAGTAGGGTCCCCGTTTTGGGACCACAGAGCTGGAGTGCCGGGTCCAGCAGAGGTGTGTGACCAGTGGCCCGAGAGGTGCCGTGTCTGACGTGGTGGTTGGCCACAGCAGGCCTCGGGCTGTCCGGGGCTCAGACCTTGGCTGCTGGCCGCTGGGGTGGCTGCTTCTGGAGCAAGGCCAGGGTGTCCCGCTTCTCGACGGAGCGCAGCTGCTTCTTCTTCGCCCGCTTGAGCTTGGCGGGGTTTCGGATCTGGGAGTGGTGGGAGGGGAAGCATGAGTGTGGCTGGAGTTTCCGCCTGGCGCCCCGGGGAAAGGGAGGGGCCTGGGATCGCAGCATGAGAGTTGGGGCCGTGAGGCAGGGGTGCCGAGGCATCTTGGACGCAACACCCACCCTGGGCGGATCCCCACGCAAAGCAACACTCACCACTTGGACCACCTCTGCCTTCCGCTCATTCTCCAGGCGGCGTTTCAGGTTCTCAGCCCGGCGCTGTTTCTTCTCCTGGAACACACAGGGGAAGAGGATTTGAGTCTGGGAGCCGAGGTGGCCCTGGTCTCTTGGGCCCCGGAGGCGAGAGCTGGCAGAATTCCCAGGGAGGAGGGGAAAAGGCCCTCTTATCAGGCTCCAGGTTGTTCCCGGTGGTGTGTGGATGGAGGGCCAGCAAGGAGCAATCTCTGCGCCCATGGGACAGAGGCCCACCGTGGTGGGGAGTTCCTGACTCCACCTGAGAAGGTGGGCACCTGGTCAGGCAGCTGAGGACAGGGGCTTAGACAGGAGGACTGGGGGGCGGGTAAGACATGGTGGCTCCCCACCTGGAAACTCAGACACATGCAGACAGCAGCCCCTCACACTACCCCCTCACCAACTGCCAGGGGAGAAGGGGTGGGCTGGTTTCCTCATTCCCACCCTCTCAACAGCCCTCTTGGAGTCTCCCTCTCTCCCCCTGAGCCCATGTGCCCCTAGAATGTGAGGCCAGGGGTGAGTGCAGGCTCCTGAGGTTCGCCCAGCACGGGGCTGGGAAGTGGGGAGGCTGCAGAGAAGCGCCTCCAAGCTATCCGGTCCCGGTTTGAATCCTGACTCCGCTACTTCCTAAACGGGTGACTTTGGCCAAGCTGTTTAACCTCTCTGTGCCCCAGCCTCCATCTTTAAAGTGAAGATGATCTCGTAAGGTTGTTTTGAGGAACAAGTGAATGAATACAAGTACAGGGCTTGGAACAGCACCTGACCCACTGGGACCACTTAGAGGTTGAGTCTAGATGGAGTGTCTCTTGGGACTGGAAGCCCAGTGCTGTCTGGCTATGCTGACTGCCGTGCTTGGTGGGGCCAGGGCAGGGGTGCAGCTCTGAGGCTGCTGCGTGGTCAGGGGCTTCTCTTGGCTTTAGCAACTCAGGGTAGCAGGGGTGGCCTGGGCCCCTGGGGAGAAAGGAGAAGCGAGACTTAAGCTCCCGTAGTCAGGGGAAGAGCTGGGCTGGGGGCTGGGCAGGGGCAGCTCTGAGGGGGACGGTGACAAGAAGGCTCTCTCTTGCCCAAGAGGGACCCAGGGCCACAAAGGAAGCGAGATAAGGCCTCAGCGCACGGCAGTGGCCACACCATCTGCAGGGCCTCGGCCATAGCTGAGCTGGGGCGACTCAAAGCTGGGGACAGATGACCAAATGACTAGCCCACTGTCCTCCAGTGTCCAGGCTGGGACCACGGCTGGGGGCAAGGTGTGTGACTCCCCCTGTGCCCCTGGGATCACTAGGTGAGTGACCTCCCACTGATAACCCTGGTCCCGGTGTGGTGCTTGCTGACCAATGCCTCCGCCTTGCTTTCTCTGTGTGCTGCCTGAGGGGGCTCCCTGGACACTGAAGAGGTTGGGCGTGAACCTCTAATGGGGCATTTCTGGCCCTGGGCTGAGCGTCCCGGAGAGAAGTGGAGGAAAGCGCGGGCTGTCCATTTCGCTGACGGTGGTAGCCCCTTCTTGGAGAAGGATGGCGATAACACTGGGATGTGGCTTTCCAATCTGTTAGCCTTCCCATCTGTGCAGGTCCCAGGGATGGGACCTTTAAGCCCATCTCACTGAGAGCTCCTGTCACCAGTGAGGGGCGCTGGGGGCTTCTTCCTGGGCCTCCTCCCCGTCCTTGAGCCTCTCACAGAGCCGCAGGCTCAACTGGATGTTCCACTGGGCTTCCCCGCCACTGCAGTCCCAGACTGCACTTCTGCTTCTGCCCAGGCTCCCTGCCTCCCTGGGGCCCTCAGGCTTGAGGATGGCTCTTGGCCAAGTCAGCCTCCCCCGGGGCACGTGTGTGAGCCTCCCACCTCCCAGGCCTGCTACAGCAGACACCCGTTCTGCCCGCCTGAGCTCCCGCCTGAGTGTGGCTGGCCGGCTCCTCACCTGCCGACGCCTCTCCTTCTCCTCCTCCAGGTGCCGGGCAAAGTCCTTGGCCAGCTTCCTCTCCTGCCGTTCCTTCATCTTCCGCTGCCAGGATGTGCGCAGGGGCTTGTCCTGAACCATCTGGGAGAATCTGGACGGGGAAAGCGGGTGCTCGCAGAGTCCGTGGGACGTACCCACGCCCCCTCTCCTCTCAGCTCTGGGCCTTCTCCCCGAAACCCAGTCAGAATCACCTCCCCACCTGCCTGCTTGCTGGGCAGTCGATCCTCCAGGTCTGCAGAAACTCAGGGCAGAAAGGGCTCCGACCACGACGGCTGCCATTTCTTAAGCCCTGGTTACGTGCCTCTGAGGTTGGGACTCTTGTCCTCTCCATTACACAGAGGAGCAAACCAAGGCTTAGAGGGGTTAAGTCATTGCCCAAGGTCACCTTGTGAGCAGGAGTCAGGACTCGAATCTCTGTCTGTGACCACAGAGTCCAGGCACACGGCCTCTGCTGTAAAGTTCTGCTGCTTCTGCCAAGTGCAGTTGCCCTGGGCATGAACACCTCTGGAGATGGGGCACCCTGCCTACGGAGGTGGCCCGTTCCATTTCAGAACAGTGTGAATGGTCACAGCTCTCTGTGATGAATCAGGGGAGGGTGTGAAAATAGAGTAGGCATTCGGGGATATCAGGGAAGCCTTGACTTTCTTAAGAGTGACAGTGACACTATAGTCATAGGGGAAGCGAGACTATCTGTGTAAGAATGCATCCCACAAGGATTTATGGGTGGAATGACATATTTAGGATGTGCTGTAAAATATTCCAGGAAAAAAAAAAAAAGAAGAAAAAAGTGTCGAGGAGCAAGATGACGCTACACGAGTAAAATGTTGAGAACTGGTAAAGCTGGTGATGAGGACATGGGGGGTTCATGAAACCATGCTCTCCCCTTTTCTGTAAGGTCTTTCTCCTGGAACGATTTGAAGCCTGTTCAGGTGTCCCACGGGCCTTTTCTCCTTAGCAGATCCTCTCATAGTGGCCTCTCCACCTCCCCCACCGATTTCTTGACTTCTGAGAGCTCCTGTTCATCCATGTCCATTATATTGTGCCCCAAACTGCCAGAGTAGGTCAGCCAGTCCCACCCCAGCCTCTGAAGGCTGTTGCGCGCAGGGCACAGCCCCCTCCTGTCTATGGAGGAGAGTCTTCTGGGCCGTTTTCCCCTCTTCTTGCTCCACAGGAGTCTAGCACACACAGCCCGGACCCTGACCCCAGACCCGTCCATGTTCAGCCTGACTCTGCCCGCCCCCTTCTCTGACTCTGCCTGCCTCTGACCCCAGCACACCACCCCCTGCTCCTTCTCCCCCTCTCCAAGAGCTCGCTGCTGAAACCTGGTCTTCTGAGCACAGAAGAATGGGGCTGCAGCATGGATTTTCCCTACCCCAAACTGGGGTATGACAACCCAGAAGGGACAAGGCAGTGGGGGCCTGGGCACACACCGCACTACAGGTCACATCCTGCATCTTTCTAGAGCAGTGCTGCTGAGCAGAACTTTCTGTAATGGGGGAAATGCTCTATATCTACGCCGTCCAATAAGGTAGCCACTCCTCACACTGGCTGTTGAGCACTTGAAATGTGGCTGGCGTGACCGAGGAAAAGAATTTTGAACTTTATTTAATTTTAATCAGTTTAAATTGAAATAGCCACATGTGGCTGACAGCTAAGATATTGGGGCAGTTCCATGGCATCAGTCTTACCTGGAGACCCAGCTGCTCTGGGTCTCAGCACCTTCCCGTGTTAAATGGAGACGAGAATCATGCCCATTCCAAAGGGTGGTGGGAAGATTAATCTAGACAAGACTCAAGAAGCACTTAGGACAGAGCTCTGCACACGGTAGGTGCTCAATAAAGGCCACTCTTCAGAGAAGGCAGACAGCACACCCATGCAGCACTGTGCAGAAGGTGGCATTTGGCATGAGCATGGAAGGTGGGGCTGCAGCTTCCCAGCCGGGACTGCCTCCCTCTATATCCCCCCTTTGCTGGGCCACTTTTTGCAACACGAGCTGCCTTCGCCACCTCTGGACTCACTCACCACCCACCGAAGCTGCTTCCTCAAAGATCCCAAACATAATTCCATGGCCCTTTGGCCCTTAGCCACAAGGCCTGCCTGTAGCCCTGAAGGTGTTTTAATTCTACTGCAGGCTCTCTGCTTTCACCCCTGCCCTCCCACAGTCTGTTCACCCCCGGTTCCTCTGCAGAGCCTCAGTTTCCTCATATGTAAACTGAGGAAAATCCTAACACCTGCTGCCTCATAGGGCTGATGTGCGGCTTCAATGCGTGCTGGTCCCTCTGTCTGAAAGGCCCTTCCCGGGGCCAATCCTTACTAAACTCTTACTAAAGTGTCCTATATACTCAGCGCTCGGGAATACTTTTTATCACAAATGCAAATAACTGTAACAGATAACAGTGGATGAAGACCTCACTGCTTTTTATCAAGTACTGCCTGGCTTACTTGCTTCTGCCTCCCTCTCTAGAGAGAGGGCAGGCCAGGGGAAATGTCTGTTGAATGAATACACAAAGGAGATGCTACAGGAGAGGTCCACAGGGAACCTGAGGAGGAAAAGCATCACAGAAATAACCTTTGAGGGCCTGGTCTCACCTTCCCTGGGTCCCAGGCATTTTACCACCTTCTGATTATAGTGACCTGTTTGTGTCCAACTCCCTCTCCAACCCAGGGGCTGTCTCCAGGTCGCACCCCAGCCCTGCCCAGCTGTTCCCCACTTCACCTCTTCTTGGAGCGGTCCTTCCACACCCGCCCCGACTTGGGCTTTCCCTTCGGGATCAGGGGAACCTCATTCTCCTCCTTCAACTTCTTGGACGCTGGGGCCCGGGCTGGAGAACCTTTTCGCTTCTTTGGCCCGAGGCCGTCTCTCCCCGGCTCCCCGGCCGCAGGTGGCTTGCTCGGCTCGCGCTGACCCCGGGGGAAGCCAGGTGACGGGGGTGTCAGCTCCTGTAGCGGCGGCGAGGGCTCCGGACCCGGCGCTGGCTGACCGGGGTAAGGCTCTGAAGATCCTGAGCCCGGCTGCAGCTGATGTCGTGGGGACCCCGGGGCCAGCTCCTCCTTCCTCTGGGCCAACTCCGAGTCCGGTTCTTCTTGGCCCTGGGAGCACTTTGGCGACTCCCCACTTGGCGTTGGCTGTAGTCGGGGGGATTCTGGACTCGAATCCGGCTGTCTTGGGGGCGACACCAGGCCTGGATCTTGCTGACGCCGGGGGGACCCCAGGCCAGGTGGCCGCACACTCCGAGGAGAGCCGGGCTCCCTCGTTTCCTCTGGGTTCGACTCGAACTCCACAAGGGCCCGTCTCGCCCGCAACACTGAAGTGGGACTCTCGGGGGACTCGGGTTTTAGGCCTTCCAGCCGCCGGCTGCGTCTCAGCGGGGTATCCATGCCCCAACCAGCAAGTTCCCAAACCCGAGCCCACGTGCACCCTCTGGGACAACCGGCGCCGGCGTATGACGTCAGGAGCCGCCACGTCTGTGCTGGGCACGAGGAACTGTTGCCTGGGAGGCCATGTTGGTGACGGGCGGAGAGGCGGGGTTGGCAGCCCGAAGGGGCTGGGCTTACTAGGCGCATGCGCAAAGCGCTTGCGCGCATTCCTTTAATTGATGAGCAAGTCTTAGCTTGAAATCCGCGCTTGGCCTTTCTGCAAACACAGGCTCTCAGGGAAAACACAGTGTGCAGGCAGAGAAAGGAAGGGGGACCCATTTCCGGGAGAGAAAAGGATTGGAAAAAGATCCAGGGAGCCCGTAGGCAAGGCTGGATGGAAACTTTGCTCCCATCTCCTGTGCAGTTGGGCTGGGATCCCGCCCTCTTTGGGACTCAGTTTTTTCATCTGTAATATGGGTGATTTGCATTACTTTAGTGTATCTAAAATGATTCTGCTGCCAGAGTGAATGTTACTTGGCGGATCCTGGAGATGGGAAATCACTTAAGTCTTGCGTTATATAAGTTTGCACATCCTTTTCTTCTCGCATTCTGTGCCTAAGTATCAAGTCTATGGCTCTCCCTTTGCAACATTTTCAGCATTGATGCCTGAAGTTGAGGTACCCGTAAGATGCACCCCTTTTGTTCTGTGGCACACCCGGGCCCTCAGCCATGCTGCATACCCTCTCAGGTCCCCCTTCTGCCCCATTTCTAGACACAGGGATTGGATTGTCTCTGAGCTTCCTTTCAGCCAAAGCAGCCGTCTTTGCCCCAGTGTGTGAACCTGCCTCCTCCCCTCCTTTGCGTGAGACCCAGGAGCAGGCTTTGAGTCACTCACAGCAGGAGACTTTCTTGGGAAGAGCATCTTGGAAGTTGCCCAACTACATCCAGCTCTTCTCCAGTGTTATTTTTGGGCATTGGCCCTCAGGGATCTAAGGTCCCTGTCTGGCTGTCTCAGTGGCTTCTTTTAGAAACCTTTGTTTCTCCAGCTGAGTGGTTGTGGGAGGGCCTGGGAAGTTGTCCACGGGTGATCAGGGGGTAGAGGAGGACGGCCAGGGCCTGGTTGCTGAGCACAACCTCCACCTGCTGAGTCACTCTGCCGACAGTGGAGCAGGAGTAAGTGTCAAATGAGGTCCTGCGTGTCTTTTTTTTTTTTTTTTTTGTGAGGAAGATCAGCCCTGAGCTAACATCCGTGCTAATCCTCCTCATTTTACTGAGGAGGACCGCCTCTGAGCTAACATCTGTTGCCAATCCTCCTCCTTTTTTTTCTTCCCCCTCAAAGCCCCAGTAGATAGTTGTACGTCATAGTTGCACATCCTTCTAGTTGCTGTATGTGGGACGCGGCCTCAGCATGGCCGGAGAAGCGGTGCGTTGGTGCGCGCCCGGGATTCGAACTCGGGCCGCCAGTAGCGGAGCGCACGCACTTAACCACTAAGCCACGGGGCTGGCCCGGTCCTGCGTGTCTTGATTGCTGATCAAGGAGGGGGCAAAACCAGAGAAAGCTTCCTGGAGGGTGGAAAAGTGGATTGAGAATGCCTTAATGCCTCTCACTCCTTGGCTGGTGCCACACAGCATCCAAAATGCATCCTGATAACTTTAGCCTGTGAAATCACCTCCCTCCGGGTAAGATGATGGCACATCTTCTCCACTGGACCTCCGTGTCGTCCAAAATAATTGTGCTGAAATCATATATCAGTCCCTGCCTTCCTGGCCCCTCTCAGAGGCTCCACCCGCAGGATCAGCGCCCTCACGTTCCTGGGCCAAGGAAGGCCCTGCACTGAGGTTTCGTCTCAGTCTTCTGCCCAGCAGAGCAGCTTCCCACTGCAGAAGCAGCTCAGACTCCTCCTTGCCCAGCTTTCCAGCCCTCGGTTCCTTAAATTCCCTGACCCTGCCTGGAGACTCCAATGGCCTGCCACTTAGAACCGTGCCACGCTGGACGAGACTGTACGCCACCCCACTGCCACTGCCCTGCTCCGGGTCTCCTTGGCTCCCTGCTTCCTGAACTCCCGTTCTCCCTCAGCTGGAGGGATTGCTCTCAAAGGCCAGTTGGGTTAAATCCTGGCCTTGCTTAAAATGCTTCAGAGGGTAATCTCAGGTACCTGCCAGGGTGGTGTGAGAGAGGGAGACGTCTTACAGACATCCCTCAAATCAGGTGTGGAGACCCTTAATCAACGTGGCATCACGTGAACTTGGCCTGGAACCCTCCACTCCCTCCTAAGCTCAGTTGTCATTGTCACTATAAACAGTGTGCAGGGGCCTAGGGGAGACTCCTGAATTTTTCAGAAAAGCCCAGTGTGGCAGTCACTGTTGGGACTCTGTTCCCTTATACGCCTTTGCTTTCTACTGTAGCCATCCTGGACTCTTTGCCCTTGGGTGGGAGGATGCCAAGGGAGTCTCTAGCACCCCTCCAAGACCCCCGGTAGGACTGAGCCCCAGTTGTCTATGAAGGTCACCTGATCATTCATGCACTCTCTTTTTTTCCCTGTGCCTGACTCACTTTCCCACTCCTTGTGGGTGCTTCTGGGCATTCTCTGAACAGACTATTTGCACTAAAATCCTTGTCTCAGTGTCAGCTCTGGAGGAACCCAGCCTAAACTAGTGGGGCGAGCAATTATTGGGCCAGGCCTTCTTTCAAGAGCTCTGGACGTACAAACCCATCTAATCCTCACAACAACCCTGTGAGGCAGGTGCTGTTGTTATGACTCCCCTTTCACAGATAAAGAAACTGAGGCACAGAGAGGCTGGGACACTTGTAAAAGTCACACAGCAAATAAGTGGTGGAGGTGGGATCCATACCGAGGCTGTCTGACCGCAGGACTACAACTCTTTTTTTTTTTTTTTTTTTGTGAGGAAGATCAGCCCTGAGCTAACATCCGTGCTAATCCTCCTCTTTTTGCTGAGGAAGACGGGCTCTGAGCTAACATCTATTGCCAATCCTCCTCCTTTCTTTCCCCAAAGCCCCGGTAGATAGTTGTATGCCATAATTGCACATCCTTCTAGTTGCTGTATGTGGGACGCGGCCTCAGCATGGCCGGAGAAGCGTTGCGTTGGTGCGCGCCCGGGATCCGAACCCGGGCCACCAGTAGTGGAGCACAAGCACTTAACCGCTAAGCCACGGGGCCGGCCCAGGACTACAACTCTTAAGAGTAAATGTCTCTGTTATCCAGGTAAGGAAGCCGAGGCACAGAAAGGCTAAGGTGCTTGCCCAAGGTCACACAGTGACACATTGAAGGGCCAGGATTACAGTTCCAGAGCTCACATGCTTAGCTGCCTTAAAACTGCCCCTCATGTGGGCCTTGCTCACTCGTTCCTCACACTGATACTGGTCTGTGCACTGGGAGAGGCTGGGTGCCACCTCACCCCGAGGACTGGCTGTGGCTCTGTGTGCATACACACAGGGCAGAGTGTGCTGAATGGGCAATCCCCAGCTTATTTATGCAACTGAGATCTGCTGACTGAAGGAAACCATGCACCACAGAGGACTGAAGATAGGGATCGGGTATTCTTCTCTGAGCCATCCGTCCTCCACGTAGCCAAGGGTGCTGCTGTGAGAGGGTTTGACAGTCCCAGGTGTTGGGGGCCTGTATCCCGTGGTCCTCAGCTCAGCACTAAGATCGGAGATGGGCGGGTCCTGCCAGCCACTAGCAGCACTAACTGAGCCCTTCCTAAGTGCTGGGCCTCTCCTGGTTGCTCGTTTAACCCCCTGGAGCATCAATGCAGGAATGTGATTGCCTGCACCAGCACCCTGCTGGATAAGCATTTGCTGAGTGAGTGGAAGGATGCTCATTACAACCCTCCAGGGCAGGGATGGACATCCCCAGTTTACCGACAAGGAAATCCAATGCCGAGAGAGGTTGTGATTTGGGACAGGGTGACACAAGGAGAGGGTGCAAGGTACAAGGACAGAACTGGAACTCGGGGCTTCCCTGCTCCAAACCCAAGCCCTCACTCTCACATCCAGCAGGCCCAGGATTGGGAGATGGGGGCTGAGGATGTGTAAGGACTTCCTCAGTCTGGGGGGTGCATCTGGTAAATGGGATGTTGCTGAGTGTGGCTGGAGAGAGGGCAGGACCCCGACGAGGCAGAGTTGTCACTGGGCTGGGGCTGAGCATGGCTGTTCTTCATTGGGCCACATGGTCCAGGCTGCCCTCTCTTCCACTCTGAGGTCTCTTAAGTATTTGAACACAATTTTCTTGTAGCTTCCCCAGAATTGTCTTTTATCCAGGCCGAACATCTGCTCCTTCAGCTGTCCCCCCCATGACAACATGGTAACTTTTTGGAAAAGACATCAGTTCTTGATGAGCCTTCCAGAAAGTGGTAACCAGAGCTCCCTCAGGCAGCCAGGGTTGACTGCCCCATGGAAAGCCGAGTAGATTTGTCACCTCCCTTCTCCACGATTCCTGTCAGTGTGGCCAGGTCCCCATCCTCTTCCCAAGGGTGAGCCACCACTTGAAGCCCTCCGTCTGGTTCCAGCTGCTGTTCCCCGATCCTGGACATGAGCTGTTGGCTTTTCTGGACAAGTACAGGATCTGTCATTTAGCCTTACTGCCTTTTTTTTGACCTCTCCGGCAACCCCACTCTCCTCTTTCAATATTGGCTCCCCATTCCTCCTATGTGTGTGTGCACAGCTGCTTCTAGGTACCTCGAATCAGGTCCTACTGAGAAGATGCACCAGGATAAGGGTTATGTCTGTTCTTACCATAAGCACTTATCTTGGAGGTTCATCTTTTCTTTGTGTTCCCAACAGCTCACAGTGAGGTTCAGATCCTCAAGAGGAGGTGGCAGAGACCTCAGCAGAGTGGCTGGGGAATGGATGCGAGTCGAACCTGGGACCCCTGGTGCGAGGCCTCCAAGCTGTTCCCACGGGGCATTGATGGGGTGCAGAGAAGCTGGCTGGATTGAGAAGGGACCTCTTTGCAAAGCTCTGGTGTATGTGCAAAGCTTATCTCCTAATCCCCTCACAGCATCTGCAGGTTTTGCTGAAACAGGAAGGGGGCAGACCTGCTGGCCCCGGA